TGACCAATGTTCTATGGAGGTGCTCTTTGAATTGATGCCTTGGTGGCGGAGACAAGAGGTGCGTGTACTATAACTATTTACGGTTTTTTATCAAATCTGAGCACCAACACACGTTTTAATATTTCAAGGTGTTCTTTTGGTAACTAGACATTCGCGAAATCTCGATAGCACGAGTCTTTTGTCGAGTTGATGAACCATCTACTTTGTTTGGGAACAGACAATGGCAATGATGCAGCACAAATTGTCGGTGCTCGATGGATGGAATGCGTTTAAATAGTTCAAGCCAAGCAATGGTTCGGGTGGATCGCTGCTGTTGATGTTGCTGTTGCTGTTGATGTTGCTGTTGATGTTGATGTTGATATTGAACCAGCAAATCGTAATGTTCAAATGGTTGTTCTTGGTACTGGGAAGGATTGTGGCTGGGGAAATTGAAGGAGCAGTTTCCAGAAGGTATTTAAAGCTTAATCACACTGGCATTACTATCAGCGGGTTCAATTCTTTGACTACAGTTTTCTTCGTATAGTTTCTAATGCTACATACATCTTTATAACTCTTTGATGATCTACCATTCTATCATTTTTGCAATAAAAACGATACAGAAAGAGTTTGTATCGCCTCAATTAACCCACAATGTTCAGCTACTTACCACGATAAACCATCGTCCAAGAGAAAGAAACTAGGTTAAATTCTGCTGCCACACAACTAATTTACCACCCGGCGAGCAATTGCTTGAGTATCTGCCATATTGTGTAATACTACTGCCTTGCACTTTCCAACATCGTCAAATCCATTTTGTAAAATATCAACTACCTTTATCAATTGATTGGTCTAGCTTGAATTCATTTTCAGCGACTTCATTGTCCTCCGGGACTACCGGAATTTGAAATGTGCTTATCTTAAGCAATTGGCCTATGTCGTGGCGGGATTGAAGTTCAATTTATTTTGCGTTCCCCTACCCGCTAGGTTTAATGCTGATTTTAACTACGAAAAAGACATTCGGAATAAAGTGCGCGAGCTCATTTTCTTTTTTTTTGGGTAAACCCGAAAATGTATGACGAGGGGAATCAATTCAATCACTAAGATCAAGTTTCGTGAAATCTAGCGAAGTGCCCCCCAGAAAATAACATATAAAAAATCACATCTTCCAGTAAACTTTAAATGGCCACACATGCCAGGAGAGAAAAATAGACAAGATAGAAACCTACAGAAGTTGCCCCCTATGAGATATTTTTGGTGGGGGCTACTATCAACATTTTTAGCATCATTAGCATGGCTAAGACTTCTGTCTACGTACTACACAGCATCCATAGTACTACCTCCTAGCATATATGACAATTACAGTGCAGACACATTACAGTTGAAGCATATATTCCATCATGGTGTCGGCAGTGAAAAGTATATGGTGCACAAACGTCTAGATGTTACTCCCGAGTACCTCGCCAAGTATGAAGCATATTTCACTTCTTTAAATGAAAATCTACAGATTGAACTGGATGAGGAGTCAGATTGGCCAAAGGTGCACCATGGGAAAAACCCATTTGAAATAAAGTTGCCCTTTAAGCAACAACAAAACAAAGCCCGCAGGCTTAAAGAACGAAATACGCCAGGGTTTATAGATTCATACCTAGAATACGCCCGGTCCATCAATGGTGATGCAAAAATTCTCGATCGGATTAATCTAGAATGGGTTGATGACGATGTCCTGGTGCCAAATATCACTGACCGTGATACCGTGGTGTCCTTGGCCACTATCGCTTCCAATGCCTATGTTCGTTTCCCCAAAAATGACGACGAAAAGAAAAAGTCTGACTGGATAGATGTTGGAGGATGGGATCCAGACCAAGACAACCACGAAGTCAACTTTGGATGGGACTATGATGGCTTACGAGGACATGTGTTTGTAAGTGATGACAACAAGACAGTGGTAATTGGCATAAAGGGGACATCAGGTGCAGGGTTGCCTGGGGGTGGCAGCGATGAAACTCAAGGGCACGACAAAACCAATGACAATTTGCTATTCTCTTGCTGCTGTGCAAGAGTTGGGTATTTGTGGACAACTGTGTGTGACTGCTATGAAAAGACTTATACATGCAATCAGGATTGTTTGGAGAAGGAATTGCGCAGAAAAGACAGATACTACGAGGCAGCATTGGACATTTATAAAAATGTCACCAAATTGTATCCACCTGAGACTACTGATATATGGGTCACGGGCCATTCACTTGGAGGAGCATTGGCTAGTTTGCTAGGTCGCACATACGGCCTACCAGCAGTAGCAGTTGAAGCTCCTGGAGAGATGCTAGCTCTGAAGCGCTTGCATTTACCATCTCCGCCGGGGCTCCCTAAGCATTTAGAACACATTTGGCACATCGGCAATACCGCCGATCCTATCTACATGGGGGTGTGCAATGGAGCATCCAGCAGCTGTAGCTTGGCGGGTTATGCTATGGAGACTGCATGCCATACCGGATATCAGTGTGTTTACGATGTTGTGACTGATAAAGGATGGCGAGTTAACTTGTTGAACCATAGAATTCACACAGTCATTGATGAGATCATATTGACGTATAACGAGACAGCCAAATGTGTAGAGCAGGCGCCTTGTCGTGATTGTTTCAACTGGAGGTTTGTATAGTTGCATATTGAAAAGAGGCGTGTTTGAGGGACAGTTTAGTTGGAAACTGGGAGCCAATTGGGTGTAGGTGTATCGGGATTGTACTCTCATGCGCACAATATATCAAGTAGGATACAGTCTACTCAAGGACGCTTTAAGACAATCAGCTAATTTTGCCAAGGGAGATCTTTGAGAACGATAATCATTGCCACATGACAACAGACGATAATCACCTGCAATGAAAATACCTCAACTCTTAGATAGATGAGGAACTGGGCTAAGTGAGACAAAGGCTGACCTATATACAGCTTTAGTTTTCAATTTTGAGGCGGCAACATCGAAGCTGGAAGAATGCTTTTTTGCAACAAAGGGTAGTATAAAGTTAGAGTTTTTTGCGAAGGAGATCGGCCCTGAAACAATACAGAGAATCAACTATATCAGTTTATTTTCAAGGATCATTAGAGTAGTAGTATTTAGTATACTCAACAAGATGCTTCATTAAGTACCTCTGCCTCCAATTGATTTCACTATACAGGCACTTGGCCAAAAAATAGGGAATATCTGATGGAAGCTCTCCTCTTTATCAAGACTTCCCCCACTAAGACATATGATTAGCCTTCGACAAATGCTAATTTAACCGTTTCTAAAGATCTTAAAGGCTGCGTCACTGTTGAACTGCCGATGAAAACAAAGAGTGAAAGAAAAGAAATCTTTTGTAACTTATAAAAGTTGTTTTTCATTTTGTTTGTTTTTCTTCAAGTCTTTCTTTTTCAGCCCAAGCCCACGACTATAAGAACATGGTAGCGTTGGTTTATTTACACCCTCTGGCAGAAAGCGTTACACGTTGCAAAGTTGATGTATTAACCATTGAAGAGGCTCTTAACGGAGACGTAACTGCAATGGGGAAATTAATAAAGCTTTGTTGTTGACTTTCAAGTTATAGCAACTTTTTTATTTTTTGTCTTTTTAGCTTAGTATTGATACAAAAAGCTCAAATTGTCTGTCATTTAACTACATTGAGAGTCTGGGGCAGAAAATCTTTTAACTATATCAATAGGATCTATCAATTAGAACTGTATCTTCTTTCGAATATGATGGCAAAATAACTGCTTAGTCAAGTTGAGTTATATACATGTGCAAAAAGCTTGATTTAGACCAATAAAAAAGCCGATGAAAAAAAGAAAGTTTATACCGGAGAAAAGCAAAAACAATATGGCAGTAGCAAATACACAACAGAATATGGCTTGACTGACATGAGTGACGTATTTACACTCAATTAATTATGTCACCAGGCCACTCTGAAATTTTTACTTTCATTCGAATCCCAACACATAATACACATAAGCCGTTCGCCAAAATAGACAGAGACCAGTAACACAAACAATAAAAAGAACAACCTCCCGTCTAAAAATACAAAAGACAATAGACAATAGAAAATGAATTTTGTGGGTTTGTTTACAATTGTTACCAAAACGGGAGGTGAATAGAACAACAGGGTAATATAAATCCTTTGGTTTGTGTAATACATCCGTACAAACTACACAAACCCACTCGTTTGTGATTCTGTTTCTCTTTTTTTGGACAAATGGACACGCTATTTAACCGAGCTGTATTATACATATGAAATTTCAACAAGTGTTTGGGTATTGTATTGTATTTACTCGAGTCTAAAAGCAATGACAAGTTGCCGAAGAGCTCCAACATGCCTCTTTAGATGGGCATCAACCAGATATAGCTACTAATACCAACAACAACATATGCTTTTACTCAATATGGAGTATATATTTGGTCTCGAGACATAGAGCGGCTATTTTTACCAACGAAAATAATAAACATTTACAAAATTAAACTGTAAACAAATACACAAAACAAGACTAAGAAAATATGTATACCAACAATTCTGAAATTTATAGTTATTATTCTCTTTGTTATGAACTAACAACAACAAAGTCAATTTCAATTTTAGTTCTATATTGGGACAAATAGAAGACAAAGAAAGAAGCAATTTTATTATTATGTAGTTTTGTAAGTCGTAGTTTACGTTTGTTGTTTTTTCTTTTATTAAAAAAACATCATGACTTTTCTGCCTCAATTGCATCTCCAATTTGTAAAAAAATATCACACACATATACTTATCTCTTCTTCTTCTTCTTCTTCTTCTTAACTCACATACCACGACACATCCTCCCAACAATGAGAGTAATCGCTACATTCTTCAACTTATTTTTCCTAGCTGGTGCCTGTCTTTTATTAATCTTCACCGTATTGGCCGGGTCATCAAAACATTTCCCCTTGAACAAATTCTATTGGTTAGAGGCCGACACTTCCAGCATCCCCAATTCACCAGCCAACACATCCGCATGGACGTTTTGGGGAGTCTGTGATAAAAATGATTATTCCAATTGTAAATTGGGACCAGCATACCCAATTTCGCCCGAGGACAATTTCGAAACGACAACCAATGTGCCTCAAGATTTTTTGAATAATCAGTCAACTTATTACTATTTGAGTAGGTTTGCTTTTGCCTTTTGTTTAATTGCATTGGGATTCGCTGGCTTGGCTTTTATTATTGACATTTTGGGTTTCTGTTTCACCATTATTGATAAAGTTATCATGTTTTTAGTCACTGTTGCATTGTTTTTCATGGCAGCATTTGCCTCATTCCAAACTGCCGTTACTGTATTGGCCAAAAACGCATTTTCCAGTGATGATAGACACGCTAAAGTTGGTGCCAAGTCAATGGGTGTCATGTGGGCGGCATTTGTATGTTTATTCATTTGTTGGGTATTGACATTTGCTGCTAATATCAGCAACAGTTATAAAAAACACATGGATAGAGTCAATCAACAGAGACAGGGTAAGGAAGTAGCATATGATGCTAGACAACAACAGCAAGACGAATATCCAAAGGGTGTTGCTGCTAATCGTGACGACTCTTCGTTTACTAGAGCTGGTGGTAGGGATGAAGATGTTAATGACAATGGTGGTGTAGGTGGTGGTGCTGGTGCAGGTAGTGGTGGAATCAGATTTTTCAAAATAAAGAGAAATCAAAAAACAGTTGAGGACGAATCAGTATAATTAATAATAATGATGAGGTAGAGATGATTGTATCTCATAATCTCATGAGTTTCTTTTAATATAGAACCTCATGCAAGATAGATTCCATTGTGGAACTTTTACATCTTGGAATTTAGACCATTTGTTCCCATTTTAAAATACACCAAGAACTTTTTCGATTTGTTTTGTTTCCTTCATTTTACGTTGTTTTATACCACCCACACTCCCTGATTGTACTAACTTTGAAACCCCGTTTGGTTTTAATCTACTACTAAAAGTGCAAAATTACATAAATTAGAACTTCCCTTTCTTCTTTTTAATATATATATATATATATATATATACATATATTTATATATAACGTTATTATTTACTCTTCTTCTTTTTAGCTACTCCCTGAGTCGTGGTTGTTTCTGGCTGTGAAACAATAGTTGTCTGTCTAGAGATATTTACAAGGGTCTAGAGTTATATTTTGATGGAATTTGTTACTGTAATACATGCTTTCCATACTGCCGTTCAGACAAGATTATTTGCAGTGACAACATTATGAAGTTCCAGAATAGGAGTTACCGTTATACCCTCAATTCATCAAGACTATCGAGATAGAACGTTCCATCCGTTAAGTAACCCCTCACGTCCACTTCCCCTCTCCACTAGTGGTCTTTTCTCGGAGTAGTGAGATACGAAATGAAAAAGAAACAAAGATAAACGTTTCTTGCCAAGCCAAGAAGACATGGCAAATTTGAAAGTTGTTACAATTTGCCGCACAAAATTACCGAAAAAAAAGGGGGTAATTGATGTTACATTATTATAATAACCAAGAAGAAGAAGAAGAAGAAGAAGAAGATATCACCAAAGTGTGTACGGTATCTACTGAGTGGTTGAAGAAATGTTGTATTGAATGTGTGTGTGTGTGTGTGTGTGGGAGGGAGAGAGAAAAGCTTAGTTCTTACCCCGTCAATGACGTCAAAGTAAAAAATAATCTTAATTTCCAAATGCGACACAACACACAATACTCAACACTCAAAAGTAGACAGTTTATATGAAACGATAAAAATTTTCCACAAATATAGAAAATTCCATGAAATGTGGAATACAAATTTAGCAAAAGGGTCTTTACTAAAAAAGAAAACATGAAAATGATGAGAACAGTGATTTAAAATACTTACGTAGGTGCGTGTTTCTTTTTATGAGCTTTTAATATAAAAACAAGAGAAAAACATTGGCTTGGTCTCCGTTTATCACCGTGTATATTTTTAATTTGACGAATGCAGATGGCCATAGCAATAAAGCAAAAGAAAGTGAAAATGACTCGATCGGAGAAAAGGTGCATGATATGTCCGTTGTATGTAAGTAAGCAAGCAAGCATTGTCGGCTCTTAGGTTAGAGAAAAAAGTAAAACAATCGTCCGATGGACAATAAGCGGCACAAATGACCGGATTTATAATCAATACTTATGCCTATTCTGCCACAGAGGCAGTGCTAAATACCCGTTGGTCATTGTTTGGATACCCACTAGTAGAATAACGGTCATGGGGGGTGGGGTGTATTTTTTGTCTTTGCATAACAATTTCTATTTTATAGTCCTTTTTGGTTCAAACTTTATATATTTCTGTGTGTGGAATAAATAACTCCGAAAGAAATGTATTAGGTTTAAATTTCTAGAGAACTAATTACACCACCTCTTTTCACTTACACTTACGGAAAACACTTGGAAAGGTATGTGTGAGAGTGTTACTTCTTGCTAAGTGAACTACTCTTAGTAGAACATACATATATACAGACACATATGATTATTGGTGTAATCTTTCGGAGTAGATGATAAAATGGTTATTTTGTTTGTGTTGCTATTGATTATTGAAGTGGAGGAGAGAATGAATTCCAAAAAGAAATTAAATTTTAGTTTTTAGTTTGTTTGAAGTTGGGAGAGAAACGTGTGTGTCTCTGTATGCACACCCCCCCATACACAACAAAAAGAAACCAACAACAGAACACACCCACGCACTTAACACTCATATCCATCTCCACCTCTCTGACTCAAAGTAGTGAGGTTCGATAGATACACCTCTCTCTATATTTAAAAGTTAGAATAAGCAGTCTATGTGTATGGTGTATGTGTGTAGTTTCAACTTTATAGAAAAGAATTTAGAGTAGGAAGAAACTGACCATTAAATTTCATTTCTTGAGTTTAAAATAATGCGGCCAACCAATTTATTTATTTTAATCTTCTTCTTTCATTCAAATAAATTGCGACAAATTTGGCAAAAATTACCCCAATCTATATACAACAGCAACCAAAGAAACTAAGAAAGAAAGAAAGAAACAAACAAACAAACAAACAAACAAAGAGATCTATACAAAAGCACCACTATTACTGCCAACATCTTTACTTTAACAAGTCAAAAGAACAATACCAAAGAGTAGTTTTATTACTACACAACACATTTACCCACTTATCACTCCACTTTCATCCTTATTCCCACACCCCCTAGGAAGAAACGAAGATGAAGGAACATCACGGTGGATTAAGACACATGTTTAAGAAGGAGTTGTCTCCTGCTAGTTCAAACGCTTCATCTTCTGACCCCAATGCATCTCATTCCAAAATATCAAAGTTGTTCCATCACCACAAAGATAAAGATGAGTCAAGCACACCAGCTTCATCGAGAAATACGTCTCCGCATGGCAAACACGCCCTTCCCGCATCAACAGCAGCCTCGCCAGCCATTGGCGATGGACCCAAGAGAACGTCTTCGATGCTTTCTTTAAGACGCAGAAACACCAATCCTTTAAACTCAAGCACAAGTGGGAGGGATAGAGCCACTTCTGAATTGCAACATCCAAAACCACAACATGCTTCAGCAGCTACTCCCAATAAGAGATTGACTAAAGCAGAAACTTTAGCTCACTTGCAGCAGATTGACACTAGGAATAAGGCCACACAACAAATTAGAAGTAGTAGGGTGCCATCAGCTCATAACTTGCCTAATCAGTCCCCCGTGCATGAAAATCATGAAAAAATTGTCTACAATCCGTACGGAATGATCAAGACGCCATCACAAGAGCCAAAAAGAAACACTAGTTTCTATCTTTCTGGCAACCATGATGGTGAAAGGACTGTGGCTAACCCAGTAGCTAATCCCAATGATTATCTTCCCCCAGATTTACAACAACCACACGTAAATTTATTGGAAGACTTTGAAATTGATGTTAGTAACAAGAAATTAGGTGATGGTGGCTCTTCAGATGTTCGTATAATCAATTCTCGTCACAACAAACGTCAATTGTTTGCATTAAAAAAGTTTACCATGTTGAGCAAGGAAACCGATGAAGAGTTTTATCAACGAGTACTGAAGGAATACATTATACAAAAGAAATGTTCCAAATCGAGACATGTGGCTGATGTCTTGGCAATACTACGTATCCAAAGCCAAGCAAATTTGACTCGTGGCTGGGGTGTTGTTATGGAATTTTGCAATGGTGGTGATTTGTTTTCCCTCATTGTTCGACCTGGATGGAAAAAGACGCCGTTGAATGAGAAATTCTGTTTGTTTAAACAAATCGCGTATGGGTTGAAATTCATTCATGAATGTGATGTTGCTCATCGTGATTTAAAACCGGAAAATGTGTTACTTGATAGCAATGGTCTTGCCAAATTGTGTGATTTTGGAGTTAGTACTTACCAGCATGAAACTCCAGGTGATTTCAATAGTTCTGTTAGATTGTCTACATCCTATGTTGGGTCTCCACCATATTCGCCACCTGAAGTTATGCTTTTGAAAGACAAATCTACAGCAGAAGCCAAGAACTTTGCCTATAATATGTTTAAATCGGATCATTGGGCATTGGGAATGCTTTTGTTTTGTCTTGTTTACGGTGGTGTTCCATTCCAACAGGCAACTCCCTTGGATCATGCCTATAGGGACTATGCATTCAACCACAAGAGGTTTTGTAGCGACCATCAAAATTTCAAACATAACAAAGGGTTTAATAAGGGGCCTGGAGTTGAATTTAAAATGGCGGCTAAATTTGAAAATACAGGTGCATCAAGAGTTGCTTGGAAGTTGTGTGATCCATCAGTTGATACCAGATATGATTTGGAGTTGTTGTTTGAAGATCCTTGGTTCCAAGGGGTTGAAATGTGTATTTATGAAGACCCTGATCAAGAGGTGAATCCATTTGTGTTGCCAGGAACAGGAGAAAACCCTGGTTCAGGAGCATCATCTGGCTATAATTCACAAGCACCATCAAGAAAAGGAACCTTTGTTAGACATAATAACGTTAATGGAAATGTCAATGGAGATGGATATACAAGTCATGATGAAAACAATCTAAGTGGATCATTCCGAAGTATGTTGGATTTGAATGATGTGTCGGATAGAATCAACAATGGTAAAAAAAATGTGTCGTCAAGCAACGCTTCTCTTCATTCAAATGAGAATGTTTTGCCACGTACTAGATCAATGCTTGATTTTGACCAACCATCACCCGGCCCACAACAACAGCAGCAACAGCAACACCCACAACAACAATCGTCACCTTCGACTTCGTCTCCACAGCAACAATCACAACCGTCATTTACTTCAGAGCATTCATTGACCAATGGCAATCTACCGGCTTTGGAAGAAAGTGACATTGAGCATGAACCGGAGACTGACGCAGCTAAAAAACAAGACCAACTTGAGCAACAGCAGCAGGAGCAACAGAAGCAGGAGCAACAGAAGCAGGAGCAACAGAAGCAGCAACAACAGGAACAACAACAACAGAATCCAGACGCATCACCAGAAAATGGCAATGAAAGGGAAGGTTCTCCATCTTCTTTGAATCATGATGATACACCCGCCTTTCACAATGAACCATCAAACTTCAAATTACCACCAAACAGACATGACACATCAAACACATCCAATTCTGCAATTAGCGACGATGATAATGTCAGTTGTCACTCCCTTTCTGATATAAAACAGCACCACGGACATGCTATTTTACGCAATGCAAGTAACTTGAAATTGGAAGCTGATGGAACATGCGATTTAGGGTATAAGATAAAGAGACACCATCATAATGAAGTGAGTAATGCCGCTAGTGTGGGTAGGAGGTGAGAGGCATTGAGAAGTTATTTTTGTACTTTGTATATATATCTATATATATTAATAGACGTGATGAATCGGGTTCTGTTTAGTGTCCTTTTTAATTAGAGATGTACCAACAAATCTGTTCTACAATTTGTTCTAAGACGTGAAAAATATCTTTATTAGTAATATACACAATAAAGCGTTATTGCTCTTTTCTCTCTCCTTCGTAAAAACCTTTTCAACAAAGCTAATCGTAAATCACAATTAAGCTTCCAAAGAAACTCTACCCTTTGGATTAGTGACCTTAACACCAATCTTCTTGGCTTTAGAAACAATATCAACTCTATTCTTAGCCGAAACGTTATGAGCAATTTCAGCAGCATAAGTCTTGGTGTGCATAACCAAAACATCCAAATCCTTCAAGTTCTTGACAACAAACACCTTGTGTCCTGATGGAGTCATGTATTTGGTCTTTTTGTTGGATCCATAACCAATGTTTGGTTGAGGAATGGTACCTCTGAATCTTCTACGGACACATGAGTCGATACCCTTTTGCTTTCTCCAGTTTTCGGCGACTCTGTGGTATCTGTCGGAATGATGTCTCTTGAATCTCTTGGTGTATTTCTTGACAATTTTTGGGTGTGGAACTGAGGTAGCCACTAGATGCAAAGTTAGTATTTAATGTTTGTAAGAATGGGATAGGGGCCATGATGTGATGTTGTCTGACAGAAGGAAAAAGAGGTGTTTATGGAAGTGGATAAGTGTGCATGTAAAGCATTATTCGGCTCTCCAACTTGTCGTAACCTTGATTATCATTGACATGTTCGTTTAAAGGATGATGTAAAACTGGATGATGTCTATTCTCTTCAAAAAACTAATCCTTTGATTCCAGTTAATGAAACATCCTCGTTTAATCAATTCTGAAACACCCTTTGCTATGCATTCTTCACTTTCTCAATATGAAATCGTCTTCGAGTATCCTCTTGAAACTTCATCTCACACTTTCCATCCAGACATAACGATACAGTTCGGATACTGTATCTCTCTTTCTCTCTCTTTCTCTCTTTCTCTACCTCTTGCACATCCCAGACAACTAGTTCATTATTGCTAAAACATACTCTTTAATTAATTTGTCGTTGTTGCTAAAACAAGAAAGGACTTTGTAAAGGATTCTTTTTGCTTTGGTTTAATCACTTAGAAAATTTTTCAGTGAGAGAGAGAGTGCGTGCAGTGAGTGCGTGAGTGTACCTACAATATCATCTCTGTTTGCACTGCATAGAAGGTGAAGGGTAGCGCATACATAATTGGTAGCGAGATAGTAATCTATTTTCTAATGAGTAAGGTCTACAGCCCTAATTGAATAGTGCTACCAAAGCAAATTTGTTTTTTTCTTTTGTTTGCTACGGCGGTTCAACATTGAGGCAAACTTCCTAATTAGGAATCCAAGCATAGTTGTGTATTTTGCGAAGAAAGTACCATGCTTGGCAACAGCATTAAGCGATCTGAATCGGTAGCAGCCAAGAGCAGTGCACATAACTTTAATCTCTCAATGCATCTCGTGACAAACGCTAGACTTTAGCAAGTGGGTTCTACATCGTGTAATAGATTGTACAAATTGCACCGCTTCCTTACCCCCACAGCACGTACATAGCAATCGTAAAATTAAACTTAATTGGATATGCATTTAGTGGTGCGGATACAAAGAGGATTCGTAAGTTGCATATTCTAGCTCAAAGTTAAATAGTTGCTACAGTTGATTTACAGGAATGAGAACAGATAAGGGTAATCTTCCTTAGTTGTAGTTGTTGTAGTTGTTGTTGTAGTGGTAGTAGCATATCCCCCGAGTTGAATAAATGTCGTATTTTTTAGATAGCTGTAGCTCTTGCGCTGCGCTGCATGGCTAAAGACAACTATTGTATTGTTTTCAAATCTGTAATGAGTGTTATTGTTTATTGTGTGTTTATTGTTTTGATGTTTACCAAATGCGAAGAATAAAGCAAGTAACAAAATTTATAACCGAGTAATAGACCTTCATAACCTCCCATACACACACATAATGGTCTTATAGCTTATTACTCGATAGACCCTTTTTCATTTTTCCAAACTTGTGCTGAACCTGAATAACTTGCTAATAATACCATTAAGTTGAGCAAAAGGATAGTTCCTTCAAGAAGGTCACAGGACTTTAACTACACCGATATTTAGCAACCCAAACCTGAAAAACAACTAGATAATCAAGAAACCCACAATAGTGAAAGCTCACTTCACCTCACCCCATTCGTTTGAATAAACCAGTTCGTAATCCATATCTTTAGCAAAGTTATGATCGATCTCAGATCTGTCAACAGCAATGGAATATTGTACTACCTATTCTGCATTTTTTTAATATGGATCGTTTCTTGGTACATCATCTACTACATCACTGGGTTTCACCTCAGTTCCATATCAATCAACAATGGTATATCCTTCAATGGTGTCACATTTAAATCCAAAAGGATGCGGGTCAGGATACGATCTCTAAGATTTAGGTTGTGGGGTAACACCAAGATGACAATAATTGATGAACTTGAGTTGAAATTATATCCTAAAGCTCAATCGAAGAGACAAAAGAAGAACTTGTCAACTTCAAGTGAGGACAACATAAATTCACTAGATAATGATATTTGCGTTTATCCAAAGAATTACCCCCTCAAGCGATTAGTACGATTCATTATACGGCGTTTGCCAAGTCTAGATATTGAAATGCGAAACACAACCATATATTCTGCATTGGACTACAAAACCACCATAGATTACCTCAAGTACAATGCCAAGTCACGAGATAGCTTAAGACATGAGGATCGTCTCAAGTTCAGAACCAGCCTACTTGTCAGTAATGTATTTCATGAAATCAAGACAAAAGATGATGTATTGACACCATTCAAGTTGGGAAGTTTCAGAGTGGAGTTTAAGTTTCTGATTGATTACAAGAGTGGAATCATTGGTGGATTCATTGGAAAGATCAATGTTTCGGAGAGTAATATTCTGGTGTTTAATACCATCAAATATTACATACTACACGACGAGTTGAAACAAGCAAAACAGAATAAGTATTTCGCTCGTGGAAACAAATCGGAACACAAACATGAAGACTCTAATGCCCAAGCCAGGCAAGAAAAATTGGAAAAGATATTCCAAATTATACACAAGTTACTTTCAGATGTCACTGTACATATTGAAAACTCGAAAATTTCAGAAATTCCATTTGTGACTATTCAAAACAATGTACAAATCGCTGAATATTATAGTGAAATCAAACCAAAGACATCTTTGGAATTGTTGACAAAATCAGTATCGTTCAACATTTCACGATTGTATGGAGATGCGGCCGGATTTGAAGTTTTATTCAACCCCAAACAGGATATCCCATTCCATTCCACCCTTTCAATTCAACTTTTCCGATTATTTTTTGTTAAGCGAGTCAATTTAATCAGTGGGGCTTATGGTAAAGAAACTGATGAAATATTGAGCATGCCAAACTACTCATTTACTCACAAAACTAATCTTTTGAGTCAAGTTGTTCAAGCCAAAGGATTCAAAAATTGTGTAATGGAGGTCTTTTCTTCGGCCAGTTCACCTATTTTTGATGTTGACTCACGCCAATTGAGTGCAATTTTGTACAATATGGTGTTGTTCAAAAAGTGGCTAACAGTGCGAAAATTGCTCAAGAAAACAAACAACTGTAAAGAAGATAGCTTAACTAAAGTTCAGCAAAATGAGGAGGAGGAGGAGGAGGAGCATGGTAAACAGGAATCACTCAAGGCCAAGCTCTGGAGATATGTAAACGAATATTACCCCAAATTGGATATCAAATTTGTTGTTGAGCAGCCACGTTTTATCCTACGAAACTTTGATGATGGCGATAATACTCAATTGTTGGATTTTTCCTGCTCGTTGATGAATTTCAATCTATCCACCACTCTGACCCGCGACTATGCTTCTAATTTAGAGGTTTTGTATCCCAGTATCAAATATCTTGCAAAAGAAAACACTAGTGCAAGTGCATCTTCTTTGGATCCAGTGCAGAAGGAGATTTTCGGTCTCAGACTTGTCAATATGAAGATCGATATTTTCAAGAATTTGACAGTTGCCTCAATTCTTGAGTTGCATGGATTATCGGTACAATTGACTAGTCTTGAAATTTTTAAAGGTGTTCATTGGCTTCTCCTGGATGTGACAAAATTGGCAGAAACTGATCTTGAAATTGGAGCATTAAACAAACAGTTGAATGACGAGCTCAATTACTTAAAGACAACGTTGCGAAAAGAGGTTCGAAAAACCTCAAGCTTTAAAAAAGCTGAACCAACAAGTACCAAAGACAAGATCTTCAGACATTTACCCTCCTGGCTTGCTGAAGCTGAAGTGAGAGCTACTGATTGGGATATATTTATTGGATCACGATCGGTTTTGATCCCAAAGCAAGATTTGTTTAAATCGGACACTACCGACTTACAATATGATACAGATGAAAGTCACGAGTTGAGGAAAGTCAATATTAGATTCGATACCTTCAAAGCTGGAGTTGCAAATCACGGAGCGCAAAGGATGGATGATAAAAGAGCAAATGACTCATCCTCCTCCTCTCTGGACACTCTCACTTCATTTGTTCAAGATTCTGAGTACTGGTCTGCAAGTAGTAGTCTTGAGAAGTTTCAAATCATCATGCCTGATGACAGCAGCACCAAAAATTCCAATGCTGAACCACTTGTTGAGATTCCAACAATCGATTTGACCGTTGATTCTGTAAGTGATTATCAGGGACATAATCAGTTGATAATTCTGCAGAATGTAGACAAATTGCAAGTATTCTACAACAGGTATAAGTTGTTCACCTTGATTGGTTCAATATACTTGGTTCGAGAATTTATAGTTAGCCCACTCAAGATGATGAAGCTAAAATTAAGGAAAGATTTAGACAAATTTGAAGATCCAACAGTGGTAGCCCCTCAGGATCAAGCTTCGAATAAACTGGTGCTTGATTTTGTTCAAGCAAGCTTCACCTTGCAAACACTGGATATAGTCTTACAAATTGCTGATGCATACAATATCAAGGTACAATTATCAGATACACATGTTGAATTGGCCAACAAGGTGATTAAATTGACATTGTTCTTTATAAGATGTCTTGCAGACTCTCCTAGTGTGAAGGGTAAATGGTGCCGCTTGCTTTGCCTCGATTCTTTAAGTTTAGCTCTTGAGATTCCAAAGTCAGTCCGTGATTTGAACATTGATGTGCATACAGACGCAATTAGGTTAATCCAACCACATAAATTCATTGTTTACGAGTTGTTTGATAATTTGTCTCTCACAGCAAAACTTTCAAAACATCTTGTAACTTTGCTCAAGGCTGATGATGCCAAGGAAGGTGCAAATGTTGTTCACCCTCACGAAATGAAGCCTATTTCATTGCCCAACTTGAGTATAAAGTCCAACCATTTGAAGTTTACTATGGAAGATGATCCTTTTGAAACGGAATTGAATATGATTTTCCAATTGGGTAAAACTGAGCAAAGAAAGAGATTGGAATTGTTTTCCCTATTTGAAGCTAAAGAAGCCCAGCTTGGCGATGATAAAGACTATTTCTCAAGGTTGGAGAAATTAAACACAACTATATCAGAATCTTGGATGAGAAAAGTCAAAATCTATCAGCAACAGTTAAGAGAGGAGATTGTGGCGCATAAGGATTATCTATTTGGTAATGAGTGCCGGTTTCATCCAGACTATAACAAAAATGTGGTGGCATACCCATATGATGCCCCTCTCTTAACAATTGGAATGGAAGGATTTAATTTAAACCTATCAAAACCTGATTTTGGTCTTGAGCATATTTCCGATTTTATCCACGACGTTGGTCAAGGTGTTCCAAAGGATACAAAGTATTCCGTGATGGTTCCCATGTATTTGGATTTGAAATTGGCCGAAATGAGGATGCAATTACGTGACTACCCTCTTCCCATTTTGTATTCCCCAAGAAATAAAAATACCGCCAATGCAAGCTTATTGCTTAGAGGTGATTTGGTTATTAGTGAAAAATTTGTCACTGACAAGGAGGAAATTAGACAATTACATGTTCCTTTAATTGCTCGCAACAAGGATGACGCTAATCGGTATGACTTGTTGACAGTTGAGAAAACGCTTTCGTCAGTAAAGATGTATACCAAAATGGCTTGTGATTTCAACTCCGACTACCCCACCAGGATTGTTTGGGGTACTTCATACAACTTTGGAATCCAACAATTTATGTTGAATTTTGATCAATTTTCAAAGCCTCCGGTTGACCCGTCGCAAAAATTGGGATTTTGGGATAAGCTCAAGTATGTTCTTCATGGAAGCTGTGTTATCAAAACTAGGAAAAGCTTGGAGGTTGGATTCAAAGGATCAAGAGACCCCTACGAATTGTTGTCGACTTCTGGTGGATTTGTTCTTTCGTTTAGAAAGAATGTGGTTTGGAAGATTAACAAGGATGATGATTCAAGAAACTTTTTTGACATCACTTCGGATAAAGTATCATGGTATATTCCCAACTACTTGGCAACGCCGTTACTAGCCTGGACTAGAAGTAGTATTGATTCAGTCTATCTACCGGACTCGCCTCATTTTATAACCACTTGCTTTGGCTATTATCTTGAAGATTCTGCTACAAAACCAGATTTCAATTTGCTAAACAAGGTATTTGGCAAAAATGTTATAAGCTTAAGTGGAGGTATCGAGTTTCATGTTGGGTTCTTGTTACAACGAAAGGCTGATGGTAAAAGAGTTGAAGATTTCAAACCACATTACGACGTCCATCTAATAAATCCAAAGTATTGCGAAGACGGACATGACTCATATGCTGGTTTCAGAAGTGAGTATGTTCATATGGCGATATCCTTAGTAGCTGACAGAGACACCAGTTACAACACTATCCATCTAAGCCCAGGAGCCTTTAACCAATTTTTTGCATGGTGGAAGTTGTTTTCTAGTAATATGATGTTGCCGATTAGAAGGGGTCCATTGTTTGGCGAAACCAAGAAATCCGTCAAGTTTTCTGAGCACTTATTCACAAACAAGTTTTCCTTCTTTTTGAAATCGTTGTTCATTGCACACATGTACCGAGATGAGGTTATTGACGTTGATGATGATAGGATTGAATGCATTGGATTGAGAGCAAAAGTTGATGAATTTTCTGTTGATTTGCACCAGCGTAAACAGCCTGTGACTTTGTATCACGAGGAGCTTTCTAAACGGACAAAAGTCATGAAGATGAATTTCAATGTTGGAGAAGTGACTCTTTCAAATATTGATTTGCGGGCTGTGCATTCCAGCTTTTCGCAAAACTTGTACCAGGAAACAAAGAAAGACTATAATGATAAAAATTCCGAGTACAACATTTATGGAGGTGACAAGATCTGGTTTGACATTCAGGATTATGAAGAAGCGTTTTTACCTTCGTTAAAGTGTAGTCCAAGAAAAGTTGAAATCCACCCCCTTATGTTCTCCCAAAGGTTTTCCTATGAAAGGGATACCGAAAATGATGCCGATAAAAATCAAGATGACGACCAGTTTGGTAATGAGGACATACACAATTGTCGTATTCACGCCAACAATGAATCTGATCTGAGAGTTGGCTTGTTGGAGAATAGATTAAAAGCGCTCAATCAACAGATTACAAAGGTACGCAACAAAGGTGCTTCCGTTGGGGAGTTGGAGGAACGACTTGCATTTGTGAAGCGTATGCTTGATCAGGCAAAGAGAGGTGTATCCTCTTATCAAAGACAAACCTCGATTGTATCCCTCGAAAGGGAGGAGCACTTTCATAACAAATTCACGTGGCTGAGTATGTTATTGAAATGGAATAGGACCTGCCGTGACAATGTCATGAGATACATCCATTTTGTCCAATTAAAGGCAGCGATGAAGAAATACTTGTCGCATGAATCAATTGCAACTCTTGAAAAGTTTATTGAAGAGAATGGTCCTGGATCTGATACGGATTCTCTTGCATCGTCAGCTGAAACCGACGATCAATTTGTCGGTCATGGCGAGGACGAATTAAGAGTCAAATCGAGATCAGAGGATTTGACTTCAAACGACAGACTTGTTAATTTCACCAAAATTTTGAGAGAGTTAAAGGGTAACGAGTCATTATCCGAGGATTATTTAATTGAAATAGTGTCACCTCAGATTCAACTTCAAAGTGATGAGTCTCCTGACTCAGTTGTCATTGTATCAACGCCTACCATTAGGGGCAAATATGTGTCGGTGTTGAATTCTAAAGAAACAGCCAATGCGGAAGTCTTGGAGAAAAGATTTGGGATTGTACTACAAGATGCCAGTGTTTTTGTTTTGAACAAAAAGGATGTCTTGGGTAGTGATCGAATGATCATTACTGCCAATCCTTATGGTGCCGAAGCTAACTGGCCACCATGGCTAGGATCAGAAATTACTCAAAATGGTAAATGGGCCGGTGAAAACCAACTTCTTATACAAAACTTGTCGGTCATGGTTTTGTTTTACGATACCGAGATAATGAGCAGCAAATTATCAAAACCTAAAGATGACACTTCGGTTACAGAAGCAGAAGATCACAAGCCAACTTCAAGTTTGGAAGCACCAAAGAGATTGCGTATTGATATGCCTTCGGTTGTTATGACCTCGACATCATCGCAATACTTTTCCTTATATGTGATAATCATCAGTCTTTTGTTTTACAGTGAACCGATGAGTAAAGCCATAGCTGAAAAGATTGAAAAGATGAAATTTTCAATCGACTTTGACAACCTAGCCGATGTTGCCGATAAATTAAAAGGTTTGCAACTGTATTACCGTATTCTTAAGTTGTTGAATGCAAACTATAGTTTCAGAAAGGGCCACATGACCAATGAGGATTTGAATAATTATCTACAATTGAATTTAGAGACGGGAGATATTGCTAGTGAAATTTATCTCTTGTTGAGAACATTGCTTACAGGTGATTTTTTCAGCGATACATCAAACTACCCGCAGATATCTTGGTTGATAAAAGCTGATGAGATTATTTTGCATATTCTTGAGGATGATCGAACACCCATTGTGGATGTTGCCCTTGCCAATGGAGTCTACAAGAGAAAGGAACTAGAAAGTGGATCCAACTTGAACCAAATCCAAATTCAAATGTTGCAAGGATTCAACCTCATCAAGAATGCTAGGTATCCCGATTTTATTGGCCCCTTTGACATTGGTCAAAATCAATCTGAAAAATTGATTGATTTACAATGGACAATGAATAGATCAGTTGGTGGAATAAAGATTGTCGAAAATTTACAAGTAAACTCTTTACCGTTGAACATCAAAGTTGATGAAATAACTGGTGAGAAACTTATGAACTTTATTTTCCAAACTGATTCGGCTGACATTAAAGAAAGCAAAGTGATTGAATTGGTCAATAATACAGAAGCCAAGGAGAAAGAAATTGAAGATCCTTTTGATCAAGATCAATATGGCTTGGTAGAAGAGACTGAAGGAGCAAACAAGAGTGCCAAACTTGATAAGCAACTACAAGAACGAAGCATGACTAGCTCTAAAATGAACAAACGGAGTTTGACTCGCCTTTCAGGAAAGCGTCCTCCTAGTAGCAAAGGTAGTGGTGGTGGTAGTGATGACGCTGAAGAAGATGCTGAGCAAGTTGATAAAATGATTGAAAGGTCGAAACAATATTTCTCAATTATTTCCCTCACGGTTAAAGCCATTACATTGCGAATCACAATCAAATTAAACAAGGGATACAAAAGATTATTAAATGTTCATGATTTTAAAGTTGATTTACCTGAATTAATAATCAAAAATCGGATTCTTTCATTTATCGATTTGACGGAAATCGTCAAGAAGTTGGTTTTGAAGAGTCTTTGGAGTCATACTGGTCGATTATTGGCCAACAAGTTGAGCTCAAATGATACGTCGCTGGATATGATGAATCATGAGCGGTTAAAATCGGTGAAGACGTACAACAAGTTTATTCCAATCCGTGAATTGACCATTGTTAAAAGCAAAGAATAGACAAAGTTAATTGTTTAATTCATACAAAATTGATTTAATTTATTAAAGTGTAAATATACAAACCTGTGATCAAGCCCCTATTGTACTCTTGTCCTCCTTCTCTCTCTATCTGATTCTATTTTACCTCCCCTAAATATGCTGTTTCTTTACCTCACCACCATTTTGATGCTTCTTTTTCCGCTTCTTATTCCGTTCATCATCCCGATCATCACCCCTCATCAAAGTTTGTTGATCACCAATAGCCAAATCAGCAGCATCAAACCCGGGAATTCCATTAATCGGCGTCCGATCAAATTTCAATGCCCGTTTCAACAACTCTGCATCAAACTCATTTATTATATCGGGATGTTGACTAATCTGTGGATCCATTAATCCCATGGGTATCGTTTTCGGCTCAGGAATTTGATGTTTACCGGGCAAATCCTGGATATGGGCCTTGTAGGATTTTCTCAATTTCACGTTCTTGGAGCCATCGGTGTTAGTTCGTGATAGCAGCTGGGCTACTGGTTCTAAGTTGTATAAATGAAGGAGGTTTTGTAGTGGTGTTGGTTTGGATGGTTGGTATTTTTCTAAATAATAGCAAAGTGTTAGTAAAAAGCTGGAAAAAGAATCAAGCAGAGTGGTTCACACACTGCAAGATGGGGACCAACTTACTGGTTGTGTCTATTAGATAGTATTTGTCCTGTATACTGTCTGACATTGAATGAACCCGACTGTGTAGATAGTGAAACTGGTATAAAGTATGTAGCTATTTTGTGACCCCTTTCGGTAAATTTTTTTTTGCTTAAAGTTGCATTTAGTTGTGCTTAGTTAACAACAAAAGTATATCAATCATTTGATTTCTATAATTATATTGTCATTATTAATACAAAATAGATATATAGTATATATTATATATAAACTTTGAACCAGTGTGGTCCCCAAATATATTCCAAAAACCCCATCTTCACCGCAGATTAATCGAAATGAATTAAGTTAGTATGTGTTTTGTGTATGTCTCTGTGTATGTTTTGTATGTAATGCCTTGTTCTAGTTTACTTTTTACCAACTACTTCCCAATCTTCATTGCTACTGTTCTTTTCAGACACTGACAAGTTAGCGGTCGCACTTGCCAACTTGCTAACATCGTCCGATCCACTTTCTTGCTTAGCTTCAGGTTGTTGTTGTTCTTCTTCGTTATCATCGTCATCTCCATCATCTACAGATAATACACTGAATTGAGATTTTTGAGGTCCTTGAGGCTTATCTTCTTCTTTCTTGTCGTCTTTGTTCTTATTTCCATGTGATGTTGATTTGGTACGCTGTTGCAATGGTTGTCCTCTCTTCCAATCAAAATCGGATTCTGATGTCTTTCTATTGGATCCTGATCTATGTGACCTTTCCCTTGGAGGCAATGTACCAGCAGTTGATCTGGCGGCTCCCCAATCCAAATCTGGTTCTTGTCTTCTTGGCGTACGGTTAAAACTTCCATGTTCTTGTCCTTCACCGTGGCTTGATGTTCTTGATGACTTTTGTCTTGGAGGCAACTCAGCATGAGTGCTTCTGGCAGCTCCCCAATCCAATTCTGGTTCGTCTCTTGGTGTATGTTCTCTTGGAGCTCTGTGAGACCTTTCTCTTGGTGGTAATTTGCCTGCTTCCGTTCTGGCAGCTCCCCAGTCCAAATCAGGTTCATCTCTTGGCTTGTGTTCTCTTGGACCTCTATGTGACCTTTCTCTTGGTGGCAAACCACTAGACTCTGATCTAGCAGCACCCCAGTCCAAATCTGGACCAGATGGTCTATCTTCCCTTGGACCTCTGTTTGATCTCTCCCTCCTTGGCAAATCAGCTTGTGCCCTTCTTGCTGAACCCCAATCTAATTCAACTTCAGGCTCTCTTCCACCTCCCAATGGACCAGACCTGCCTGATCTCCAATCACCTTCATCAGCTCTTGGTGGGGCAGCCACATTGACAAAAATTTTCCTTCCTTGAAACTCACTCAAAGTTAACTGCAAGGACTCTTCAAGAATACCTCTTTCGGTGAATGTAATAAAAGCATAACCTTTTAATCTTCCATTGTCTCTATCAACAGGTAACTTAACATCAGTAATGATATCTTGTGCTTGCATTCTATCCTCAAAATGTCTCACAATTACTTCTTCAGTAACTTCCCATGGCAAGTTAGACACACGAGCAACATATGGTGGCTTATCAGGAATTGGATACTCCTTTCTCTCTCTTCTTTGTTCTTGGAAACCGCCGCTTTCACCGCCACCAAGACCAGAAAATGCCGGTCTGCCTCCGATTGGAGCCTCAGTGGTGGATTTATCCAAAGACAATCCAATAGAGTTCAAATCGACTTCCTCGTCAGCCCATGAAGTTCCTCCATAAGCATCGTCGGCTAAAAATGAACCCAAGTCCATTTTGACATTCTTTTTTGGTCCCATTGTAAAATTAACGTGTTCTTGTCGTTCTTATGTCGAATAAAGTGTAAATTGTGTAAATTGTGTAAAGATATATGCAGAGACTGTGAATGAAATAGTAAATTCAAAAAATGATGTCCTGCAAAGTGCGTTGTAATGTACTTTTTTTACTGGGGGCAAAATCCTAAACCAAGAAAGGTTCTGTTGTGCTTTGATACTAAGATGATGGGTTTTTGAAAAATTTTCGTCCTTTCGTTTTTGAGATCAATTTTTTTTCCTTTTCCTTTTCCTTTTCCTTTGTTTGGTGCACTTTCAATAAATCAATTTCCGCGACAAAGGAATACGTTAGAAAGGTACAAATGATTATTCAAATTAAACTATAAACTAAGCTGGACGATATTAAACCCTTAGACTCGGTTATCAACTACCTCTCTTCTAGATACATCAGCAAAATCAACCTCTGTATGTCCAGCATAAGCACGGTTTGGGGAACTATTTTGGTTATTATTGGTGCCTAGGCGTTCGTCGGGTTGATTTGTCGCGCTATTTGCAGCTTCGTTATCATCTCCACTCTCACTACCATTTCTGCTTGATTCGGGATCATTCGTATGGCCAACATTTGCTGCACCCGATTCTTGTAGCTCTCGCAACTGTTGAGCCCGTCGGTGTTCACTAGCCAAAGTTAAAACCGCCCAGTAAAATAAATCCAGTTTATTTATACCCAACAACTTCCACACAAGTATCTTGAAGAACCTGCCGTATTTCTTCTTGGAAATTGCTTTAGCCCTTTCTTCAAGATTTATCTCGGCATATTGAGGATCATTCAAGACTAATCGTGCCCTCTCCGACATTGGAATCAAGTCTTGAATGAATGCTTGAAGCGCAGGATCACGTTGGATTTCATCAATATCAATGCTTTCAAGGTCGTCATCAACTTCACCTCCATCGCTATTATCATTTGGCGATTCAGTATTATTGTTGGTGTTTTCAATCGAGTCTGCATGATTATGTTCACTCGATCCCTCATTACTAGCCTCGTTGTCCTGCTGGTAGTCTCTCTTGAATAAATAATCACGCTTGCACATTGGGCAACAAGCACGTCTCTTTGTTAACCACGGATCGAGACAAATAGCATGGAAAACATGTCCACAGATCAATCCACGCACAATGTCTTCATCTTCAAGTACCTCCAAACAGATTGCACAAGAGCCAGAATCAAAATGTAGACTTTGTGTTTCTGCTTCCGTCCGCTTCTCCAGCGACAGCTCAACAGCTTCGATATGAGACGAGGGACTACCACCAACTTTAGGCTCCTCATCGGTTATATCTTGATCTGTTTCTACTCGCGTCACAGCCTCATCCATCCGCTTCAACTCTATATCGTTACCCAAATCGATCCCGTGATGTTCATGCGCCGTGTATAAAGTGTTATACGACCCGCTGTCATCAGCATCTTGCACAACCTCAACAATCCCATGCTCGCCTGGCTCTTCTTTAAGCATTCCATCTCTCTTTTCAACATCTCTTTCCTTACCTCCATTCAACCAATCGTAATATGACTTTTGGGGAAACAATTTCTCCACCTCAACTGATGTTAGTTTCTTCATTTTGCTAAATCTTCTTCTGCGTCTTCTTCGTCTACCCTGTCGTCTTCTTTCTCGTTGCACACGCCCTTCTCGGAAGGACAATGTTTCTTGGATAATATTAGCTCTGATATGATTATGATCCCGCATATAGCTTAGCTGTTCTTGGATCTCCTCTGGAGTGAACACATGAGTCAAGGCATAATTATTGATCGCTCCAGTGTTACCAAATGTTGATGGCGTATAAGGGGTTCTTCTACCCAATGGGGACACAGCAATACCATACTTGGATCGAATAAAGTACCTGATTGTGAAAAACACAAACACCAATGCAATAAAGACACCAACCGCCAACGCAATAAAAAATAAAACCGTTGATGGTGTGCTTCCAATAAAGGAGAGGGCATCAGAAACATCGGAATCGTCAGAGGTGGTACTGGCGGCTGTGTTTGGCGTTGAGGATTCGGTGGCTGTTTGCACAGCAAACGACCTGATTGGCGCCGTAGTGATTTGTGAGTTGTGACTGTCCATAATTGCGTGCTACTAAAGATCACTGGACGACAAGATTATAAGATGGTTGAAGCCCTCTGTGGTAGTAGTGAATAGTTCTCCTCAGTTCGGGTGCAGTTTCATAAGGAGACCGGAAAATGTGGTAGTTCCTTTTTTTTTCTGTTTTATCTTTTATCTTTTAATATGTGTATATACATATATTATATTCGAAAAAAAAAGACAATAAAATCTGTCGTGATCACAGTAAAAGCAGGTTCTTTGTGATTTTGATTTTTGTTCAAAGGATAATGATGTTGGTGATACCTTCTACTATATGTGTGTATGTATGTGTGGGAATATCTCTTTTAATATAAAAGAATCAAATGACTTTTCAATTTACAAAATGAAAAAATGAAATGAAATGAAATGATTATTACCATAATTTCCCTTTTTCAATAAAAGTTCAATACACACACACACTCTCTCTCTCTCTTCAATAAAAACCCTTAAATGGTGAAAATGTTACACCAGTGTAGTAGTAGTATCTTTCACCTTCTCCTATTTTTTGTTTTTTAATTCTTCACTTTTAACAAATAGCTATAGTTAGGGGTAATAATCAAAACTCCGAAAGGTATGTTTTACAGATTATTATATCTGACAAAAATTGATTAAATAAATAATATTATATTTCCCAAGAAGAGTCTTTTCTTAATTTTGATGCCTATTACGCCAAGGCAAAATTGGATGGCCATAAAAGGAGAATCAGCAGTAATCATTATTTAAGATGGGACTTAATATGTTATAAAAAAATAATAAGTCACTGCTCCCCGGGGCGGTGACATCAATTCAAGAAAAAGGGTTTAGTGATACCAGTGAAGCACTATTTCGTTAGAAGCAACCGAGGTTGCATTCCAAGAAATCAAGTTGTTTCTTGGTCTGTAATGCCTTGCTAGTACATGTATCAAAATGTATGAACATATAAAACTTGGTCAAAATCACTCTTTAATACGAAGGATGCACTCGCCCAGTTACAAAATCAATACACACCACCCTATCTCCGAAAACTTTTCCTACTCTAAAAATGCAGTCTTCAAAATGAAAAAAAAAAAATTACCAAGCATTATGGAACTTTTGTTCTACTGTACTTCTTGCGCCAAAGCAGTACTAATCGGTGGTTCGCCAGTACCATAGCAACATCACAGCATATGGTCTCTCCGTGTTACAAATATTTGCAAAGCGCGGAATACAAGTGCGTATTGTTCTCTTTTTTTTTGTTTTTTCTAGTCTCGCCCCCTCCCCCCTCCGGTCTCGCTTTAATGTAAGCCTTGCTCAGTCGGAGAATTCACCCCATGGAAGAAATTTACCCACCTTCGGTACAGGGTTTCTTAGCTTCGCTTGGCCCGTGTCTCTCTGTATTTGCGTGTGTGTGTGTGTGTGTGAAGTGGTGGGGAGGGGCACTTCATGTATCTCACTTAGTCACAGACTGCATCGAAGAGCAAACTGCAACTGTTCTTCAATCTAGTAAGAACTGGTTCTGCTTTAAAGACATCAGAGCCGGTCACTCCTTGTTCTTTGGACACTTGTATACGTACAAGAAAAGAGATCACATAAGTACTCGAATGGCGTTCCCGCTACTGTCCTTAGCTGTTTCGTAGTGTGATGTCAGTTTCCTAGTAATTGCTTTCATTTGAAAGTTACCCTCCATCTGTTTGTTTCTATATCCCCTTTGACTCAGGCGTAAAGAGAATCAACCTTACAATCCTTTCCTCCTCCACCCACCTCTCTCTCTCTCTTCTTTTGTATAAACTCTCTAACGTTCAAATTAGATACAAAATACAGAATTTATATAATAATAATATATATATATAACCTATTCAACATTCGGCTTCTCTTTAACATAACAAAATTCGAACTTGAGTTTCAATTCTCTCTGTTTAATAGTCAACCTAGTTTTTTGGGGCATCCTTGAAAGAAATAGCAGCTTCTTCACCCATAGCAGAAATGATAGTAACAATCAAATCCTTACCATCGTCAAACTCAGTTTGAATCTTGTCACCCAAGTCTCCATCTGGAACCTTGACATCATCCTTGGTGTCACCATCAGCAGTCATCAATGAAAGGAATCCATCATCAATGTCCAACAATTGGAATTCTTGTCTTCTGACATTTGGAACCTCCATATTGTGGGTAGATGGAGACAAATCTTCCAATTTCTTACCAGTGAAGATGTCAATGGCAACTAAATGGACTTTGGCGTGTCCGTGCTTACCAGTCTTAGAAGTGGACATATCGACAATCTTACATGGTCTGTTCTTGATGACAACATGACCATTCTTTCTCAATGCGGAACATTGCATTGGGAAAGTCAAAGCAGCACCGGCATCAGCGGTTTCGAAAGTGTGCTATAGAGTACAACTGTTAGTATATGTACATAAGTTGTGAAATTTTGAATGAAAGTAAATGGATGGAATTTTGAATTGTGAAAAAAAAAAGGTTGGAGTTCGAGTTTGATGGACTGATAAAAGCCAGCAATCGACTGCGAGTACAACCTCATTGTAAAGAAGCGACTGTACTCCCATCCATTAACAACATAAGCCAGTCTGGTGCTACTCCCAGGAGGATGATCAACCCCACCCAACGCCAGAAAAGAAAAAAAATTTTCTTAACGCCTCCTCACGCATAAATTTTCAGTCATTGGGTGGTGTCCATTGAGTAAACAACCAACACTTAATCAATCTCCCTCTCTTTCTCACAATCCATAACCTGAATAACATTCACAATAGTTGGAATGAACTATGCAAGTAGGGAAAAACATACATCTTCTTCAGCCATGGTTTGGTATTAAAATATTCCTTCGTTGATTTGTTGAAGAAAAATAAAAAAAAGGAAGAGGAAAAATTTCTCATGAAGAAAAAAAAAAAAATCTTTTGTTGATGGATGGATGAGAGAGAATGAGAGAATGAGAGAACAACAAAACAGCAAAAAAAAATAAAAAATAAAAAAAAAACTATAACAAAATAGTTAATAATCGCACGACCTTTATTGGTTTGAATTTTTCAATATGTACAAAAAAAGACAAAAATAAGAGAGGGTGATTTGGTTCACAAAAATACATTCTTTACGACTGAGATGGCACTTGCAATTCTAAAAAGGTGCTTGCTTTTACAGAGTACTGATTAAATTGATCAATTATAGCTGATACTTTATTTAATAATACAACAATTAATCACAAAAATAAAAAAAACAATGATTTATATATCAACATTAATGAAACTTTTACCACTTTCGATGGAGATGGCGTCTTTCCTTCACTTTACTTCAGTTTACTTCACTTCACCTGCATATATTATAAGTTGACAGCTGCTCTCGCCACAGCACTAGCTTGATCTACTGATTCGGCAGCGGCGGCGGCGGCGGCAGTGGAAATTTTGTCTTTTGCCGTTGTGGCAACTTCCCTCTTAATTATACCTTCACTTTTAGACTCTGTTTCGGCTCCGTCAACAGCGCTTTCACTTTCTTTAGTCTCGTCTTCATTGATAGCCTCCCCGGCCTCGCTTGTATTTTCGGTCTTTATAGCTCCACTATCTAGTTGCTTGTTTCGTTCACTTTGCAAATCCACTTGCTCGGCTTCCTGCTTCTTTGATTCACTCCCATTCGCAGGTTCTACCTTCTGAGCTTCTTGGCTCTTTCCATTTCCTTCCTTCTCCGCCAATTCACTGGCATTGTCCTTTTTCTCTGCAGATACATCTTCATCGACCTTTTGATCGGTTGAGATAGTCTCGTCAGTTTTTTTATCTACAGATTCAGTTTCTTCGTCCTTTGACTGCTCGATCTCCGGTAAACTTTGTTCAATTCCACTAACTTCGGAGTCATCGTTAAATCCTGACCCGCCGTTCTTCACCGATAACAATCTTGAATTTGGATTGGCATTCTTATCGTTATTTAACTTGTCCTTTTCGTACAAGATTTGTTGAATGTACGGATCCCATTTCGTCAATATTTCGCGACAAAGTTCATGTAATTTAAAACTTTCGGAATATTCCAAATCGGGATTCTTGATAATACATCTCATAACTTTGTATAATTTGGTCTTTTTCAAAAGCTCCTTATCAACAGGGAAGTTCACTAATCGATACAAGATTAAACGGACAACCAGTAGTTCGTTTGCTGTTGGTGGGGATTTATCTAGATCTCGTTGAATCAATGTCCTTTGTAATTTGATTCGACACAAGTATAATTGGTGCTGCTTCTCTTCATCACTAACTGGAACTTTACTTGACTTTATTGACGCTGCGGCTGCACCTGCAGCATTAGCAGTATCTTCATCACTAGAATTTTCCAATTTGGGTTTCTTGTTTGACTCTGCATCAGGCTCAGCTTTGACAGCAGCGTCAGTCAGTTTCCTCTTTTTGCCATTGGTCGATATATTATTAGCCTGTGATACCGAGCCACGCTTCCTCTTGTTCTTTGGTATTTCCTCTTGGTATTGATCTTCAACATCGCCATCCTCTCCCTCATCCTCAACTTCTTGTGTACGACTAGATCTCCTTCTTCGAGATTCAGCTCTATTTCGGCTCTTGAGGGGTGCCGATTTCTTCGCAGGCTGTTCAGATTCTTCAAACTCTTCAGGCCCTTCATCCTGTTCCTCCTCTTCCTTGGTGTGCTCCTTAGCTTTATCCTCCTTAGCTTTATCCTCCTCATCATCCTCCTCCTCATCATCATCTTCGTCTCCGTCTTCCTGGAAAATAGTTATGAAATCATCAAAAGCCAAATCATCTGATGCAGCTATGGCTTCGGGAAAAGTTGCTGGCTTTTTAGGTGACCTCGACAACCTTCTTCTTAAAAATTTCACATCCTTCATCCTGGCAATTGTCTTTGAATCTAGTTTAGTCAACTCCTTGGCGTTATTCCCCGGCTTGAACTCCTTCAACCCCTTCTCAGAAGACCAGTGAAAGTCACCATCGGGTATGAATATTACACAATAGGGTGTGCCTTTCTTTTTTGCCTTTTGGACGTGTTTTGGAACATATTCAGTTGGCGTGATAAATGCTGGCCACCAGGGATATCCAGACATTTTGGCAAACACTTTTTGCTTGTCCTTGAAGTCGTGTGAAGCCGATTTTGGAGGCATCTTGTGAAAGCTATCCTATAATGATATTGTTTTGATTACTCTATCGAGAAGTATATGTGTTGATGTAGTGACACTTGTAGCAATTGGCGCGATGATGGAATTCTCCGAGCAAATATAAAATCAATCAATTGAGACAGCAAGGAGACAATTTATTTGGTTGATTAAGGTATAATTCCGAAATGTCAACAAGGCAAAGGAAAGTCACGCGGTTCTGTGGTTGTAACTTTAGGTTGTGTGTATCAATCGCCTGACGTATAAAATAATAAACACCAGTAGCAATTCAAACTTCACTTAGATTGTGCCTAGGTCTGTCTTGAGTTGGATGTGGTCGGCAAAATATATATATATATATATATAAGAAAAGAAAGGAAAACAACTGGTGATGATGATGGTAGTTTTTTTTTTATTTTTTTTCTTTTGTAATCTTTTACATTTGGAGGTTTCAACAATTGGTGAGAGTTGTTTTTGTTTTTTTATTGTTTCTTTTGTTTGTTTGCTCTAATTTTAAATCTCTCTTTTACATACAAACATACAGACATACTCTCTCTCTCTCGGTATATCTATGGCTTTGTGTGGGTTGTAATTCCACAATAGAGTTAAAAATTTAGAGTTGGAATAGAAAGGGATATGAGACGAGACTAGAAACCATACTCTCTTTAAGCATTGCTTTAGTGGTATGCAAACAAGTTGCCAGCTCTTTTACTGGGACAATTACAACAAAGGTGCTCAGAAAGCAACCACAATTGGGTGGGGGGCGTGAGACGGAAAAATAAAAGCATAAAAAGAAAGGAGACAAAATGAAATTGTGTGAGAAACAATCTAACCCTTTGGTTTAAAACTACAACATCACAAAACACCAATTCCAGCAATAAGGGGAGAGACAGCTTGGAGTGCCATTGAAGGTAACTCAAAGCCTTATACTTTGACTTGAACGAGTTTGTTCAACCCATTAGAGAGAAAGATTAATGCTCAGTGTGCAATAGGCTGGAAGAACAATGGGTAGTGTACCCTGTTCAAGTTTAAAGCTCGTAAATGATTTATAATATTTATATGCAGGAATTACTAAAGTAGGAGATAAAACTTTTGCAACTTAATGAGAGTATTTACTCCAAGTAGAACAAATCAATATTGAAAGCCAGTAGTTGATATAAGTGACGTGGTTGGGCCGATACTTAATCAAGAGCAATCTTTTTTAAAGTATGTAAGCCACTTTATAGACCTCTAGAGCTTACGGAAATTGACAATGGGAGTAACGATTGAGCATTAGTTTGAAAGACTAACAGTAGAGGCTATCATACTCTAGTTTCCTCGCTATTTATCGAAACATGCTGAATAGGCATAAACCAGATAATAGCTAAGACTCTAATGATGTAATAACTGTGCTTGTTTATTTTGTTTTTAGATGGCTGATAGTGAAGCGAAGGAACAACTTTGACAGCAACACCAATCCTTTAAATGAATTGTTTACTTTCATAAGCTAATGGAACTCTAGTACTCACATGCTTCTAGCTTCTATATAATTGCACACATTCTATTGCCGTCGTCTAAAAAGCTGAGACTACAATGAAGAAATCCTTCCTCTCGGAGAATGTTTCCATCTCAGATAATACTCCCTTCCCTTGATGAAGTATATAATGAACCAGATTAGCTTTCTATAAACCAACACTTGGTAGATCTTGTCCTGTCCCACACAAACATCCTGTCAAAACTAAAAAAGCAAAAAAAAATGAAGAATTAAAAATGAGAGAAAAAAGAAAGAAAAGCTGAAAAAAAAAAATTGTCTCTTTTTCACAACCAAGTTATAAAACATTTGTCTACCATTTACAATAGACTATTAAACCACTGCCATCAAACACCCTCCTAGTCACATCAGAAAGTATCATATACTCACTTGTTGAAGGGTGATTAATGGATCTCCTTTGAGTTAACTTATTTTTAACACAACTCTAGAGATTATTCATCACCATTGCAGCCAAAAGAAAAGAACCTAAAAAAAATAAAAGACCAAAAAATGGATCATTCAAACATTCGAACATTCAAAAGACCACTTGATATCCCAACAAGAGAACAACTTGCGGCTATTTTCAATCCACCTAAACGACTGAGGAATACTCAATCGTTGGATAGCCCATCAATACCTAGAGGAACGCACTATGTTAACGATGAAAATGTGCCGACAAGTTTCAATATGTCGTCAACTATCAGACAAAATAATTTAGATGCAAATGGCAAGCACCCCCATTACCTCCCCCCATTCGATCAAAATCAACTGGAAATTAAAAATAACGCACCTTTATTAAACTCAGTTCCACCTGATATCGTACCTATTGTCCATCCACCAGCAATCACATCGGATTTTTTCACTGATGTCACTACGGATTTAAGTAATGAAAACACTGCCGAACAAATTTATGGTATTCTCAAGAAATTTCCGCCACCTATACCACCTCCGGCACCACTACCAGAAATCTATGGCGATGTAAGTGATGATGAGAGAGGTGGAATCATGGTCCCATTCATTTACCCACCACCGCCCGTTGTCAATATTGATAAATTACCATTCTCGTTAACCCAATTTAGACGAAAATTTCAAAATTCTATTAATGAATTAGAAGATCGTGAGAATAAAGCAAATGATAGAGAGTCCCCTGAGAAGAACCAAACGAGAGAGGGAAGCTCTTTCCTGTCGAAAGAGATTGATAAGCAACCACTTGCTGATACCGAAGGACAGGTACAGAGTGAATGTGAATCAAAAGCTGCCAGTGCTGCACATCCACCCGCTCCAGGCCCTGCAAAAAGAGGAAGAAAACCAAAAATAAGACCTGAACAAATTCAAGCAAAAAAAGAGGAGGAAGAGGCAAAAGCAAAAGCAAAAGCAAAGGCGGGGATCGAAGCTGAAGTAAAAGAAAATGAACGAAAACAAAGTCTTCATCCAGCAGCACCTGCAGATGGCATGAGCAACGAAAAGCGTGACTCGCAATCAGCACAGCCTAACAATACAAGCGCTGTGGCTGGAGCTGGTCCTGTTGAAGAAAATGACCGTTATGTATATGTGCAAGCACCTCCATTGCCGTTTCCTCCAGCAAATTATATGGCTTATCCATTGTCAGCCCAAAAGTCCTCCTTGGTTCCGGATGATGTATTTACTTCGCTACTTGAAGCTAATGAAGAGTTGCCACGAGTAGACATGGTAGTGGCTAGTGCCGCAGGTTCACTTTTCGACTTGAGAAAGGAAGCATTGGAGAAGGGATTGACGAGGGATGATTTTGAGAGGCAAAAATTGCAAAAGGAAGTTGTTGAAATATTTCTGGATGACAGTAGTGATGGCGATGTTCCGACTGATAATGAACGGTATAGTAATGAGGATTATTATTCCAAAATTGATGACGAAGTTTATCAAGATGTTTATCAAGCACAATGGCCAAAGGTTAATATTTTTAACAAACTGCATGCCGATCCTCAGTACTCTAAGGTGAACTCGCAATTGAGCAATGTTAAGAATAAGCCGATTGTTGACGATAAGCAGGATTTGGAAGATGTTTATTCTTATCCCTTTGAAGCAATGACTGGTTTGGAGAGAATTGATAGGCTGAATGTGTTTCCCGCTCATTCCCAAGACTTCCTACTAAGCACAGGCACATTGAAGGAGAAACGAAGAAAAAACTTGCGTACTCATTTGGAAAACATTGAAGAATTTGAACAGAGGAATCGTGATGATATCTATCGCGCCAAGAAGTATAAGCTTTTACAACGAATTGATAATTTACATGCAAGCAAGATCCATTTTAGAAATTCAGTAATTCGTGATGAAGAATTGAAGGAAACCCAACATCGATTAGAGATTGAACGTGATTATGAATTAGTAAAGTTGAAATTATTTGAAAAATATGAATTATTGAAAAACTCAATGATTTTTTACGAGGATTCAAACAAGGTTTATAAACATTTGAATATGATTTTGATCAACAGGTTGGAGAAGTTGAAGAATTTTTTTGAATATCAACATGAGTTATTCACTCATATGTTGGAACAGCTGAACCGTAGTGGTGGTGGAGCTGATGTGTTTGACATCTCGAATAAAAACTCATCAAAATTATTCCAAGGGATATCTCACGCGAATGAAGACAAGTCTATTTCTGCTGCATCGTCTTCTTCTGATGAAGCTAATGGTGAAGCTGGTGGCCAGTTGAAGCATGCAAGTGAGTCTGATAAACTATTAAATGAAATGTTGAACTCGTCATCCAAATTTGCTCTAGTTCATGATTTCATGCCATTGATTACGCAAGAAGAATTTAATATAATTACTAGTGATGTCCCCAAGAAGCTTAAGCCATCAACATCAACAAAGATGTCAATGAAGCACCAAATTTTTGCTAATCCAATTTATGATCGATTAATGACTTCTGGGTCTGATACCAATGCCAGTGATTCAAATGCTACTGGGTTCAAGAGCGGTTCACCACAGCCACAACTGCTGCAACCAGGACCAAAAAGAAGAGGTAGACGTGCTGCAACTGCTGCCACTGCTACTACTACTACTACCACCGGTCAATCCAATATCCCTCCTTCTTCGTTAAATGGTACTGCTAGTGCAATGAATAGATCCGCAGGTGGATCATCATTGACAACAACAGCAACAGCAGTAGTAGCACCAACAATGCAAAACACATACATGAGAGATTCAGTAGCTTTTAATCATCGATATACTGAAGCTGGATTGTTAGCCAAGATTACTAAACAATTTTATGGTCCCCAGCTGGCTAATTCAGATGAATTGAATCATGATTTACAGTTGATGGGTATAGATTCGAGATGGCCAGTAGGGAAGTAGGTAATTAGATATGTTATTTTCCCTACTTACTTTGCTAGATTATAGTTTTATGAGAAATGAAAATTTTAGAGAATAACAGTTGTGCTTTTGTAAGATGTTGAACTCTTTACATCATAGGTGGAAGTAAAATAGATGCATATGGATACAAAATAACTGATATTCATTTAATGGGAATATAACACAATCTGAATGAAATGAAAAGATACAAAAAACTATACAAAAAATCAGGACAAAATAAAAAAAAAAAAACAAAAGGACAAGGGATTAAAACAAAAAATAGTTGATATTTTTGATGGGTTTTCTATGCTTTGAATTTCGCCACAATTGGGTAACAAGGTAGGTGGTAGTAGTGGTGACTAATAGTAAAATCAAACAAAAAAAACAACAAGGTAAAACGATAATGGAATCAATTGTACAAAGTGAGGAGGAAGGTTATATGGTAATGAGTGGTTTTTCTCTTTTTCTCTCTCTCTCTCTTTGTCAAGTTAAGCAAACCGTGACAAAGTGAAAAAGAGGTGGTGTTAGTCAGATTGGTGGTGTTGGTGTTGGTGGTAAAACAGATGTGACTACTTCTTAATATTCTTCAAATTGAGAATACAATGCAATCAAAACATTTACTCCTCCCAAAACGTAAGGCAAAGTACCCAATGTAGCAGCAAAAGTATGATACAATCCCAAATGTAACAAAAGCCTATTCTTCAAAGCACTAACCCAACAATCCGCAGTAGCAAATTGAATCAAACTACTTTGACCGACAAAGTAATAAATCAAGATTTTAGCCACAGCAAAAATAAATGGATCAAAAGAATAGATTCTTAATAAATATTCATCATCATCAATTTCAATGACTCTAGAAGTGAAATTGACAAAATAGGCAATGATGGATGGTGAAACAATGGCAAAAACAATCCAAGTTGCAAAAGTAGCCACAGCTTTAAAATCAAACAATTGAATAAATTCAATTGAAGGTAATTTTGAAGTAGCTAAAAATGGAATATTATCATGGAAAAACTGATGAATCAATTTATTTTCATTCAAGGGAACAACAGTGGTGAAATTGTATAAAAATACAGCAAATTCTAAAATCAATTCCAAAAAATTTAAAGTAATTGTTGAACTCAATTGATCCCTTAATTTTTCAGTATGTTCCAAATATGTGATTCCTACGCAATCAGTAAATTCATAGAATTTATCAATGGCATTCTCACTAGTGGCGATTATTGGGTCCAATACGAATTCTTTCAAATTCAATGGTGGTGGGGCTTGGTAGTCCTTGTCGTCCTCTTCACTTTCTTCAACCAAAGCAGCTTCTAAAATCTCCTCCTCTTCCTCCTCTTCGGCATCATCATCTTCAGACCCTTCTTCCGAATCATCATCATCATCATCATCGTCGGAATCGTCATCATCATCATTCTCACCAATTTCAACAACGGTAATTTCCTCTTCATCACCTTCGTTAGCACCAGTTTCCTCAAGAATCTTTCTCACTTGGCTTACGTCTTTGGGATGTTGACCAAGATAAGCATCTAATTTTTCAACTAATACTTTCTTGACATCCTTGGCGGTGGTACGAACACCAAGTTTCTTCAATACTTGACTCAAGTCTGCTTTTTTAAATTTGGCAAATTCCGACATTATTTAGGAGTTGGTGGGGAGAATATTCTTTCAATTGGGGGGGGGAGGGATATATACGCAGATTTAGTAATTGATGGATTAAAGTAGTAACGAATTGTAACAAAATGTTTCTACTCTCGTGTGTCTATCTCTCTCTACCTCTCTCTAGATATGGAAGTATCTATATAATCCAATTGGGGGTGGGGGGTTAAGTGTATTTTTTTTTTTGAGATGTTACTTAGTTTGTTTTGGTTTTATATTTTGTTTTTTTTTTCTGTTGTATAAAGTCACAACAACAATAAAAGAACAAAAGAGAAGACAGCGAAAGAGTGCGTGAGAGAGCAAAACTAAACTCAACTAAAAAGACACAACAACAGAGAAAACAGAAGAAAAACAGAAGAAAGAGAGGCAAGCAAACACAACCAAAAAAATATTCCAGACATTGATGACACAACTATGGTCTCATTACGGCAACGTTTTCAGAGACTCTACTTGTAAAATAACAGACTATTGGTAAAGTTTGCAATAGGATGTATGTAGTTCAATGTCTTCATATCTCTTATGGCTTTTATTTTATTTTAAATTTTTACCCGTTCTATCTCCCTCAATTGGTTGGTGCGTTTTTTTCATTTTGCAGCTTTTTTTTCTTCTACGTGGATTTTTGATTCATTTTCGTACCAAAAGCTTTTGTTCCATGAGGCTCTCAATCGTTCTAACGATGCGAACAAACTTCAGTTCAGCTCTACAACCCAACAAAATTGCTACAACACTGTTCCCGGTAAGTTTACTTGTAAGTGCACTAACCCATGTAACAACTATTTGACTATGTTGTCTAGCTCTTTGTGCATTTAGCTGTTTTTATTTTAGTTTTGTTTTTTGGTAAAAGGTTTGCGGCTTTGTTTATTGTTATATTGTTTATTTTGATTTTCAACTGTTTGGGTTAAAACAACAGCGTTAAGTTGTTTATGTATTGACCCAATTGGGAAGACACACTGTTTACATATAGCAATTAAATGACACGCTTTTGTTATTTTTTTCTTTTAATCTCTAACTCGTGTTTCAAGGACAGCTTCTCCTCTTTCATCAAAGAAAGAGCAAGTGTAAATTTGAATTTGATCAATTCGTCTGTTGCCAGTTGTGAGGCTCAATGACTTTGTTTTTTTCTTTCTCGAAATCTCCAACACTTTGAATCTGCAGCGCTACCAAGTTATAGCAAGAGGACTGCAAAGGAAAAATTGTAAGACCCCCAATAGATTAAAACATAGATTGTAGGATTACAACAAATCGATACTTCACATACCCACAACATATCTCATACTAGACTAATATAGAAGTGATATATTTTTCAGCTATCAAATGTACATATAACAGGTTTCAATTAGACATAATACGTATCAATAATGATTAGTCGACTGTTTACACAAGTGGTTGCCAGATCATCACACAAGCTATTCAGAGTAAGGCGACATATCCACAAATCAAATACCCTTTGCGACTCAGCAGACCTTGCAGAAGCGCCACGAATAAACCAAGTAGGGATCCAATACTTGTCCAATCAGTTACACAAGAAAGTCTTTCCCACAACTAAAGTGGATGACTATCTCAATCCAAAGCATCCAGAACTTCTAGAAACAGCAAAGCAACACCTACAAGCTAATGATCTACTAGGGAAAAAGACGCAAATCACAGATCCGATCAACATCAACCATTTTCCCGACATGGTTGGTAAAACCCTCGATGAACATTTCTACAAGCTTGGACAAAAATCAGCAGAGCCATATTTATCAATGGCACAAAATTTCCTTCTGCCAGAGTCATCAATTCCCCCAATACCATCACAAGATGAATGGATTATGCAGTCAGGATGGACGAGATACACGTGCGAAGGAGAACCAGAGCAAGTACCGTATCCACTAGAAGATGAACTTGTATTTGATGTGGAGGTACTATACAAGATCAAAAAGTTTCCAATCATTGCCACATGTGCATCATCCAAGGCATGGTATGGCTGGGTGTCACCCACATTGCTTGATGCTAACAACCGATGGAAAAAGACAATCGACTACAACCATCTAATACCAATGAATTGCGCCAAACAACCTAAATTGATCATTGGGTACAATGTAAGTTACGATCGTGCGAGGATCTTGGAAGAGTATAATATCAAGAGATCAAAGGCTTTCTACCTTGATGGGATGGCTATGCATGTAGCAATAAGTGGCATATGTTCGCGACAGCGACCCATGTGGCAAAAATTCAACAAAGCGCAAACCAAAGCAGAGCTTGCGGAGGAAGAGCATGAGGATGATGATGGGGAGCTTGTTATACATGGAGAAGAGGAGTACGATCCAGCCATTTCGATTCAAGAAGATCCTTGGTTATTATCAGGATCACCAAATTCATTAGCAAATGTGGCAAAATTTCATTGCGGGATTGAAATGAACAAGAATGATCGTGAATATTTTGCTTCGGAAGATCCTCGGGTGATTGTAAAGAATTTTAACATGTTAATGGATTACTGTGCACATGATGTTGATGCCACATACACTGTAACGAAGAAATTATTCCCTGAGTTCTTTACAAAAGTACCACACCCAGTATCGTTTGCTGCATTGAAGCATTTAGGTTCGTTGATTTTGCCAACAAGCACCAATTGGAAGAAATATATAGAGTCAGCAGAATCATGCTACGAGGCTAATCGAGCTGAGGTTTACGACACCTTAAAAAGGTTGGCGTTTGACTTGATCAAATATATTGAGCAAAACGACTCCAAATTGAAACCAGAGTATGAGTCCGATCCATGGTTGAGCCAGTTGAACTGGGATTTGAAAAAGGGGAGATTTAAAAAGGATGGGTCTCCTTATAAGAATAACGCATACCTAACTGGATACCCCGAATGGTATAGAGAGCTATGGGGCTCTATATCTCCAGCTGGAAGTCAAATGAACCTTACTTTGAAATCGAGGATAACTCCACTCTTGCTTAAACTAAAGTGGGAAGGGTATCCTCTATTTTGGACCAATTCAGAAGGTTGGTGCTTCAAAGTGCCGTTTGACGAAGAAGTGTTTGCATATTTGTTTACCAAAAAGTATGTACGTGCCACATTGACAGAGGAAGAGATTGATGCAACACACGAACTTCTATATGAGGATGGGAAATCGTATGTTTTATTCAAGATACCACACCCAGACGGCCCCAACAAGCGTTGCACATCAGTTCTCTCAAAGAACTATATGAGGTATTTTGATGATGGGACGCTTACTTCAGAATACGACTATACTAAGAAGATCTTGAAGCTCAATAACGAAGCGTCGTATTGGATGGGGAACCGGAACCGAATCATGGATCAATTTGTTGTTTTCAATAAAGAGGGAAAGAATAAATTTTTTGATACGAAAAAAGAGTGTCAAGAGCATAAGGATATGGGTATAATTATCCCAAACTTGGCATCTATGGGCACAATTACTAGAAGGGCCACTGAAAATACCTGGCTCACGGCGTCTAATTCGAAAAAGAATCGTATTGGCTCGGAATTGAAAAGCTTAATTGAAGCTCCAGAGGGTTACTGTTTTATTGGAGCTGATGTCGATTCGGAAGAATTGTGGATAGCCTCTTTAGTTGGTGATTCGATGTTTGAAATCCATGGTGGATCCGCATTAGGTTGGATGACATTGGAAGGTGAGAAACTGCAAGGGACGGATTTGCATTCCAAAACCGCTAGTATTTTGGGAATTTCTCGTAATGACGCCAAAGTGTTTAATTATGGTAGAATCTACGGTGCGGGGATAACATTTGCCACGCGATTATTGAAGCAGTTTAACAATGAACTATCAGATAGTGAAGCTGAGGAAATTGCCAAAAAATTATATGCTAGTACTAAAGGCATGAGCCAAAACCCAAGATCATTGGGCCTGAAAAAGATGTATTATGGTGGCAGTGAATCAGTCATGTTTAATGCTTTGGAAGCAATTGCTCATCAGCCCGAGCCCAAAACGCCAGTGTTGGGAGCTTCAATCACTGATGCTTTGAATGCCAAGAACTTGAAAAAGAATACTTATATGACCTCGAGAGTGAATTGGACAATTCAAAGTTCAGGTGTTGATTACTTACATTTATTGATTATATCAATGGAATATTTGATTGAGAAATATGGTCTTGACGCAAGATTGGCAATAACGGTGCATGATGAGTTGCGATACCTCGTCAAAGAAAAGGACAAATATCTTGCTGCTTTGCTTTTACAAATTAGTAATCTCTGGACGAGAGCTATGTTCTGTGAACAATTGGGTATTAAGGAAGTGCCTCAATCGTGTGCATTCTTTTCTGAAGTTGACATTGATCATGTATTGCGAAAGGAAGTGGGAATGGATTGTGTGACTCCTTCCCATCCTGATCCAATTCCACCAGGGGAATCATTGGATATAAAGCAATTATTGGAGAAGACCGATAATGGAGATATTTTGAATTGTAATCCAAAGTTAATGACATTAAGAACAACAAAGTATGAACCAAGAGTGCCAGTTATGCAAACATTACGCGATGGATGGACTGAACAAGCGAGTAACCAATTGATTAGATTACAGACTTCGACAAATAAAGAAGAATGGATCCAAAATTTGCGACAATTAAACAGGGTGATTAAGACCTATGTAACTGATGAACAAAAGGAGATTTTGCAGAAAATACATCAGGATGGTATCAATGAGAGGTCACCTGTTATCGTTTACCGACGTGATCGCAAAAAACGTACACTGAAACAAGATGACAATAAGGAAGCCCCGGATTTTGATTTGGAAGTGAAGCCACTGAAAGAGAATACACAACGCAAGAGTCGGGGAGGAGAAAAGTCAGCAAAAGGTGGAACCAGTAAGCAGGCATCAGCAAAGCGGGGGAAAAGAAATACTGAAGGGCATATAATGGGTGATACTAGTGCGACATCCCGATATGAGAAATCAAGTGTCGATGCAGGATTTGGACTGGCTGTTTCTGGAGCTACCTATTCCCAATCAATTGGCAATTTTGAGGACACCTATGATTCGTCAAATGATGCAAACCACGAATCAAGAAAATTTAAAGAAGCAGTGGTGGCGTCGACAGCAATGCATCTGCAACCTGCAGTTGCTTCTACGCGCAAAAATTCATACCCATTCCAACAGCATCATCAAGCAACGCCACATTACAATGGGCCACTGGTTCGGCCCAATTCTTCAAGAGTGGGATTTGCCAACAAAATGGGATACCATACAATTTCCGCATACATAGTCCACAGACAAGCTCATACACCATCGGCTATACATGAAAATGCAGTTAGATCCTCGTATCGTGAAAGTATATCAGATCAATTAATGGTTGATTGTGATTATAAAACTTGTTTTGTTGAACGATTTGAGACAAGGATTCGACCGCGCCGACGACGAGTGAGTTATTCTGGGTTGAGGATGGCGGAGAAGGAGGAGTTGGGCAGAGGTGAAGGAATGGGTATAATGGCGAAGAGTGAATGGAGGATGAAACGACGACAAAGAAACAACTTGTTTCAGGTGTGAAGAAGGGGAAGCTTTGATGAAGTTGTGAATCTTTTGTTGTCTGGTTTTCTTTTTCTTTTTTTTTTTCTTTTTTTTCAGGCTTGGAATCAATGATGGTGCATTAATGTTTTCTACTTTGTGTTAGAGCATTTTATCCTTCATGGTTAGCTTAAGGTTATAACCATGGAGAGAAATCCCACATGCTTTTATATTTTGTGATGAGATATTAATTGATTGACAGGTGGCTAAAGCCCGGAATAGAAATGGTTTGTATTTTTTTCCACTGTATGTTATCAATCATTAGGTGTCAACGAAATATGGGAGTGAGGATTGAAGAGGAAGCTAGATGATGCAATATCATGGCATCAATTGAAGAGGAGGACGATAAAGGCAAACAAAGGGTAAACTCTGGCTTGGCGCTTTTTGCAATTTCAGTGTACCTCTTGTTTAGGATCCTTTCTTTGATGAGATCAATCGGAGATATCATAAACTTTACTGCATTTACATGAAAGACCGTGTTTGTGTGATGTGGATTGATGCCGATGCCAGAACGAAGCAAGAAAAAAAAAAAGAGAAGAATTAATAAACGCTGGCAATTGTGTTAAATCCGAGATATATATGGTCATAATTTGGTCGGTTCTTGTTGCAAGCTATTCCCCCGGCGCTGTGGATACAAGAATAGTGGAATTTTTTGTTTTGGGGATGGTGTTTACAACCCAATGGTTAAAGTATATTGTGGTATGTAATATTATCCCCAATCGGTTTTGTCCAAATGCACAAGAGATTAGTTTAGGATGCACGTCATTCATTCATTCATGTATTATGTATTATGTATTATGTATCATGTATCAGTATGTATATAGAAAAGAGATTGATAAAATGTAACTTTGATGCAAAGAGATATGCATCAAAAGATGATATACGAACCGATTCCCAATTACCACTCTTGGAGAAGTGATAAACGTATGTACAGATAAAGAATGAATAAAAACAATTACTTAAGTTGTAAAAGCAGGGTAGAGAAGAAGATTAAATCTATTCTTGCGGTATTTACGACCATCGTTCAATCGGAGAAATAGGTATAATTTTATTTTTGACATGCTTGGAGCCAAATCGTCAATAAAAAAAGTTGCAAACCAACCTTTTAGAAACCACAAAAGCACGCGATCGTTATGTTAAAAAATAAACTTTGAACTTGAAAAGAAGAATCACCAGAACGCATTGGATTGTGAGATATAACTAAAGCAGTGAATATACTACTACTGCTATTACTACTACTACTACTACCATTGTCTAATACTCTCGATTTCCACCGTAGACTATAATGAGTGGCTTCACAGGTGAAAAAAAAAAAAAGATACCGACTAGTAAATTTTTCCTCACAATTTTTTTGCGTTCATATAACTAAACTATGTAAATCTATATATGGCCGAAACAAATTATTGTTAATTGAACCCCCCCTCCCCCAAAAAAAAAAAAACAAAACAAAAGAAAACAAAAAAGAAAATCCTCCAAAACCCTCCAGACCTATGTGTTCCTCTCTCAAAGCCGGGCGCTATTGGCATTGTCTTCTTTTTTTTTTTAGTATTTTTTTTGTTGCATTTTGTTCGGATTTAACAATAACATGTATTACACCGATTATTTTTTTTTTTTATAGCCGATGGGTATAAAATAAAAATTTTCAATTTCTAACTGAGGAAATGTTTTTATTTCCCTATAATAACCGATTCAATTTAGAGTAAAAAACCTTATTTTAATTACATCGAAATTGGGACTTTTGAGCTAGAAGAGGTATAATTGGTTTCTTTGTGATTGAACATAGAGAGGAAAAGTGTGCTTATGGTTGAATTTTGGTCAATATTGCATCAAAGTTTCCTGTTACTTGGACTTGGCCCACGAGGTAACCTTGAAGAAGTAGTTGAAGAAAACGGTACTTTTCCTTACCCGTAGTCTACTCTTCCATGTACTTATAAATTCGGTTCGATAGCAATCAATGTAGATTTAGATAGATCTCAAACCACAATTTTCTCAGGTTAATATTCTTGTTCTTTCTGTGACTAACAGTCGCCTATGTGGTCGGATATCTGTTCCGATATCTCTTGTAGGTTATTTAGTGTCACAAATTAAAACGTAAAATAAATAAATAGAATAAAATAAAATAAAATAGAAAAAGAAATTCAACAACATTCTAAGTCCGTAATAGCCGTTGATGTTATGAAAAAAAAAAAATCCTCATAGTAGCACGGAAGCTGGTAAAATGTACCAACAAAACCAATGGTAGAAAGAAAAGCAGTCATGACCTACTTGCTCTTTCCCCCTTACTCCGTCGCATAGAAGTCAACCATTCTCTAAATGGTTATATGTGTGTATGTATGTGAGTACTTTCAACGACATCTATGACGTTTCTTTTTTTCTCTTAATTTATTTTAGAGTGTGCATTTTTCTCTTTCCAATTTTTTTCTTTAGTGCTAACCGTCTTAGGGTTGCCCGCATAGTGTTTAAAAATACTGTTGTAGTTGCTGTAGTTTACGAGGAGGAATTGGAGTCGCATACCACCACTTCAAGTCAATGTCGGTGGTGAAATAACAACTCTATAGCTACGATTGACAGGGTATGTCCAATATTATTAAGGTACCTCAGATGTTCTGTAAAAAAAAGAATTGAAGTATATATGCTACATTGTTTTGTTAGTATAGAAAGCGGCTATTTTCACTTTTTGAGTACCTTTACCTTAGCTGTCCCTCAGTTTTAGTCGGATGTGCATCAAGTGCATGTATTCTTTACCTGTCTATTGTTATTGTTATGTGTATTGTTTTTCAGTTCTGTATGTATTTTGTTACTCTTTATTGGTTAATGTTGTTGATAAATTACCTCAATAGAGAATGTGTCTTCTTCTTTGTTTTATACTGCATTGTACCAAAGTACACTACCTCGTATACAAAAGAAAAATTAAATTCCCTCAAACCAAATGGAAAAGAAAACCAGAACAAACAAATGTACAACAACAAAACTAAAAATTATTTACTGGACGAGTCAAAGTATAAAAGTTCAACAATATTTCCCAAAAAATTTTTACTTGCACTTATTTTCCCCTTTTCTCTTACTTCTTCACTGTATTCACACTCCCCTTCCCTTTCAATTTACTTTTACACAAGAGAAGCAATGTTCCCAGCTGGTGTTATTTTAGTCTTTGCTTTGCTTTTCGCTGCTTTTGTTTTGATTAGTGGTGTTTTCATCCACAAGAAAATCAAGGCTAAGAAATCTAAGCAAAGATTCTAAGCTTAAGAGAGTGAGAGAGTCAATTGAAACTTCTTCTTCTTCTTCTTGTCTTCTTCTTTTCATGATTGGAAGAAAGTAGAAGCCACACACTCACTACCATCACCCACTGTGTTTTAAAGAGCATATGAATTTAGACAATGATGAGATGGAGACGACTTTTAACAGCGTTTTCAACCTTTTAACCACTGTGGGTTTTTGAAAAAAACCATACCTTACACATCATCTACCACCATCACCAAACTTTTTTTATATCAACAACAACCTATAATACGTTTTTTTTGAGAGATATTTTCAAAATGGAGATATTCAATATGTCACCAGATATTTTTTTATTGCCAGATTTTTTTATTACCATTTTTTTAAAAACATATTTTTTTCTAAATATTATTCATCAGTTGTTTTGATTGGGGAATCATTTCAATTGAAAGAGGGGAAATCTAAGAATACAAGTCAACCTGATCATATACAAAATATGTTATTTTGTTTTGTTGTTGGTCATTATTAGCTGCCCATTTTTTTTTTTACTTGTGGAGCTTCAAAGTTAGTCATGCCATTAATTATTATTATTATTATTATTGGCAGTTGGAACCAAGCGATTATCGAACTTCAGTATTGTTGCTAAGTGATGGGATCTCACTGAGAGAACACTAGTACACATTACATTATATCATCATCGTCATCATCACCATTAACATCATTATAAAGGGTATACAACAGAAACACATCGTCATGAAGATTGATTAGTGTTTGCAATTGAATAATGAAATAAGAGAAAGAAAGAGAGAGAGAGGGGAAATTGGGGAATTTCCTTGATCTTTTATCTTTTTCTATAACCTTTGACGTGTGTGTGTTTTATTTTTTATATTTTATTGTGATAAATTTAATCAATAAGGGGAAGCTTAATCAAAAAGAGAGCTAGCACATTTTGAATTTTGAATTTGGTGTCTTTTCAGTTAATGGGGAACTGCAAATTTTGTTGGAGAGGAGGGGCTTTATTGCTACATTTTAAATAAATCAAGGGGTGTTTTTTGATTGGGGAATCATAAACAATTACCCTTTGATGAACGAAGAAGTGTTTGCTTTTTGGCCGTATTCTTTCTTTTTATCCAACAGATGCAGTTTTAATTGAAGAAGCATCCAAGTTTTTTGATGCTATTTTCTGCTTGATAAGCTTTTTCCTTATACGAACCACGTTTGAATATTTTCTATATAGTTTTTTTTTTATTATTGTTATTGTTACATAATTTAAATCCTAATAAACCATAAAAGCCTAAAAAAAGAAAAGTAAGAGTAGTAGAACTAGAAGTGGTAGGGTGAACTCAAGTGTGATGAAGTAATTATGCTGGTCTTGACTTGTTGTAGATTACTGTTGATGATATATCCTTATTATTTACAAAGTGAAGAATCTTTTAACGCAATTTTCTCAATGATATTAACATTCCATCACATCACGTCATCATGCAAGCAATAATAACCCTTTACATCTTCAGTCGTCTGATGGGAGTGTTGCAACATTACATACTTTTTCAATGAAAACTATAGCCAGCCAGCTTGCTTCCCATTCTTTTCGTAATGAATTGATGTTACTGTAATCAATTTAATTGGCCGATTTAAATTATATGAGATGAGCAAAAGAACAAAAAGAAGAGCAATACTTACACAAACCAAAAGAAAAAGAAAACAAACAAACAATAACAAACTTAAGTTAAATTACACAAGTGCCCAGTTTGTCTTTTTTTTTTATTTTTTTTTTATTTTCGGTTTAATGAAAATCCCAAACATACAAAATTTGATTGCTGGTTTATAGTACTAGATGGTGTAGAAGTCTCTTCTCTTCAATAACTCGTATTCTTTTCACGTAGAAAGACTAGTACCTGCTAAACCACATACAATTTATATTATCCTACATTAAAGCTTAGTCTTCTATATATATATATATAGAATACAAAATCTCTTTTGTGGCTATTGAGGGATTTTTTTTTATATCTTTCTGTGATCAAGGTCGTGTCATATGTTCAACTCGCAGGTCGTGTAATTTACAATACGCTCAGAGTCGCTGGTTTGCATTCCTTAATCCTCCAAGTCCAATTTTATAAGTGAAGAAGGTAAATGTAGACGATATTCTATTTGACTTAGATCCTCTGCTCTATTCTTTGATTCCACTTTTGTGGGAGTGGAATCCCGAATCTGAAAAACAATTTGACGAACAAAGTTTCCGCTGAAAAGAAATTCCTTTTGAGCGCATTAACCGTGGAAACTTTAACTGTAATCATGAGTACTCCGTCTACAAGATAGGCTCTGTTCTTCTGAGGCGCATAACAATGGGGTTTGGCGGGAGATTTGTGTACGTCAAAAACTATCATTCGGAGTTGTGAAAAATAGACTGTAATGCCGATTCTTTATCTTTTTTTCTCTCTCTCAAAGTCCAAAGGCTTGGAAATTTGTAAACTCCGAAATCGAAAGCCGTCGGCCCAAACCGCTGTTTCTTACTCTTTATAATCCTTGCAACTTTCTTCATTTTAGACAACACCCTGTGTTAAATGAAACGTATTTTGCTCGTTGTTTACTATTTATCTTCTCCTCAGATTTATATTCTGGGGCGTAGTTGTGCTAAACAACTCTCTCTCAAGTTTAGCTTACATCGTATTTAGAAAATTCGCAAATGTGGATGCTAAATCCCCAAGAAAAACAAAGCATAACAGCAAGACTGAGTGACTCAATTGAAAGAGGTCTGCTGTCTTGTACGACTTGCTTTCAGCCCAAAACCTGGAACCATATGAGTCCGAAGGCAAATTGGATCTGGACAGTCAATTTAACCTGGTATCCAGCATACCCAAGGTAGATAGAGTCCCAGTGACATGCTTCTATGAATCTTCGACTCTTTTCGGTTACTCCCAGGAACAACTGTTCTTGCAAGGTCTTTTGATATTAAGGTTTCAGTTTTGTGTAATTGCAAAAATAAAAAAAACGAGCAATTGCGCATCTTCCAAAAAATTTTAAACACATGCAACACCAAGTGTCTTGTGCTGCAACAGGCAGGCGACCAACGATTAAAACTCGAAAGAGTCCCCTTCCCCCCCAAAAAAAAGGAGGTGCTTTTTAAATCATGTTATAAACTACATCACAGTTGAGCTGATCATTGCCATTCATCATGTTGCATCGTACAAGAAGTCAAGAAACTATAAGCACTTTAACCAATGATCGAACACCATCATCATCATCATTGTCGTCGTCATTGGCATCGCCAGTACCCACACGCCAGCGACTTCATCTACCACAACAGGAATCAGATGCCAATGATGCCAATGATACCGATGATTTCGATTCACTGTCTGATTTGATATCGTTCATGTCTCAGGACACTTTGATTCAACCGCAAATGAAAGTTCTCAATCATGCCGTGACTGAGTTTCGATTTATTAAAGAGATCCCCATCCTTTCATGCTTTTTACAAACTGGAGTTCATTTATACCCTTCATGGTCGGCCATTAGTCGCAATCAACCAATTTTGACACGACCTTCAAAGTTTATCAATAACATTTTCAAATTAAACAGCCCGTTCTTGGTGATTGAAAGTTACACCAATCTGGCAAACCCCAAGCTCCTCAAGAGCCAGACAAGTCCTCCCACCTCATCTTCCAGACAAGTATTCTGTAGAGTTGATTTCAAGATCCAATCGACCCGCATCACATACTATGTTCTCACTTTCCCCACTTTGGATAAATCGATATACTTGATAAACAACAACAGCCATGCACCCAGTGTTGATTTTGAATTAAATGGATCGTATTTTAGAGTATTGGGAATCACGGGGACGACATCGGCATTGGGGACAAGTGGGTTGATCAAGTTGTACGTGATGGAAAACTCGCCTGATTTATTGACTTATGATACTCAAATTGATTACAAGAAAAAGAAGTTGACTTTTGGCAAAGATAATGAGTTGAATCGATTGATTAATAGTCAGAATCGAGCAGCTATAAATGAATCAATGCAACGGGCAAAGAAATTGTTCAATATGCCCGTGGCCCAATTTATGGACCATGGCGATGTCAAGATAAAAATAGATCATAATGGTGTTGAAGCTAGTGGTCAGCATCAACATCAAAAACTGCAACAACAGCACCATCATCATCATTCAAGTGGAAACAGTTTTGTCAAACATGGAATAATTAAAATGTTTGATTACGTTGGTGGAATTGGAGACCAACAAGATGAAATGAGTCAAGAAATGATGATGATTTGTTGTGTGTTGTTGGTGTTGAGGGAGCAGGAATATCGCAAGTACAAGGGTGATAAGAAACCACAATTGATTTAGAGATACGCTGAACGTGATTTAGAATGCATTGATGTTTGCATTGAATATCATATTTGATATATTTTGTAATTGCTAAATCATACAAGGCTCATATTCACCCTCGCCCTTTATCTAATATCTATCCTATAATATCAACCCCTCTCTTTCCTCCTGTTTCGTAGTCTCTGTCTTGCTAACAACCGCTTCAATGTTTGACACCTGTTGAGCCAACTGTTCAACATACTGTTCCCTCATTTGTTCTCTTTCTTCAATTCCAACAAATTGCTTCTTTCCTCGGAAATGCCAATCACACGTGCAAAATATGACAACAATGGCAAATACAACCGATGAATAATTCATATTACCGCCAGTTACTGGCATCACATAGGGAAGGTTATAAATAACAAAGGCAATAATTGCCCAGCAGCATAACATTACATTGCCAATATAACCCCATCTGCCAATGTAATATGGCCCGGGTTTAAACATATCTCCGGTAATTTTCCGGTATATGAGACAAACAGTAGGCACTAAATATGAAAGGAGCAAGAAAGTAACACACGAAACGATAACTGAATTGAATGCAGTTGACGAGGCCAAAAAAATAAATCCAATTATGGCCACCCAAAAACATGACATTATATGAGCATTAACGGGGGTGCCTGTTTTTTGATTAACCCTTGACCAATACTTGCTCAAGGGGATCCCGTTGTCTCGTGAAAAGCTCCAACAAACTCTCGATGACCATGTATGACAAGCAATATTACAACCAATTATGGTGAGAAACAAACACAACTCCAACCCCAATGCGGCATATTTAGACCCTGTAGCCTGATAATAAATATCAATAATCGGCACTCCCGTATTTGAATTGAGAACATCATCCAAGTTCCTCAAACAGAAAAACACGGCAATGGAATAAGCAAAACAACTGACAAACCCGATAATAACGGTACCAAAGATGGCTTGGGGAATCTGAACTGCCGGATTCAATGACTCTTCCGCGATGTGAGTTGCTGCATCCAAGCATGAGAAACTCCAATTTGGGTTGACGAGTCCCACCATGAATGCAATAGCACTTGAGCTCCAACCAGTATTATTATGAAACTCGACAAATACAAATTCAGCACTTTCAAACTCGCCCTTGTGCATTGCCAACACTGTAATGGCAACAATTGTGCATGAGAGAATGGAAATGAATAAAGTACTTTTGGAAATATGCGGTAATGGCTTTTCATAAATATTGGCACATAAAACCAAAACATTGCAAACTTGATAAACGAGGAAAACTTGCCAGCTCTGAATCACTTCATCGGGGTGGAAAAGCATGTACATGCCCAAAACTGCTGTGGCCAACGCCATGGTGACACTAGCGGATGTAAATACGGAACCCAACCACCCCAACATCCCTGTTATATATGATAAGAAGCGATTGTAATTTTTGGGAGCTAATTTCATTGTCCAGTATATTTGACCGGCAGCGTTTGGATATGCTGATGCCATCTCACTCAATGAAGATGCAACGCCTAATGATATCGTTGCAATGATGATGATACCATATATGATCATCATGGGCCCACCTGAACTGATACTCACCTGGTAATAAGTTAGTAAGATTGGAGGAATAAGAAGACAAAGGTATTTTGCATTAGAACATACCACTAAAGAAGCTATTTTAAAAGTTAGTAAATATTCTGGCTGCGAAAAGAAAACAAAAAAAAAAAGAAAACCCCAAGCAGATCAAAACCTCTGTATTTTTACATACCACTAATACCAAGCCAGGAATTGGTGATTCCATATCCAACTCCCATCAACGAAATAACACTAAACCCTCTTTTCAATTCAGATGCATACCCAGTGTCGGCACTGAATTCTAAATTTGCTTGTGCTTCACGCAAGAGTCGTGCAGCGTCCTTTTCATTAGTCATTGCCATGGTATCTAAATTGATTACGGTGGCAGGGGGGAATTTCCTATTGGGGGTGTATATAGGCTGGATCTCCCCATTATCGACGCTATCATCTTGAGAGGAAGAGGAATGTGTTTCCTTCTTTGGTTGAGGATCTCCTGTTGTCATCTTTTTATTTTCGCGTCGTTTCTTTCTTGTAGTTTACTAAGACCCCCGTTGAAGAAATTGAAAGGTTGACTGAGTTGGTTGTAGTTTAGGTCAAGTAAATCAAATGTTACCTTACATGAGAAGCCACTTTTTGAGTACTTGCTGGTTCATTTTATAATGAGCCTCTTTTAGATGAAGATGAAGAATTTTATCAAACAAAATAAGCTTTTCATCTGTGGGGCTGTTGAAAGTTATCGAAGGTCAACCAGTAAAACGAAAACCCAAAAAAATGCCTGGTCCTTAGATAGCGTTCACCACCACTCCAAGAAGGGAGATTATTAGGTTTATCTTTTGAAAGAAATGACCCAGTTTCGGATATTATATGTGCAAAGATTGTTATTATTATATAGACAGTGGATGTGGTGGGCACGCGACTTTTGGAGGTTTCAGGAAAAATTAAACCTGCCAAAATTTTCGCCAAATTTAATTCTACAAGGACTAATACATGCATTTGGTGGGGGTAGGCATGTGGGTAGGTATGGGGATATAATTGAGGGGGTGTTGTCGTTGTTGGTTGAACACTAATTGTTGTGTCATACAGCTGGGTGAGAACATGGGACTAGTTATAAGTCTAACACATTCATATCTCGCAACGGCATTGAACTCTTTTATCAGTTAACATGTTTCCATCGTATCACTAGGATGATTTTAATCACTCTTTTTGGATAAGATAATCATTATTTTGAAAAAGTTTACCTTTTAAAATAGTGTTCTGTTACTGTATTAGCTATAAAGTTCCACCCTGAAGAAGAAAAAAGAAGTTGCAGTAAACATTGTTTTCAACTTTGAAGGTTACATTATTTTCTTGTCCCACAAGCTTTTATTGCAAACTTTTCTTGATTTGGTCTCTATTTCCATGACGTACTTTCTCAATAGTAAAACGGAAATTGTTGTAAGAGATACAATTGTAATTAAGAATGGAGTAAAGAACGTCTTGTGGTGGCTGTTCCAATGCTCATCAAATTGTTTTACGTCATAAGATTCTTATTTACATAGTTCTCAAATCAAGGTACAGACAAACTCAGGAAAGATTACGCAATTTGAGTTGCTTTGTAAGTATCGAGTTTTTTGTCAAATCCTTCTCCATGCACCCCTCCCTGACCTTTCCTTTCCTCTCTCTCCTCTCTCTCTCCTCTCTCTCTCCTCTCTCTCTCTCCCTCCCCCCACACACACCTTATTTTTTTACTTCCAAAGGTCATGAAAAATACTTTCCTTTTGATGATACTTGACTGAACGTTTGAACAAACACTTCTTTTTGTTTTCTTTTGTTCCTTTATTCTTCAAGGCAGATACTTGCAGAAACAAGAGTGGGCATTGTAGCTCTTAGAATATATTAACATCATTCACCAACACGTGTTGAGAAGAACGCTTCTTTATTGAAGCCTCTTATAATATCTTGCTTGCCTTTCTCTATAAACACTACATAAAAGTTATAGATGCAAAATGAATAGGGAACCTCAAATCACTTGATGGAAATGATGATGATTAAGTAAAACAAGTTGTGATGAGTCGGTGTACAAAAAGGGCATTGTTACTCCGAAATCAAACCACAAAAAATCCAAAGATAAAAAGAGATTGATGCAAGAGATTGTGCGAGGGGTCATACGTTTGTGTCTTGCATGTGGGGGGGACGGAAAGTCTAAAAGAAGGACAGAAATATTTGCTGTGAATGATCTCTAAATGGAAACACAATACGGGGAGGATAAGAAAAGAAAAGGTGAAACAAAACAACAGCAAGGTTTATATCTTTTGAAACTTCTTCGAAAGAAAGTTGAAACAAGGAAGGAAATGATAAGAGAAAAAATGGAGTTTACGATGTTAGAGTGGGGTCGGATACACAAAACAAATCTTGGTTTCTAAATCCGAGAGAAAGAGAGAAAGAGAAAGAGATCTCAATTGGTTTGCAAGTTGGACAAAGGAAAAAGAGTAGGGGCGACAATATTCAGCTCCTGCATTGATAAATAAACAATCGACAAGAACGTTTGGTGATTGAACAAACCCACATTAAGTGTTTAGATTTCAACTACTCTTCTATTACTTGAACACTGTGTTGTAAAGTGTTGTAAAGTGTTGTTAAGAATAATAGATTCCATGTGTGACTTAAACGCAATAGTACATATTAAGTAGGTCACGTTGTATTTAAAACAATGCAAACATATAAGCCCGGAGCAATTTTTATTCATGGCTCTACTACTTTCCATTTGTAGTTGTAACGTATTTGAATTACAACATTAATGGTATTGGCAAAAACAATAGTACGATACACAAAATACTATCATCACTTTCTCAATTTCTTCACTTGCAGCTGAAGATTTTTTTCTCCCCATTGTTGTTGTTCAGTTATTTGTTGAAAAATGAAGTGCATTATGTTTTCTGATATTTTTGCAACTGGGTTAAAAGTCTCTGAGAAATACAACATGGGGCTGAAACCAACTGACTCCTGAATAAAGAACGTGGGGCTAAAAAGGTAATGGTTAGGAGTGGTGGGGATGGTTTCTGAGCGCAATTATTTCTATAAAGTAAGTAGGAAAGAGATCCTTAGTGTGGTGGGGTAATACGAAATCTAAGAAATGCATGATCTATATTGAAGAGTGTATTATATTGACATAATAGGACCTTCGATCACCTAAAAGTTCCTTTTATTTTTGGATTTCTAAGCCAGTTTTTCTCTTCCTTTTCAAACAAGGCAACTTTGTTGAGCTAAACTAGTTAGTTTATACTCTTTCTAATGACTACAAGCCAAACGTATGAAGAAGAAGAAGGAAAAAGTGGGGGGTCCAAAGAAGTGGGGATAGTGATAGCAATTGAAAGAACAACGACAAGGTAAATGATGAGAGTGAAACAGAAGTTAGAGTCTGTTCTGTGTACATTGGGAAGGAGAAAAGTAAAGCAAAAGACAAAAGCCTTGTTTGAGAATGTCACTTGACAGAAATAAGCAAAGGAATGATCGAGATGGCAAAGGGAGAGTGTTGTTAGTAAGTGTTAGAGTGGTAATGTAAATGACTATTGAATAGAGAGAGAAAGAGAGGGCTGAATCATTCATTGCTTTGAAACGTTTGGTTTATTGCAAAAAGTCAAAAAAGAAAAGAGAATTGTTTTTTGTTTTTTTGTTTAAGATCAGAAAGGGTGGAAGTGTGGTTTTGTCTTTGGAGAATCAACTTTGATTGAAGACTGATAGATAGATCGAATAAGAAAGGGATTTAGGAGAAAGGGAGGGAGAGGAAGGGAGAGGAAGAGGAAGAGAAGAACATATAGAAGAGATTAAAAGCTAATCTGAATCTTTCAGGTGGTTAATTAGAAGTGGTTAATCTTTTTATCAGATTGATTTTTATCTTTGGGATAAAATATTTCTTTATGGGTATTTTTTGATAGGTGGTTGCAATGAAAGTTTGAGTAAGAATTTCCCAATTGGGAAAAGTGGAGAAAAATAGAAAAATAGAAAATTATTAAAACTTCTTAATGTTTTATTTTTGTGTATGTGTGTGTATTACGTAATTGCTCTCCTATTGTTGATGATTGTAGCTAGTAGTAGTAACTATTAACCTTTCGGAGATTTATACTCCAACAATTACACAAACCCTTCAAGCAAAAATAAATAAACTAAAATGTAACCCAATTGAAGTACTTTTTGGGAAAGACTAAGAGAGAAGAAGAGAGGGGGGAGAAGGGGAGAAGAGGAGAAGAGAAAAGGGGTGGGGGGGAGAAAGCAAAGAGAGGAGAAAGCAAAAAGAGAGTGTGTGTTGTTACAACAAAGAAGTAAGTTTGTCTACTGTAGTCTTGAGACGAATGTTGTGAAAGAAAAAAGGAGGGGAGGTGTGTATGTGTGTATGGTGTATCTGTGTGTCTGTGTGTCTGTCTGTAGTGTGTCTGTAGTGTCTGTAGTGTCTGTGTGTGGGGTGTGGGGCGTCAAACAACAATAGACAAACGTTTTTTTATTTTACCCAAAAAATAGAAAAAGAAAGGAAAAGAAAAGAAAAGGAAGGGAAGGAAAGTTCAAGACACAAAAATAGAAAAAAACCACAATCTAACAAATAAAAGAGCCATGCCATGGAAAACAACACAACCAATTTTTTTTTTTTATTACATGAGCATGAGTAGGGATGTATGTCTTATGTATATGTGTTATTTAGTATTGTGTGTTAATAAAGCCACTTTGAAAAAAGACAAGACTGTCAAATAAAGGAAATAAAAAGAACAAACGTACACTTCTCAGCATCCATATACCCACAAACACAAACAAATCCCCCACCCTTTCTCCAATCTGATCTGTTCCTTTCCAAATATCGTTTGGTTGTAATTCCGATCACTAGCATTAGAATCGGAAACACAAGGGGGTCATAGCCATTTGATTCTCGTAAACAAAGGGAGAAGGTTGGGGTATTTAGTGTTGCATGATGAAAAGTTAAAATAAGTAAACGTTCTACTTACGATTCTGGGGTTTTGCTAATAATAAAGAGGGGATAAGTGTGTGTAGTCAGTGGTAGGCTTATATCATACTTAAGTTGTTGTAACACTAGTGGTCTTTAAAGCACTAGTGGCGGAGGGGGGGGAGTGATGCTGGTGATAGGGGTATATGCAACTTTAAAAGTGTTTGTACTTTCTGTTGTCTTGTGTGTATATTCTTTTTTAGTGTCAATTGTTACTGTACACAATTACTCCGAATAGTCCACACACAATACCCTACACTACACTACACTACATTACACTACTTTATATATAATACCCCATTTGTATACAATTTTTATTTTTATTTTTATTTTGATTTTGATTTTGATCTGTTTAAAAATTTCAGCAACATCAAAGCTTTACAACTAACCAAAGGCTTTAGTTGTCACTGCTTCGTACCATCTCAGTGCAATCATTTCTTCAAGCTCATACCTTTTTTTTTTTCTTTGGAGCTAGTCAATCTACACCACTGGGTGAAATTTGTTGAAATATTTTTTACTTTAACTTATCCTTTGCACTGATTGACTGCCTTCGAGACACCTATTGCATAATTACACTCATCCAACTACGTTAATCTCTGTTAACCAATCAACATTGCAGAAAACACACAGTTAAATCTATTCACTACAATTAATTTTTCACCACCGAAACAGTACAATACAGGCTCAGTTCAGAGAGAAAAAATATAATGCAGGTGGAGAAGACTACCAAACCGACACCACAGAAGAAATACATTTGCGGATTCTGTGCCAAAGCATTCACTCGATCAGAACATAAACAACGTCACGAACGATCTCATACCAATGAAAAACCATTTCATTGTTTACAATGCACTAGTTCATTTGTAAGAAGAGATTTGTTACAACGTCATTGTCGTACAGTACATCAGAGTCAAGATGCAGTAAAACGTAAATCCCAAGACCCAATTACAATGCCAGCACTACTGCAAGCACCACCATCTTCAGAACAGCAAATACCACTACAGCCAACAATATCTCATAGTCGGGATTTGCTGAATGAGTCTGATTTGGCATCTTTACCACAACAACTGCAACTCCAATCGGATTCTTTTCATGTATCACCACCATTAGACTCCACCTCAACGTCATTACGAAAAAATTCAATTCCATTTGCATTTGACCCACAAGATCACTTACCTTTGACAACAATGACTCCTTCAACCAGCATCGGTAGTGAGCACAGCCCATCGAAAAGACGGAAAAAATCAGAAGCTGGCAGTGGCAGTGGCAGTGTCGGAAATGGTGTGCTCAGTATGAGAAGAAATTCAAGCTTGCCAGTGTCAACTGGATCCAACGACACAAACCTCATCAATTTATTATCAATTTCAAAAAAATTGGATTACATCTTGAAAGCTTCAAATTTAGGAATCAACGAATCGGTTTGTGATTCTTTTCTTATTGGATTCACTACTTTGCAAGAACTTCTGACAAAGTTCCCTATATTTGACACTATATTGAAGGAATTGATGTATTACTTGAGCACTTTTTTCATCCCTAGTAGTAATGGAAGTTCACAAGTGCCAATTGTCCCACCGCCAATGACACCGAGCTTGTCGCAACAAAATCATTTTAAAATGGGCATTATTTATTCGGTCATTTCTCTCGGTTATATTATCAACAAGAATTCAATCAAGTCCTTGGTATTCTTCAAAAAGGCGTGGGTCTTGTTGATTAAGAAATTGATACCACAATACAACAATAGTAATGTTTCGTTGGATCAAATTGAAATTGCCAGCAACTTGTTTTTATTGTCGTTTATTTACGTTTCCTACGACATGGAGAATTATGATATAAACAATGACCAGGTGAATCAGGTTAATGATCAAGATGAAAATGATGAACAAATATATCTCAACAACACTGTCATTTTGGAGTACTTGGATCAGATCAGTTTTATTATTATTTCAAATTTGGCAGATTTCTCTAATCCTAATGACAAACTTATTGATGGTAATATGCCTTTGTTTTGGTCCATTTACATCATACTATCGTTTTATTTCAACGATAGAAGCCCCAAGATATACTCCAGTTTTTTAAACAAGTCAATAGGGCAGGAGGATTTATTAACCACAATGCAAAAATTCTCCAAGTCCTACTCTGTTCTTAACGAAGGAGATGAGTTTTTGAAAATGATCATTGTGGCAACCATTGGTAATGAGTTGAAGAGTTATCGTACACCAACACCTTCCCCATCTGCTTCAGAATCGCCCGATTCCTCATCCAGTGGTGGTGGTGGTGTTACTACTAAGATTTATGGATCGAAAAATGTCTTGCACAATTCCGTCATTTTGATTAATCGATCAATTAATGTTTTTCAACCGTTGCTGGATTCTACTTCCAAACTGAAACTTTTTGAATTATTCCGCAAAAACTTGATCATTAATAGTCCATTAAAGTATCGTGAATTGTTGAGCAACTACATCTTTCTTCCACAAACATATTGTCATTGGCAGTTACTTCACTTGACATTGGATGAAGCCACTATCAATTATGATCTCAATGAAACTTTGTATAAAGCAATTGACGACCCCAGTCAATTGAATTCACTTGAATATAAGCTAAAACTATTTCTCGATTACAAGAAGATCAATTTAGATGTCAATAACAATATTTCAATTGTGTCGCTCCCCATGATATTTTTTGCCAACTATCTCAATTTGGGTATAATTGATTGTAAATTATCCTTTAATCAATTGCAGTTGAAAATTATTAAGTTGTTTCTTATACATTGGTACATGGTGATGAATAAGCTACTAATTATGATTTGGTGTGATGATATCTTACAATTTGAAGAAAATTACATTTTGCAAACATTTGTCTACATGTTGTTGGATAATAAGCTGGTGTTGTTGAAGAAATTAAATATTGAAGCGCCTCATAATAACGCGGGGTATGAACAAGCAGGTAGAGCTGATGCAGCATCCGAGTTTAAATTCAACAAGAAGTGGTTTTGGATACTCAAGATTAAATTGGATAATGTCTTTGAACAATGGATGCATCATATAAAGATCCCATTCTGGGATAATAACTTTGCCGTGGTTAAGATTCAAATAACCAAGTGTATCAACGAACATATTGCGTTGGAGGGGTTGATGTTTAAAGAAGACGATGATGGGACTGTAACATCAAGCAGCGGTGGTGGTGGAGGAGGGCAATTTGTGTTTAATAACAGTGGACCAAACTTGACAACTGCAACTACAGGCCAATCGGGATCATCTTTGTCAGCAAGTATGTTGAGTTCAACGTCGATGAATTTTGCCATTCCAATGCAACAGCAAGTGTCGTCAAATTTCATCAATTATGGAACAATGAATGATTTTGTTGGTGGGAGTGGGAGTGTGACTGTGAATAAACGATCAAATTCAGTTTCACTGGTGATGCTGCTGAATTTTGGTAAAGAAGTGTCTCAGATGCAACCAGTGCAGGAATTTTCGCAACTTCAGCTGCAACTACAGCTGAATCAGCAGCCACAACAATTACCAACGGGTGGGCAACAGCCTATTTTGCTCCAGTCGCAACACCTGCAGAATCCACAACCTCAACGGCGGGGGAAGCAGGGGCAGGGACAACAGAAAAATCAACTGCAACAACATCAACTGCAACAACATCAACTGCAACTGCAACTGCAGCAACAAGGACAACAACAAGGACAACAATTTTACAGTTATTCCACTTATCCACCGCCACCACCCATTCTTTCCTCAATGCCCAAAGAGTTGGTGTTGCCACCCATCTCATCCGAACGAAGAAAGGAAAAATTCGAAGTAACGTACTAATGAGAAGAAACAGAAATGAAGCTTAACATGCGTATGGAATGTATATATATGTGTATATATAGGCTTCTGTAAACGAAAATGCATTGAATTTTTGTCTTTTGTATCAAAATGATTGTCTTGAACTATAATTTAGCTTTCTCATTCACATGTGAGCTTGGACCTATGTAGACATCTTTATGAAATGGCTTTAATTTCCATAAATCAACAATTTTCGAATCAACATCAACCAAAATTGCACCTTCATTAGGGCTAAGGCCATTACCAGCTTCATTATTGCTAATTGCTTCCACCTTGGGTTTATTGTGATATACCTGATTATAGCAATACTCAATCAAGTCAATAGGTAGTACAAATGTGAATGTAGTCAACTTTTCGGTATCTTTGCCAGAAGTCAACATTCCCAGTTTGTGGTGCTCCTTTTGCTCTTGCGGTTGTGGGTGTTCATGGCCTTGAGAATGCGGCTTTGGATACGGTTTTGGTTTATAAACTTTGGCATTAGAGCAAATCATACCGATTAGTTCATTGCTACCGCTTGTGAACAAAGCGCCACCCGAACTTCCATTAAAACAAGAGGCAGAAGCAATAATTAGTCCTGCAGTACCTCGAACTGCAGAACTATCATCAGCGTCATCACCACCTTGTTTTTGTTTTTGTTTTTGATCTAATTGACCTCCCCCACTGCGATAAATACAATTAATAATGCCATGCGATGTCAATGGTTGTAGATGCCACGGGTCAAGAAATAATCCGAATGAAACTGTATAGACTGGATCTTCAATAACAACATTACCAGATGAAGGAGGAAAAGTAATTGGATGAAATCCATTTTGAATCAATGAAGCCGAAGCTATTTTGTCGATTTGAATGAAAGCAAGATCGAGATCGGGGTGAGGGATTATTATGGATTCGGCAATTGCGGATATTTGGATTGAATCTCCTTGGTTATTGATTAGAATAGTGGCATTGTTGTCAAAGGAAGTGCTTCGTCGGGAGTTGGTATCAGTGTTGAAATCAATGTTGGATTGGTTTTGAAACAACGGTGTAACAACGTGACTGTTTGTGATTAATGTTTGCTCTTTGTAGAATATACATGATCCCCAAGTACGTTGATTCGAAGCATTGATAATTATGGGCAAGACTGACTTAACCTTGTTCTGTCCTGCATTTGTCTTTGACAATAACGGTAAATTGAATAATTTCGACAAGGTGGTGGATGAAATAGTCTTGTATAAGATGGATGACGGTGACTTGACTACTGATGCTGCTAGTGGTGGTGGTGGTGGTGGTATTAGCGTTGGTGATAATTGAGTAATTGTTGACAAGGGGATAATCACCATCAAGTTTCCATCACCATTAATCTTGCGTAGATTTCCCAAAACTAATCCCACAAGTTTGTTGCTTGGGCCATAGGTGTTTGTTGAATTACTATTTTTGGTATTGGTGTTGGAATTTACTTTCACACTGGCAGAGCTATTGGTGGTGTTGGTTGATGCTCTTTGAATGACAGCCCCACCAGCCATATTTTCCATATACGGAGCATCAGTCAACCAATAATCACCAGTGCCATCATCTGAATCGAAATCATTGTGCAGACTGTGAATCTGGTAAACTATTCGAGCCGTCGTGATAAACTTGTGGAATATTAATGAATTGGTGAAATTGAAAGGACTCGATATGATTGTCACTGGATCTCCTACAGACACAGAAGCAGCTGACTTTTTCCCAATTGAAACTGATGATGTAGCTGTCACGCTAGTCATTAGTGTTGATGTTATTACTGGTGGGGATGATAATTTCAATATTGATAACGTCTTTCCATACTGATCACGAGGAAATAAATCGAATTGACGATTATCAAACAATTCGAAATTCGAAGTATTGATGGCGACTTCTTCAATAACAGAAACTCTATGCCAATTGATTTGTTTGGGGCTACTATTGTCGTTATTTGAATTGGCATAGATTGAATAATCACCAATTCGCGGAATGTGATTAATTGTTAGAATAAACGACGAAGAAGATGATGAAGTAGTTGGATTGGAACTGATGTAAACTCCTGATGAAGCGTGGATTGTGTCATTGTGCACATACTGAAGGGCAATAGGAGTATATTTCATGACAAGATTCACAACCTTCTTTGGGTTAAACTTTAGTGTGACTCGTTGGACCCTGTTTTACACTCAATCTATAATATAAAATGGGCTGATGATAAAAAGACTGTGGGGGGCTACCAGTGTCGAAAAGAAGATAGATAAAAATTAGGGTTTCAGTGTCGCGACAATTACACAACAGTAAGATTTACATTTGATTGAGTTATGTTACTAGTTGTCCTGATATACTTCAGAAGCAGGTGAGTTTAGATTCAGGCTTTGTTATGTTCTTATACAAAGACATTATCTGCAGCAGACCATATGTGTTGTCGTCTACACCTACGTTTACACTGTATATTCATCTTTCTGCGCACTGCATATAACATTTTTGTTGACGTGTAGATTTTTTTTTTTCTTCTACGAATTACGAATTTTTCACAACTCACGCTTTTAGCTTATTCAAAAAGGAATATCCTGCTCTAACACACCTGACCCCAAAGAGACACAGAAGAAGAAGAAGAAGAAAAGATGCACTACAGGTTCCTACTATCATCAATACTCCTCACGTTTCTCCTAGCATTAACCATAGCCAAGAAGAATTTTTATCAAGTTCTTGGTGTTGATAAATCAGCTTCTGACAAAGAAATCAAATCGGCGTATCGTCAATTAACTTTGAAATATCATCCCGACAAAAACCCAGGTGATGAGGAAGCCCACGAAAAATTTATTGAAATTGCTGAAGCTTACGAAGTGTTGAGCGATGCCACCAAACGGAAAAATTATGATACATTTGGTGATCCTAATGGACAAGCACAACAACATAATTTCGATTTTGGTGATATCTTCGGTCAGTTCTTTGGCGGTGGCCATCATGGTGGTGGTGGCGGTGCACGTGGTCAACCACAAGTAAAACGTGGTGGCGATCTGAGTGTCGATGTTCATTTATCATTGAAGGACTTTTATCGCGGCAAACTCGTGTCATTTGATGTTGTTATGCAAAACGATTGTCCTAAATGTGATGGAACTGGATCTAAGGATAAACAACGCCACACATGTGAGAAATGTCATGGAACGGGCCAAATCATTGTGCAGCATCAACTAGCACCCGGATTTGCCCAACAAGTGAGGATGGCATGTGATGTATGTAGAGGTACTGGTAAAACAGTGCAAAATGCATGTAAATCTTGCGACGGACATGGTACAACACAAGGACCTCGACATTATGATGTTCACTTGGAACGCGGTCAAGCAAGAGATAGTTCAATTAGACTTGAAGGTGAAGGAGACCAAAGTCCGCAATGGGTACCGGGAGATTTAGTTGTTCGTTTTAGAGAAAAGTTCCAAGAGAGTTGGGGGTACAGAAGAATCCAGGATAATCTATATCGTACTGAAGTATTGTCATTGAAGGAAGCATTACAAGGAGGATGGGAAAGACGAGTACCATTTTTGGGCGATATCGATGATGATGAGGTGGATGATGAGTATAAGACTGTTGTATTGAAACGTGCTAAAGGTGAGAGTATATTGGATGGACAAATTGAAGTAGTCAAGGGTTATGGTATGCCAATTGTAACTGATCATGATGAAGATGATAAATTTGGTGATTTGTTCATTGAGTATAAGGTGGTTATACCGGGTGGTAGTGCATCCAAGGGGGGAATCAAGAAGGATGAGTTGTAAAGGAGAAAAGAGGAAGCAGAGTGCGTTATGTGGAATGGGTATGAATAGGTTGTTGCTTGTAGTATTATAGGTTATAGACTTGATGTAATAGATGTGGTGATGGAAAAAAGCAAAAGAGAAAATCTTATGATTGTCAGTGCTGTTGCTTCCCTTTTCTTCTTTACTTATTCCAAAAATCTTTGGGAGGGGGGGTTAGGGGTTTGGAGAAGTTCTAGACCCTCATTTGTTGAAAGTTAATCTGCCCGTTTCATGCTCTTTTATTTTTTGGAATTAGGCACGAGTTTCCACAATAATGATGACGTAAATTTGAAGTTCCATCTATCCATATATATATATGAGGAAGTATTACAAAAAACGGAAAAATGGTGGACGAAAGGGGTGTTGGAAAATATAAGGAGCTACACTATTGTATGAGTTTGCTGTTGCATTGTGTGAAATAAAGAGGGGCAAAACAAAACAAAGCAAAACAAAGCAAAACAAAAGCAAAAGAATTATAAACTTCATCTTCTTTGCCACAACTGCATCAAAATCGAAAACAATTGTAAAGGTTGTCAAGATTGTGACAACGTCTCAATTACAGACAACCAAGAAGAAGAGGAAGAGAAAAAGGAAGAAGTACAAGGACAAGGACAAGGATAATACTATTGTTACCAAAAGTTGAACAATTGTTTGTCAAAACTGTGTGGTTTGTTGTTTCTTGTGAGGATGATGGTGATGTCAGACCTACTCAAACTCTCTTAAGGAATCAAAGACATTTGTTTCATATAATAAAAATACAATAAACAATGAACAATGAACAATAAACAATAAACAATATTGATATCATTTAAGGTCATTCACTAGCCACATGTGACAAGCATAAACCAGCAAATATACACACTGTCCCATCGAGTGGGGGGCACAGAGAAAAATATAGCATTAAGAGACAGGTGGTGGTTTTGTGAATGCCCCTCATCTTATATTTACAATTCTAACGCTTTTGGGTGGGTGTGTGTGTGTGTGTGCTGTACCTTAAATTTGTGGCAGTGCAACTACGTGTTTCAACATCAAAGCAAAATTGAGTTTTTCCTTTCAATGACCTATGACATAATTGTGAGACCACATGTAAGCTTCCTATTTTTTTCAAAAGATGTTGGTTAAGATGAGAAGAGGATAAGAGATACGATGGGATATGTAGATGCGTAATTGAATAAATTAACTTGCTATGAATGTGGTTGTTCAAAATGTTCAAAATGTTGTAATTTAATTTGATAATATGTTTAGAATTGAGAGGTCTAGACTAAAAATTACAAAAAAGAAAGAATGAAATGGTTTGGTCTGTCTCTTAATCTTTCTTTCTTTGGTTGAATGATTTTGTGAACGAATCAATTGATGTTTTGGTTTATCTTAAAAAAGGTTCAATGGAACGTATTCGGAATTCGGAACTCAAGTGCGAGAAAAATAAAAGACCAAACCACAAAAACAAACAGAAATTTATTATTATTAAAATTATTTTATTAACTTTTCTGATGTTGCAAAATAAAAATTTAAAACCAATCTTTTGATTGCTGTGGAATTCCTTAGAATTTCTAATGTCTAAAACTCTAACTAAATTGACAAGCTTATTAAAAACCCACGTGTTTAATATGAAAGCAAAATTGCTTTGTTAGACGTAGAGATAAAATTAGCATACGTATGACACGCTGAGGGAGTATCATTAACAGCTGATTTTATATCTTTCGCTTACGAACCCTCATTATATTTACATTATTTGATTTTTTTATCTAATAAACGTACCTTCTCTAATCTCACATTTATATTGTATTATACAATATGTGTGTGTGGCGCTGGGATTTCTTCTAATCTTTTTTATTTTTTGTTCAACTTTTGTGTAAGAAGCATAAACAATGGAATAAAGAAGACGAGAGCGAGAACAAACAACAAACGACAAAGGGGAAGGGGGTGTACTTATATAGCCACAGCCGACCATGCCATACGCAACATGCACATAGATAAACCTTATCTCTCGATAGTACTCACATGTAGTTGCAATCCAAGTAAAACTGAAAAGGCCTCCTTTAAGAGGAGGAAAAAGAAGCTCAACAAAAAAAAAGTGGGGGTTCAAACGTACACAGCCAATCATAGTTAACCTTGTTTCTCCACTTTTATTTCCCCAGATATAAAAGAGATTTAGATACGTAGGGGCTGGCTGTTGCATATATAAAGGACATATGCTGTGATACGTTTGATAAATACAACCTAAAGCACACTCTCTCTCTTTAATTAGACTAGCCTTTTTTGTTCTTGTTTTTCTTGTCCATAAGATGTTGAAGTTTTTGTTAATCAACTAAGAAAAAGAAAGATTCTTGAAGCAAGCATCTGGAGATAATAGGGGTGTAAAAAGTGGGGAGCGAAAAGAGAAGAAAAAAAAAGAGAATTTTTCTGGGATGTACGGGCGGTNCTCGTCACGAAAGTTCTAGGTCTTTTTTTTTCTACTGTTTGTTTTTGGATAGTGCAAATAAAATGACGTAAAAAGGACCTGCTGGTTAGCAACCCCGTTGTCAAACCTCCCGGTATTCCGTTTAAGTATATACCAATCTAAGACAACCAGTAGTCTGGAACAACAAAGAAAAAAGTCTCCTTCTGGCCCTTTCATTAAATCATCATTCATTTCTCTTTTTCTTTTGCTGCTGCTGCTTTTGCTATTGTTGTTTCTGTGTAATAGATAACTTTGTGTAAAATATAGTGTGGTTGTCTTACAACGCGTGTCGGTAAAAAGGTTCAGACTGGAAGAGCAAACGAGAAATATTTTGAGACAAGAGATTTTGGAGAAGAATCGTGACCAACAACTTCTTTCAGAAGACTGCTATAAGGGTGTAGTAAGAGAATAGGATTGACTGTCCTTACCTTATTGACTGGAAAAAGCTTAACTAGTGTATACAATTACTTAGAGAGATGTTTTCCCACATAGATCTATATTATTATTCTTTTTTAAAAAAAAATTATGTCTAAATTTAGGTAATCGTGCATACAGGCGGGTTAAATAATAATTTTATTTTTTTGTATTCTTCTTTTATTCAAATGGCTGTATTCTCGGTACAATTATTCAACCTATATATATATATATCTATATATCTACCAACACTTCAGCTGTTATTCAAAATTCCTTCCTTCCTTCCTTCCTTCCAAATCTTCATCTTTTAAATTAGATATATATATATATCCTTATTAAACTATCTATCTATAACTTCACACTACTACTATATCTGAAGTGTTTCTACAAACATCCTACAAATAAAAAGAACCAGTTCACACAAAGCTATACACATACACACACATTATATCATGTCTGTACTATCTCCTTTGGCTCACTCGAACAACAACCCACCTCACCTTGCCAAAAACATTATTGACAAATTAGCTATAAACCAACAAACATCAAATGTATCAGCATCACTACCAATAACACCAACTTCTATAGATACACCCACTTTAGAGCGCAATGAAGCCAACCACTACCACCTTCTCCACAATAACAATAACAACAACAACAACAACAGCAATAACAATAGCTCTGCCACCACTGCTAAACCAAAATTCCAATCATTACCTATATCTCCACAACCTTCAAGACCTACATCTCAGCTAATAGGATCTCCACGACTGGTGTTTGCTGAAGAGTTGGCACAATTACAAAACTATTTTGAATGCAAGCATGCACCATCATTTGAAGATGACGAAGAGTTGGATGAATCTGAAAGTATAATATCTGAGGCTTTCAGTATAATGACACCTGATTTCACCACCACTTCAAGAAATAACAACTATACTGATAATGGAGGCAACATCATTCAACCTTACTGGCCTTTGCAACAACAAAGACAACAACAACAACTGCAACAACAACTTTTCTCAAGCAGTAGCACCGTGGTAACTGCATCTTTCCTTAGTGACGTCAAACAAACTCTTCCATCAATCACATCTACTGACTCACCATCCACCATTTTAACTTCATTCTTCTCCAACCAATTATTTTATGCTCAGAACTTGACTCAACTTCCACAGCATTTCATTAACCAAGAATTTGATAGCTTTGACCACGATGTGGTACTCAATCCCCACATTCCTAGTTCCAAACATCATGCCAAAATCATTGAACAACTAGACCAATTGTACGTTTCATCAATTGAATTAGTTTCAGTTATAACCATGTTTAATTGTTTTATCGCCAAGATTAATCATCATGAAGTTGGTTTACAATATTTAGAACTGATTAAATCACAATATGATAACTTGATTAATGACTATTTATGTCAACATGTGCATTTGATTCTTGATAAAATAATTGATGGATTGTATGAATATAACTTGATGATTGAAGAAATGTTGGAAGAGGATGAGCGAAGCGCCAAGGACGAGGCAAATGATCACGATACAAAAGAAGACGCTGCTACTGCTGCGTATGATACGATTAATGACTATTATAACGAAATTGAAACGACGCTAACTTTATCTAATTCAAAATTATCTCAACAAGATTGTGAAAAGTTTCACAATTTATTGAATAATGAAATTATTCATGATAAACATTGGAATGATTACATCACCCATTTAAGAAAATTTATAGATTAAACAAAGTGTATATCTTTTATACAATTAAAGAAAAAGGATAGGCATTTTTGTGGTAACTACGTTTAATGTAAAGGTTGTATTACTTCAGCGATGATAATATCTGTTCTTGCTCCCATATCTATTGGGTTGGTGATAACAGGGGAGTTTGGATCCCGTGTTTGAAAAGTAACTTCTAGCAAAGGGGACTAATCGTTGTGGTGATAAATTTGTGGACTTGTAAGAAGTGGCTTTTATGGGGCATGCACGTGACTACCCAAAACTTTGCGCATAACAGTTTTTGCAATTTTTGCAACTGAATGATCATTACAAAGATAAGTCATTCCCCTTCCTGTTTCTACTTCCCCTTCTTCTTCAATAATAACCAGCCTTGAGAAATAAATAATGCCTCGATCCTTTTCAACTCTGTCATTCAATTTACAACAGCCGCCTCCTACATTCACCTCGTTGGCACGTCAACCACGTATCCCTCATAATAATCCGTCGCTCACTTCATCATCATTTTGGATCAATGCTAAGGAAAATTTAAACTTCTCAACATCTTCTTCTTCTTCGTCATCATCGAACCAGTTTACCGACTCAACAATAACTACTAAGCTAGGGATAAAGGGGAAAAAGGAGAGAACTGCTACTTACCGCCGCCAACAATCATCCTCCTCGTGTGAATCAAAGTTGAAAAGAATGATGATGGAAGATGAAAATTATTCGTTTATTTTAAACCCATGTTGTGATAAAATTGATTGTAAATTTGTTAAACATGGCATTTTGAAGGACTCCAAAACCCGCAATTTAAGTATGGGAAGCTTTGTCGCATCCTTAATTTCCATTGATTCTGAAGAAGATGAAGCTAGTTTATCGCATCAGATAGTAGCAGACGATGTTGATTATGATGCAGAAAGTTTAATTGTGGCTCCATTACGTACAACTTCAGTTGAACAAGCCATTCAGTTTAATCAACCACCACCACCTGGGGAACCCAAAAATGTCAAGTCACAATTGGGTGGTGATCATTATAGAGCCTTATTCAATGAACTCAATTCCAGTATCAATCTGATCAATTTACAAGCTCAGTTTGATGAACAATTGTCCAAATTGAAGAAAATCATCCGAGGAAGAAAGAATCGCAAAGCAGCACAATAAGTTATAATCTAAGCTCTATTATTCTAAATAAACAATACTTCTCTATAAAAGGTTTTATAAATTAGCTTCACTTCTCTTTATTGGTTGTGCGTACCTCTTTCTTTCAGCCTCTTCATCGTAGCTTTGTCCATCATAGGTATTATACCCCCAATTGAACGGTTGATAAAACAATTTCCGATCATATTTGACCAATTTAGAAGGATCGTCTTTCAACTTGTAAACCAAGTCGGGGTTCGACGTGAAATATCTCGAAAAGCCCACCAAAGTTCTGCCATTGGCTACATCGTGCTTGATTTGGTTGAATTCGGGCGCGTCATACGTATAATTGCCGGCTCTCAAAGTCACACCTTTCCAAACACTTTCAACGAAATCATTCGTTCCTTTAATGCTCTCTTGTGACACGGTAACAACGCCCTGAACTCTTGGTTCAACAACAGAAACGTACCCTAAGGCCTTTCCTTCATTGGCCCGTTTTTGCAATTGGGCCAACAAGTAGGAAAATTGAGGAATTGGACTGACTGGTTCAGCGACACCTTGCACTTCAGCCCAGGGTGATAACCTAATGGCAATTTTGGAGGGGTGGATCACTGTGCTCAAATGATCAATCAATTCCAAGATGAAACGAGCTCGATTTTCAATAGAGCCTCCATATTGGTCGGTTCTATGGTTGGTGTTCTCGTGCAAAAATGTATCCAAGAGGTATCCGTGTGCACCATGCAACTCAAAGAAATCGAATTCGGCTTCATCGATTGCATTCTTGGCGGCAATAGCGTAGTCCTTATAAATGATTTCCTTGAGGTCGTCAATTGATAATTCAGTCAAGGCCAAGCCGGCTTTTTGCGACAATGCTTTGGCTCGATCATCAGGATAAATGGGACTGACAGAAACGTATTTCTGACCTTCCTTTTTCAACACTCTTGGATCACCAACTCTCCCCAAAAACCAAGCTTGCAAAGAGATGAAACTCTTTTTGGCATGAACAGCATCAACAACTTTTTTCCATGCCTTTGTTTGTTCAGTAGTATAAATCCCTGGTACACCATCATATCCACCAGCTTGTGGGCTCACATACGTGGCTTCTGTAACGAGCAAAGTCCCTGGATACTGGGCCCTTTGTGCATAATGGTCCAAGATTAAATCTGAAGGCAAGTGGTTCAGCACTTCGGCAGATGATTTAGCGGCTCTGAAGCGTGTGGTTGGACACAAGACAATACGGTTGGATAAGGTGACATCGCCTACTTTGATGGGTTCAAATACCAATGTGTCTTTTAATGGCGAGGAAGGCATTTTTAATGGCTATGGTTATGAAACTAAAGATGAAGAAAAAAGTGAAAGATAAAGAAGAGATAATCCTTTATATTGGTTGTGAAAATTTCATCTGTGGGGCGTGTTTATCCATCGCCACAGTTGCGGAAAAAGTAAAAATAAAAAAAAAAAAGAAATAAAGCGGAGATTATGGTGAGAGATATACCGAGGCAGTGCAACCAAAGGGAGACGTAAGACTCAATGGAGAAGTGAATCAGATCCAAACTGTGATGTGATTTACAACAACCGTCAGTGTTTTAAAATATATACACTAAAATGTGTGTAAACTCTTCTTTTACTCCTGAAAAGTACAGCCAGCGGACTTAACCAGCCACCATTTCTTCACAGAGTTTAATCGGATCGAAATAGGGAAAGTCTTCATAAACTTCAACCAGATAGTACTTTTCAACCACAAGATAATACAACGACCTTTCTAACTCGTCATGCAACCCCGTTTCACTTTTATACCAAACAACAAAATCCCGCCAAAGGTTATATTCTCTAAACAAATGGAACCGGGCAACGAAACACAAACAAGCATAAATGTACAATATCTTTAACGCATATTTATGTTTGGCATAAAGAAGAGTACGGAAGTCCTCGGGGATCACCATGAGGAACCGAAACAAGGGGATGGGGAATTTATAATATCCACATCCAAAAAGGGCCTTGGTTAAACAATCAAGCGTCAAGTGAAATATTTGATACCTCAGTGAAGTAGCATCTCCTACTTCGTTAGTCGAGTCTTGAAACTCGTATAATCCTTGCAAAAGGTACTTGATAATGGGGTAATTGCAGCTCTTGAATGGGGGACTATAAAGTTCCTGATTGACGCGAAAAAATAGCAATCCACTCAATTCTGATTGAATTAGAGAACTGGCACAATTAAGGATTACGTCTCTTGATCCTCGTGAGATTGAAATCATGTCGGTTTCTTCATCGTGATTGAAACTTATGAGTTTGATTAGTCCATGAGGTTGGATACCCAAGAATGAAAAAATCAAAATACTTGAAACTGTTAGCTCCTTGGCGACAAAGGGGTCGGTGAATGAGCTTACCGCGTGAACTTGACTGATCCTTTCTTGTGCTTTCGCCAACGTATTGAGAAATTGGGCCGTCGTTTTCAAATATATATTCTTTTTCGTGGAAAAATCATAATTGTCTTCCGGTAAAGCCAGCGTATCTTCAGCTAGAGATAGTACCAGATCCAGATTTGGCGAATCTTGATTATCGGCAAGTTGTACGTCTTTCAATGGCAAAGTAGTACTCAATGAAACAGCAGCAAATGAAAACATCAGCTGTCGCACCAAATCACTTTCCATAAACAAGGACGGCACTTTATACTTCCAGGCATTGTGTATGCCGTCATTGACACCAAATGAAAACAAGTTGATGCAATGCGCGTCAAAAAACTTCAACAACCGTAATTCAAACCTCAGAATACCCAATATCGATGAGGCTTGGTTCAACATTAAACTTCGCGTTAGATGATCAACTTGATCTGGCGTCTCGTATTTGTCTCTTTTTTTTAGAAGTGCTCGAGTTTGGGGTGTAAGCTGGCCACCATAGAGTATCAGCGATGGTGTTTTCTGTTCATCAAATAAAGGAGACCCCCAAGTGGAACTTGGTGAAGTGGCGACTGGTGAAATGGTGACTGGTGAAATGGTGCTTGGTGAAATGGTGCTTGGTGAGGTGGCGCCTGAGTCTAGTATCTCAAACATCGGCATTTCTTCCGATCTTGTTGGGAGGGTGGTTGTGTTTAGCACTTCAATTGCTGGAGCTGGTTTTCTGGCATGGTTCTGCAGCAGTTGCAATCCGCATGTAGACGTCAGTGTAGCATATACACATTCCCTTTGCGTGTGGACACAGTATTCACAAGCTGGTTTGGCTTCGTTGCACTAATGAGGATGTTTGTTAGTACATTGTTCAATCATTCATTGAATAGTGTTAGTGGGGAAGCACATACTTTGATTCTCAATTGTTTACAACTTAAACATCCATTTCTAGATCTTTTCTTCTTTGGTTGGTTTGTAGGCATACTTTGTTTACGAACATCAGTTGCTGGGAGTGTTTCATTTGAAATTTCGTCTCTAGTTATATTTATACATATATATATATATATATAATTTTTTGATGAAGTGGCTTAAACATTCAGTCATAGAGAATTCAAAGTGTTTACACAAAACCAAAACCCCCAATCCTATAAGAACATTTATTCTCTTTAAAAGTCTATCTATTCTAAATCTAATCCAAAATATTAAGCTAAAACCTTACCAACTCTCTTTTGTTCAACCTCTTTGTCAAACTGTTTATTTCCATCATGTTGGTTCCAAGTATTGTATCCATAATTATCATGAGTGTAAAAGGTTGGTCTGTCATAATGTTGTAAAGCTACCCCATTCTTCAATCGATAAACCAAATCAGGGTTCGAAGTGAAAAACCTCGAGAACGCAATCAAAGTGCGATCATTGTCTAAATCATGCAACAAAGTTTCAAATTTGGGAGCATCATAAGTGTAGTTACCGGCTTTGACAAATTTTCCTTTCCAAATCTTTTCTGCAAATGCATTACTTCCCTTTTGGTCATGAGCAGCAACGTCATAACTTGCAGACACTCTAGGCTCCACCAACGAGATATATGCCAATTCATTTCCTGCGTCGGCACGTTTTTGTAATTCTTTGAGAATGTAAGCATGGACTTCTTCACCGTCGAATTCTTTGAGTTGGAAAGTGGCCCATGGTGACAATCTAACTGCTAATCTGTTTGCTCCCACAATAGGGATCAATTTGTCAATAATTGCCAACAACAAACGGGCACGATTTTCAACGGATCCACCGTACTCATCAGTTCTATGGTTAGTACCTTGGTTCAAAAATTGATCCAAAAAGTATCCGTGAGCAGAATGCAATTCGACATAATCAAACCCTGCCTCTAATGCCTTTCTAGCGCCGTTTGGGTATACATTGTTGATCAAATCTTCAAGCTCCTCTTTAGTTGCTGCTCTTAATTCGTTGCCAACTTTCTTGGCTTGCTCTTCTGAGTCTTTATCCATATAGACTGGCGAAGGAGCAATAAATGGTTGTCCGTCGTGTTTCAATTGTGCTGGGTCAGCTGTCCTTCCCAAATGCCACAATTGAACACTGGAATACGATTTTTCCTCTCTAATTGCATCAGTGATCTTTTTCCATCCCGCAGCTTGTTTGTCGTTCCAAATACCAGGGACATTGGCTCTTCCAGCTCCCCCAGGAGAAACATAGGTGGCTTCAGTGATGACCAAAGTTCCAGGGTATTGTCCTCTAGCTTTATAGTAAGGTAATTGTAAATCTGTAGGGTAGTAATCGCTAGTACCACGTTGTCTAGTTGAAGGTGCAAAAGCAATACGTTGAGGTAAAGTGTGAGTACCAACTTTAATTGGTTGGAATAACTTTGTATGACCTAATGGTCTAATTTGAACCAAATCTGAATTGTTTGACATTGTTACTTTATTGATGCTAAAGAGAAGAAAGTTGACGAGTCAATGATACATTCGTCGGGTATTATATACTTTTTACCATTGTGTGGCGCTTGCTCAAAATAATTTATATTTGTAAGCAGAACCCAATGGAAAAACGGTTTTTGACACAAAATTTTAGACGCAAATTCCGTAGCAAACAAAGGGTGTCAAAGAGTGCCATAGCAATATAAACTGTTAGGTACATACAATAATACGCATCCGTTTTTTTAGCAACATGTTGTTGCCATGCCAAAAAGGACGGAGGAAGGGGGGAGACTTAACCGTTACTATCCGTTCCTTGTTTTTGCCAACCTAATTTTGGCGCTTGCTTGCTCCATTGTTGTTTGACGAAAACAGTTCAGTTAATGCTTGTCTATGTAAATCATATATCATAGGTTACTTGAGATGCGGCAGCGGTATCTGAGTTCTGCACAAGTGGTGTTTGATCAGAAACAGCTTTGAAAGAACAATAGTTAATTATCTTTGTAATACTGATGGTAGCGCTGTTTGTAAACTAAAACGCGTTCAAATCATTTCCTTCTTTGTTTTCTTTGATAAACACAGCAAAAAGACGTCGACATAGAGCATGTCGGCTCAACCGCCTCTAAACACGAATGAAATAACAGATCCGTCTGATTTCAAACATACATACATTCCAACGTTGGCTAACTTAGACGTGTTGGAAAGATGCTACATATGCAAAGAATTTTTTCGAGCTCCAGTCATCACTTCATGTCATCACACATTCTGTTCGCAGTGTATTCGAGAGTACTTGATTACAAATAACTTGTGTCCTTTGTGTAAAACGGAAGTTTATGAAAGTACATTGAAACGGGATGTGTTATTGGAAGAGATTGTTGAGTGTTATAAGAAAATTAGGCCCCTACTATTGCAGAACCTTGTTTCCTCAAACAATGAACAAAAGAAGCGACTTCGAGAAGAGAGTACAGACATATCTGATGATGATCCAGAAGTGGAAATAATCAGCTCAAAGAGGCTAAAGGAGTCCTCTGAAGAGTCTCAGGGGCAACCACCTCTGACCAAACAAAAGGAACCGGCACAAGATTTAGTCGAGTGTCCTATTTGCTCAAAGAAAATGGATGCTGAACGATTACAAACTGTTCATATAGATGCATGTTTAAGTGGAAAAGAAGAGCCCCCAGTAGTTCGAAATAGTGCTACAAAGTCTTCCATATCATCATTTTTTACGCAGGTAAAGTCTGCATCACCCTCGCCGTCGCCAGCATCAGCAGCAGTACTACCACCAAACTTGCTGCAGCTGTCGCCACAGCCACCGCCACCGCCACAATCAAATGAAGTCAAACCTACCCCGAAACGATTACAAAAGTTGGATTTCGCGTCTCTAAGTACTCCAAAGCTAAAATCAAAGATGGCAGCATTAAAATTACTGACTCTGGGGACAAGACATCAATTGGAGTTACGGTATAATAAATATTTCGTCTTGTACAATTCCAACTGTGACAGTCAGTATCCTGTACCTCAACATGTCTTACGTCAACAACTCAAACAATGGGAAGTTTCAAATACAAGCTTTACAGCAAATGGAGTGCTACGAAACACGGAAGACATATCTGACTCTAATTTCTCGGCCACTGAGTGGTTGAAAAAATATGACACTGAATATAAGGAGCTAATTAAACAAGCAAAGGGGGCTATTGGTTAGTATGAGCGTATATAAGGTAAGGATAGTTTTATTTATTATATGATATATCTCGTTAGATTAGAGCTTATATGAAGAAACGCGAGTCGAAAGTACGTTTTCCTCTAACTGTTGTGTGTCCTAAAGCCTAGAGTAAGCAGAGTTTGAAATCGTTTAATATCCAACATATTCTAGATGATTTTCGGTTATCAGATTCACAAGATAAATACATAATAAGAGAAGGTAAATAGGAAGGCTCGCATATGTGCTCTCAGCATCAAGGAAATGATTTTCCGGATATCTATACCAAATTAGTACTCTTTTACCTTTTTGTTTTGATGCACAAAAACATCCGATGCGCTTTCGGAAAAAAAAAACTAAACGTTCTGGTCTAACCTTTTTACACGGGAAATGCTCCCACTTCAAGTGTCTCACATGTGCCAGCCATTTGCGCCTAAGAACTTATAAGTATCAGTACAAATGGTTTACCTGTCGTAATCCTGGAAATTATGTTCCACTTACGACAGTCAGTCTTTTCCGACCAGAATTGTGTCAATTATTATATCAGTAATTGTTCCACTTTACTGCCGAAAAATCTATTTTTGTTCTCAAACTATAAATCAAACTTTAATCCGCAACAACAAAAAAAAAATTCGCATGATTAATAGCCGAAAGCAAGCATCTCAACAACAAAAACCTCCCATAAGAAGCACATTGTATGGACGATAATCACTATCTCACTACCTACGAGGCGGCATTGGCTGTTGTTGCCACGGGGATGAAAAAGTCGCGGCTAAAGCCAGATACGTTACTTATAAATGCCATCGTGGGTGCCATTCTATTTTCAGTCGGTGGAATGCTTAATCTACTAGTTCATTCAATGTTGCCATCAATTAGCGAGAATAATCCTGGTTTACTTAGGTTTCTACTGGGGTCTTTCTATCCAATAGGGCTATTTTACGTCGTCATTATGGGAGCAGAATTGTTCAATGCAAACGTTCTTTTTTTCACAGTCGCCTTATGTCGACGCGGAGTATCGGTATTGGACTTGGTAATAAATTGGTTGGTCTCCTGGTGGTTTAACCTCGTGGGAAACATTTTTGTCGGATATATCATTAGTCATTATTCCAATACGACTACAAGCCAGGCGTTTATTGGTGGAACTCACGAAGTTTTAGCATCGAAAATGGAGTACTCGTTCGTAGAGAACTTGCTCAAGGGTATTGCGGGAAACTTTTTTGTTAGCTTGGCAATCTACTTGCAAATCATGGCTAAACCATTGCATGTGAAATTCCTCATGTTGTATTTACCAGTTTTCTCCTTCATCTCATTGGATTTTACACATTGTGTTGCTGACCAGTATCTTGTTGTTCTTGGCAAAATCAACCATTCTTCTGAACCCTGGGGTGAAATCTGCTGGAAGCTCTTGTTGCCCGGAACCATTGGAAACATTATTGGAGGCACATTTTTTGGCATAGTGATATGTTGGTATATGCATATATACGTGGTTGAACGGGACAAGAAAGAATTGAATTTGCCACAATATGAATTCAGAGATCAACAGCCTGAATTGATGCAAGACTCAAGAGTTGTACGGCAAAAAGACCCCGTTCTCCATGATGATGTTGAAGTCAATAAGGACAATGAAGAAAAAAATTCGGTTTCCAATTCCAATGGTTCTACTGAATCAGAGATGTTAGAATCTCAATCTAATCTTGAACCACGACCATACCTCGAATCTCACGCTTCTGCAACTTCTAGACTTAGTAACAGACGAAGAGGCTCGCTAGCTTCCGTCCGGTCGCCCAAAAACGTTTTCCCAGTCTATGGTATGGATGAGCCACTAACTAGGGAGCGCACGATCGCTGGCGACCATGCGCATGATAATGAGATTAATGATGAGATAGATGATGAGAACAGCATTGCCAATGAAGCTCGTTCCATAGGGTCGCACTTGGTTCGGATGCTTACGAGGAGATCAAGAAAGGATGCATCCACTGATGTTTAGAGTATACCATTTAGATAGAATAATAGATTAATTATTTCAACGAATGTGGTTGAACGTAAAGGACGTGCTGCAATAGTCGACAACTCACAAACAGTCAAAGTCTCAGCTCCAATAGGTGCAAAAAAACAAAAAAATCAATTGGACGAGATGAGAGTCGAACTCATGACCTTCTGCTTGCAAGGCAGACGCGCTACCAACTACGCCACACGCCCCAATTGTTGTTGAATTTAACTTTACGGTTTTATAACACGTTGAATTTTACATGGTTTTCAGGTGAGTATAATGTGACTTGGTTGCAAAGTATACCATTTTATGTCTAATTTAAGACCGCCAATGCTGAAATTTCAAAAGGTATTGCTTCACGCTTTTATGTTTGGTTAAGTTGTTGGTTGATATTTGTTACCTTGATTCGTAGAAATATTGTACGATAAAACCTATACGTGTATTTTTCATTAATTTCTAAACTATATAAACTATATACTTTTATGTCCTAAACCTGTCATATTTATATTATTACAGATTGGATATCTCATCGTGGGATGGGATGAGCTGGAGAATACTTTAAGCTGTATTTTGCCTTTCGGATACTTACTTCTGTGGTGAAACATGCACAAAGTATTCATGAACATCATATTTGCCGTTCGAAGGTATTTGTCAGACGAAATAGCATTTATCCACTTGGTTATATACTTCATTAATAACCGTGGGTTATTGATTCTGTATATGTTCTAGATTGTAGAATATTCTAGATCAATATAACGACACCTTAAAACTTTGGGATGTATTCTGGTAGTTTATTTGCAAAATTTTGTGTTTAATTTAAAACAAATATATCAAAATCGAAATGTACACACGTGAAAGCTGTTAGCTTTGACAATGTGTTTAAAATAGTTATACAAATACTTGTGCTGTCAATATGGCTAAAATCAATTGAAGCGTTAGATTTGATACAATTATACATATTACAGTCTACAGTGCCTACAAGGCGCCTAAAAACCATATTGTATAATCTTCAGCTGTTCTCTTTAATACACTTACATTACCCATCTACGCTTTGATTTTTCAGTTCCCTCATTAAAGCAAGGTCCATTTTTCCTTGCAATTTTTGGCAGCCATTTCGATTCACAGAATTTAGCTTACAAAAAAGAAGAAGAAAAAAAAAAAGAATGAATTAAGTGAAATAAACTTCACGCTCATCTCATTTTATCTCATCTCATCTCAACAACGAACATGTCAACGACCACAGCTGCATCGTCAACTTATGTAGACGAGGACACTACTTGGAAATCATTGAATCTTGACCCAAGGTTACTACAGGCTATCGATCAACTTGGGTTTGAGAATCCGACACTTATACAAAGCAGTGCTATACCCTTGGCATTGGATGAGAAGAGAGATATTATTGCTAAAGCATCAACCGGATCAGGTAAAACTGCCGCCTACGCTATACCGATAATTCAGAACTTGTTGCTTGAAGATTCTGGCCCTGGTATAAAGTCTGTTGTACTTGTACCCACTAGAGAATTATCGAATCAAGTATATCAATTCATGGAGCAGTTGATTAGACACAGCAACAAGAAAATAGGCATTTTGAATCTATCATCAAGTTACAGTGACCAAGTTTTGAACTCCTTACTAGCGAACAGACCTGAAATTATCATTTCCACACCAAGCAAGTTGATCCAAATTTTGGAAATGAATGATGAGAAGTCCCCCATAGACTTGAGCACAGTGAGGAACTTGACCATTGATGAGGTTGACTTGATTTTGAGTTTCGGTTACTTGGAAGACTTGGCAAAGTTGGAATCGTACTTACCAGTCAAGAAAAATTTGCAAACATTCTTGATGTCGGCAACGCTCAATGACGATATAAACGAGCTCAAGACAAAATTTTGTACTAAACCAGCCATCTTGAAATTGGATGACGAACAAAGTAGCAATGATAAATTGGTCCAGTTTTACGCCAAAACCACAGAGTTTGATAAGTTTCTATTAAGTTATGTTATTTTCAAGTTAAACTTGATCAAGGGTAAAACAATTGTCTTTGTCAACAGCATCGACAGGGGATACAGATTGAAACTATTTTTGGAACAGTTTGGTATAAGATGCTGCATCTTGAATAGCGAATTGCCAATAAACTCGAGACTACATATCGTCGAAGAGTTCAACAAGAATGTCTACCATTTGCTAATTGCAACAGACGAGATTTCTGTCGAGAGAGAGGAAGGAGAGATTGTAGAAGAGGGAAAGAGTGCTGATAAAGAAGCAAAATCAAAGTCCAAGAAATCAAAAAAGGATAAGGAGTATGGCGTATCCCGTGGTGTAGATTTCAAAAATGTGGCTTGTGTTTTGAACTTTGATCTTCCTACTACATCGAAAGCATATGTGCACCGAATTGGTAGAACTGCTAGAGCCGGGAAATCAGGAATGGCTCTTTCGTTTGTGATTCCGGTAAAGGAGGTGGGAAAACACAAGACAGCAACTTTACCAACGGCCAAGAAAGATGAAAAAGTTTTGAGCAGAATCATCAAACAACAAGAAAAGAATGGCTTTGAAATAAAGCCATATCAATTTGACATGAAGCAGGTTGAAGGGTTTAGATACCGTGCAGATGATGCATTCAGGGCGGTAACACAAACCGCCATCAGAGAAGCAAGAGTGAAAGAATTGAAAAACGAATTAATTAACTCAGAGAAATTAAAGAGATTCTTTCAGGAAAACCCTCAAAATTTGGCTAGTTTGAGACATGATAAGGAGTTACATCCAGCAAGAGTTCAAGCGCATTTGAGAAATCTCCCAGAATATCTTTTACCAGAGAGTGCAAGAAGCGATGTGAAAAATATCGGGTTTGTTCCCTTCCACAAGAACAAGGTGAATAAACACAGAAAGAAAGGAAAGCCGAGAAGAAAACAAGACCCATTGAAAACATTCAAGAAATAAAACATCTATTATGCCAATCTACTTAAAATCAAATTCCAGATCAAATTTGCCAAACAGTTGCACGGAAACATCATTGTCTGTGGTATAAACAGAAACAGTAAAATACTAAAGAATGGCCAATAGCAATAACTATACTTTAATGACTTGAAGTATGCATTTCTTGTAGTTTTTGTAAATACCTCTCCATGATCCCATAATGCGTTTAAGATATTGAATATTAATTGAAAAGTGGGTGCTCCGATGGCTTGATCAAGTAGTATACGATAGAAGATATTTTCACATCGCTGCATCAACAAGTTTATCCACGTCACTGTGAAGTACCCGTTTATGCTCCCCCAAATCATAAATTCAATTATTTTGCTTAGTTTGAACTTTCTCCTTGAAAATTGATTTATTGATTGTGCTAATGCTCCAGAAAAACAGCCCAAGAGGGTCGGCGCCAACAACTGGTTGAATTCAGATATCTTTTGGTACTCGTGGTATACGCTGAGCGAAATTATAGTCTCTACTATCAAAGCAAAGTATAGTCTTTTTAGAATAAGTTTGGAGCTCGGATGCAAGTGATGGTTGTCGTTGATTTTGAAAGCTGTAGTCGAAGATGATTTCTCCAAATCATCGAGTTGAATCGCATCTTTTGATAAAGGTAGCGACATATCTTCTGAACCGCGACTGCACACCTGTTGGTAATGAAACCCGTGTTGAACCCTTTATTGATTGAAATCACCGTTTGCAGTTTTGGATGTTTTTTTTTTTTTCTTTTTCCAAGTTTAAATTTAGAAACAATAGAAAAGGAGGAAAAGAAGAAAAAAAATAATTCTCGTTGACGTGTCGCGGCCTGTGTTGGTTGAGATCAAACGTGGGAGTTCAACATTTGGATGGAAGAGAAGCACTCGCGAAAGGCCCTCCAACTCACGAGCTGATCTTGATTATCTTTTATCTTATGGTTTCTAAGGTACATCAATAGGTTTGAGTTGATTTGAGTGTGCATTTTACCTATGGGTGGGGGGTCTGTGAGGTCCACTACTATCTTTTAAAAAGGTGATAATGAGTCTTAGACTGTATTCATATGCCTGATGAATAGTATTGTATTTCAAGCAATTCATCATTTTATTACAGACCAGGACTACTCTTGAAAGCTTAACGAGACCTGTAAGACATTATGCTGAACCAACCTGCTCCGTTTTATAAATTTCGCAGTTGGTAGCTCTAGAATTTCGTAGAAGTTTTTGAAACTTTTCACAACCAGGTGTTTTTCATTTTCTAGCAATTCTGTAGGTGATCTAAGAATGGTGGTCCACAACCCTAACAACTGGTATGTATATGATACTAAGTCAACAAAAGTGGGCAACTACTAACTCCTCCAAAGGCACTGGGTAGATAAAAATTGTTTGCCTTGGGCAAAAGCATATTTCAACAACAACGTAAAGGATACAACTTTTGAAAACGATGAGTACAGTTTTTGCATATCAGACATTCAGTCAGTAACTGGACATTGCGATGTTACCCAAAGAAAGGGAAAAGTGTTGTGCATATACGATTTAAAGCTCGTCTTTAGTGTCCTGGGAAAGGCAAAGAACAACCTGAACGAAGGTGAACGTATTTCAGGAACCATCACCATAGCCGAGTTTGAACACGATCAAGACGAGAGTGAATACATTTACGAGATCGATGTTGATAATGGGCCATCCGAGTTACGCAAGAATTTGATACCTTTGTTGACCTCAAAGTTGGTCAAGTTTCAACCGGATTTGCTAGAAGCACATGCAAAAGATGTACAACACGCAGAGACATAGATTTTGATAGAATGATAGTTTCTTACAGGAGCTATGCAATAAAGTACATACTATTTCGTATTTTATACTTTGCTCTTCTTTCCGCCGCGGTTTACTGGCTTTTCTTCTTCCTCATCAATCAGGTTCCTTTTTCTTGGAGAGGTAGAACTCTTCACATCATCCTCAACCTTAAACTGCTTTTTCAATAGTCGTTGTATTTCTGGAGCAAAACAGCTAGTTCTGCCCCCAACAGTGATGTGGTCCAAGACATATCCTTCCTTGGTCTTTGCTTTGCCCTGTTTCTTTCTAGCCTTACCCCATCTATGCAACATCAACCAGTTCAGCGGAAACCTTTTGGAGTCGCCTTCACACTTAACCGCTTCCTCACATACATATATCAAAGATTGATACAATCTTTCAATAACAGGATCAACTTCTCCGGACTTGCGTTCAACTTTGCTCGAGATAATCTCATTGGGATGCAACTTTGCATGAAATAGCACCTCATCACCAACCCAGTTCCCAACGCCAGCAAAGTAAGCCTGGTCTAGAAGCAAGCTTTTAATGGGCTTCTTTTTTGACAAAATGAGGTTGTTAAATTCATGCAAGTTTAATCTTGGCCTTCCATGATCAGAAGGGTCAGGATCACCAAATACAAAATTAGCGTCTTCCTTGACAATCTCGGGTTTGCTATAATCCGGACCTAATGCACTCAATGGGGGCAACCGAAGCAACCCTTTGTCGGTTGCTGCATTTTCGTCTGAAATAAGCCGTACTCTTCCTAATCTTCGTGGGTCCACAAATGAAAGTTCTAATTTGAAATCATCCTTTACCAAGTCTATTTCGAATTTGGAAAACTTTGGTGGCCATTCGGTCTCCAATTCCACTTTAATATCATCTTCCTGCTTGGGCTCTTCTAGTTCTTTCAAAATCTTTTTATCACCACCATTTTCCATAAACACCAAATGCGATTTCACATTTCTTATTTTAATCATTCCAGTCATTCCAAAGTGCATAAGTAGTACGCTCAGTTGCGCCAGCGCTTCTTTATTCAATCTGAGCCAAAAGTATTTTCCGTGTCTTCCAACCGAGTCAATACGCAAGTCCACGAGGTTGGCTTTCATCTTCTCCAATTCTGCATTTGGATCTTTCGACTCTTTAAGTACGGGAAACAACAATGGGTCCAAAGATAGATTGACTTTTTTAATTCTAAACCCTAAAACATTCCTTTTCAATAAAGCACAAACATGAGCCACCTAAGTTGTGTTAGTTTAGTCTCAGTGACTGTCTATTTCAGCATATGTGTAGACATACCTCTGCTACCTCAGGCATTGCTTGGTACTTCTCAACTTTGCAAATTACATTTCCAAAAAAGGGCCTTCTTTGCCGAGTTTCGCGTTGTACAAAAAATGAACCCCCCCTCAGAGATAATTTTGGATGGCAACATCTGAACCAACAATACAACCAACTTGGCAACATTATGAATAGATTATTTGGAACTAAGAATGCTGTACCCAAACCATCATTGAATGATGCTATCAAGGGAATAGATGAGAGAGTCAGTTCTCTAGATGTCAAATTAAGCAAAATAAATTCAGAATTATCAACGTACCAGCAAAAGATAAGTCGAATGCGTGATGGGCCGGGAAAGTCATCGTTGAAGCAAAAGGCTCTCAAATTGTTAAGACAGCGGAAGCAGATTGAGGCACAAAAGGATCAACTAGAGAACCAGTCGTGGAATATGTCACAAGCAACAATGACAACAGATAACTTGCAAAACACTATGGTGACAATTAATGCCATGAAGACAGCAAACAAGGAATTGAAAAAGACATATGGAAAGATAAATATCGACGAGCTTGAAAATTTACAAGATGAAATGTTAGATATAATAGACAAGTCGAACGAATTGCAGGAGGCTCTTTCAACAAGCTACGACGTACCAGATGAAGTGAGCGAAAGTGAATTAGACGCTGAATTGGAAGCCTTGGGAGAAGAAATTGATTTCGAAAATGAAATGGCCGAGAGTGGAATAGGCGCTCCAAGCTACTTGAACGATACAGAACCTGCTAGTTCAGACAAAATTCCTACTTTTATCGACGAAGAACCAGAAAAGACTGAAAAGATTGCAAATTAGGAAACCATCACTTTCATGTAAAGCTATGTACATGCACATGAATCAGGGATACAGCTCCTATTAGAACTTTCGTTGTATAGCCATGAAATAATTGCCAATGTTTGGACACGAAGTAAACTCCCATCCGTAAGCAGGAATATACACACATCCTCTCGTATCCACAACTTGATACTTTTCTCTTCTCTGGTTATCCTCTTCGACCCAATCTTTGATTTCGTATTGATTAATGTACTTTTCTAACGTGTGTGTTCCAACAGGTACAATCCTCAATATATGCTCCCCCATCAATATCGTTGTAAACCAACTTACCGGGTCTCTGTTAATAGTCGAAAGGAACAACCAACCACCAACTTCTAATCTCTCCAAACCTTCGAGAAGTACTCGTGATGGGTAATCCACATGTTCCAAAACTTCAAACATAGTGACAACATCAAACCTTTCTTCTTTTGGCGTGTCTTCTATTGCCGACAACTCGTACAACAATTTACTCTCCAACATCGGGTCTTTGGCCTTATGTATCTTTGCTGCTTCTAATACGTCAGTTGACAAGTCTATTCCCTTAACACTAGCTACAAACGGAGACCTTGCCATTGACTCTGATAAGATACCACCACCACATCCAACGTCTAGAACCTTGAATTTGCTTGTTTCTAATATTTCCTCCTTTCGCTCCTCTTGGTCCAAAATTATCCTCTCCCGTACTGGCACTGGCAACAAGTCAACATTATATGGAGGGATGTAAATTTGATCGTCTGGTGAGTTGACATTAGAATTTAGCTTTATATGCAGCAGGATTGTGTCATATATAAAGTCCATACGCAACAAGTTCATCTTGTGCAAAATACGCTGAGGCCCATTGACATCCCACCATGATGAAGCGAGGGCATTAAAGTGTGCCATCTCTGAGGCTGAGGACGAGGTAAATTTAGGAGCATCGTGGAAGCATGCTTGGCACTTGGAAAAGAATCGGACCGACTGCCACCTGCATAGGGCAGTTGCACCCCTTCTACTATTCATTGCTGTTGAAGTTGGTTGTGTCGGTACAAGTCTGGAGAGAAAACTTTGGCGGATTAAATATTTAGAGGCACTGGAAAAAAAAACACCAAATACTACAACTGAGGACAGACTGTTCGACAATTTAATAGGCAATGAGTGACTCAGAGGATGATGAGATATTTGAGAGTTTGATGGCTACTAGAGTTAGACGCTCAAATGCTGGATCTAGGCTAAAACAGCTTATTGAGTTGGAGGGGGAGGCAAATGAAGTAGAAAAGTCACCCAGCCAGTTTACTACTGAAGATGATGAGAATGTGAATCTACTATTTCAAGACGACGAGGATGACCAGGAGTTTGTTGACGAGGATATGGAAGAAGAATCATTACTCGACGAACAAGATGAGGACGAAGAGGGTAGTGGTAAAACAGGTGACATGATACCGCCCGATTCTGGTGATGAACGAGACGAAGCAGGTGAAGAGACACAAGAGGTAAATTCAGATGATGTATTATCAGATTCAGATTTATCAGCGTCGGAGTCAGATGAAAGCGAAGGAGAAAAAGAATTGCAGAAGCAGGAAAGGATACGAAAAAGGAGGAAAAAGACAGTGATACCTCAGATCAAAAAGGTGAGTGAAAAGCCAGTTGTAAAGCGGTCAAAGAGGTCACCTTTGGTTACCTCTGACTCATTGTTGATGTCAAGCAGGAGGTCATCTTCTCGAGCTTCAGCTGTTGAAAGTAAACAAGCGTTGATTGACCGCTTAAAGGAAAGTGAGGAGAGAAAAGCCAAGTATGTACCCGTTGAGAGAAAATATGTTAAAGAGTTGACACAGGCCGAGAGATTGGCACAAGCTGCTGAAACTGAAAAAGAAAATATAGAATCTTTGAACCGATTTAAGGAGCAGGAAATTGTGAAAAAGGAGCGACAAAGACAATCGCTTTTGTCAAAGAGGACTAAATTACAGAATGTCCTACGATGGGTAAGCAAGGGAATATACGTGACTCCAAATGAAGAGGTGGCAGAAGCAAGAAGACAATTTGAACTTTACATGAAAAAGAGAAAAAGACTAGGCAAGAAAAAGAAGGGAAATGAAGACGAAGTGGCTGTTATTAGAGCGCCGTTTTCAATTGACTACTCGTCACCGTACCAAAGAGCATTGGCGGATGCAAAGAAGAGAGCACAAGAAGAAGAGGAAGATCGTCTTGAAAGTATCAACTGTTTATTGATGAAGAAGGTCATCGAACACGAGAGTAAGGGTGACACCTTAACAACATCGGAGGTTGAAATCATTGACCAAAAAGAAGAGGATGGAAATACAAGTGATTCGAAGCAAACTGATCAAATCAAAGTGAAAACTGAACCGAGTGAAGAAGGAGAAAATCTGGGGGATGGAGTTACTTTAGTTGAGACAAGAGTCGACGATAAATTTAAAGAGGATTTAACATTGGAAGAACATTTGAAAGCACCAGAGCCACACGGGACTGTTGAAGATTCAACTGAAGCAAGTAAGGGCACATCTGATGCAAATAATGAGGACAAATCAGAGACAAAAGATGAGGGCATTGTAGCTAATGGGGAGGAACAGAATGACGATCTTAAAAAGGGAAACGAAGAGGCCCCGACTGAGCCACCAGCTGGTCTGGAATCCTTTATAAACCTTGCCAATAAAGAAGCTTTGAGCATCACAGAGAGTCACTCACCTAAGCGCGTAAAATTTGCCGACGAGCTCAACGATAAGGAAAGCAGGCCATCGCCCATAAAACAAGAATCGACCGAGGATACTCCGAATAATGAGGTATCTGAAATAAGCTCGGTTGAGGGCACCCCAATTCCAGACGATCATTTGCCAAATGATACGACAGATGACCAAACGTATAAAGAAATATTTGAAGGGCCAATTCAAAAAGTGAGTCGGAATACGATTTATCTTGCCGATTTTGACGAAGACAAACGACAATTCAGACTTACCGCTAGTAATGTCAAACAGATCCTATTTGGCGAGCAATCACTCTGGCTGGCAGCAAGAAGGTCTAATGAAGTTAAAAACTTACTTCGTATAGGAAAACAGGAAAACCCATATGCTACAAAAAAAGACAATAGGGAGAATGATCTATTCACACCCATTTCTGAGCTCAATGAAGATGATCCAATGTTTGACGAATTGAAAAAGTTGCCTCGATTGGGGATTCAGCAAGATATTGTTGAAGTCGCTGAAAACGACGAAGAAAATGATTCTGCAGAAATAGTAATACAAACTGAGGCTCCTACAGGGTTGTACTTACCCAATGGTAATAAAAAGGTTTGTATGGTTTCGGGCACAGAAGTCAAGTACTTTGATCCTTCAACGGGTATGCCTTATAGTTCGGTGGACGTTTACAGAACTCTAAAACTTATAGAACTGGGCCAGGCTGAGTGGCTAGGCTTGGATGCAACAGATAATGGTCCAGTGGATTTGTATTTGGGATTCAAGGGGGAAAATGCAAAACACGCAAAAGGAGTACCAGAAGGGTTTTAATTTGTATATATATTATTATATTTGTAAAACGTCTATGTAAAATGCAATCAAAGCCTTTTTGCCTTCCAGTGTCCATGTAGGACTACTATATATTGTCTCTAAAATTAACCCAAGATACCCCCAACATATGCCAATGACCAAGTCCTGGACATACCATTGTCAATCTGGGTCGGGTCCCAATCTTTTCTAGCAAACCAATCGTACGAACTCTTTGGGTCATACAATGCTTTGTTCAACATCAATATACCTTTCCAGCCATCTGGAATTCTATCAATGATAGGACCTAATTTCTGATCCCATTCTTCTTTAACAAAGTTTGGCCCACGGATATATCCAGAAATGGGTGTTATAGGTAACATGTGGATCCCGTGGATCCATTCGTCACCAATTGTACCTCTACCAAAATAGGTGGCATAATCGATTTTATTTTCAAACGAAATTCCAGCCACTTTATTAGGAATGAAATTGGCTGGCTGGATTTTGTTATCGTTGGAGAAAAGCATGTACATATTCATCGATCTTTTCATTATGGCAAGCATCAAATTAGCTCTGCTTTCCATTGCTTGATCATGGACGACATTTGCAAACAATTTCATTCCATAAGCGAAATGATAGTCCTCACTCGACGACTCTTCATCTTTGCCATCTCCAGAAGCAAAGATTCCATGAGCGAAGGAGTGGCCATGATACCAACAAAATGATCTAGATTGTGGGAAAAACTGGTCGGCTTTAGGACTAGCAACATCTCTGAGAAGTGCAATTGCGTAATCATATACTAGGTTGTTGTTTGCATGTAGCCAACCCTCATCAATATGGGCAACCAAAGCAATCGCATGTATGTGGTAACCGTAATGGAAATGATGATCGTTGTAGTTTGAATTTCCAAAATCGGCTCCTGGTTCAGCAGACGAAATAATGCCTTTCCAAGTGGTGTCATAAACCAATGGGAATTTCTGTTGATTTCTGGCAAAAATCTCAATCGCTTGTTTAACCTTGGGGAGGATGTCATTGGTGAGTTTGTCATCTTTTAAAATAAAGTGACAAACGTGGGCAATATAAGCAAACTTGTCCAAAATTTTGCCCGAGGTGTACATTGAGTCTATATTGGCCATACCAACAACATCTTGCTTTACCTCTTCAGTAGCACCCTGGTGAATCAATTGTATAGTTGAATCGGAAAAATGTGCCCCTGTTGCAAAAGTGGTCCATGGATCCCACAATATATCTACCGGCAACCCCTGTTCTTGCATGACTAGCTCGTTGGTCTTGTATGCCTTCATTACTCCCTTTGTAGTCGAATCAAGCTTTAGATCAGTTTCACCATCCGAAGTCAAAACTTCTTGATGGTGGGGTAAGGCCCAGATTATCGTTTTACCCGATCTTGATCTTCCTTTTATGTCATACTTGATCTTGTATTCACCACAATCACCTTTCACCGTTCCTGATATATCTGCACTAGTAGGATAACAACCAACAGCATCGTCATAGTGGGAAGAGTCTCCACGGCAAATTTGCACTGTACCTGGACTTTGCCCAACGATATGGTTGGGATCGGTTAGATTTAACTCTATGTCACTATAAATCGACCAAATGACTTGATTAAACAATTTGACTTGGTATTTCTGAAGTCCGTCAATCTGGCCTACTTTTTTGAATTCTTGATACCCAACTTGCGAAGCAATAACGGGCTTGATTCTGTCATATATAGCAGTGATAAAGCCCATACCTTGTATCAACGGGATCTCAATGCACCCTTGCGGGATCTCTAGCCTGGCAGTTACAGACATTTTTCGATGATCATGTAACGTCATTCTGACATTGTCAAAGTTCTCACCCGAGAGTACAAATGATTTAATTCTTGGTGGGTTGAAATAAAACTGAGCGACTTTGGCATCCGGCTCTGGTCCAAATACCCTCTGATTTGCATCAGTGTGATTCAATGCCAATCCAAAATCTTGACCCGGGTCTTTTGTTAACCACAAAGAGTATGGGAGAGTCCAAACTGGAAACGTTTGATCCTCCAACGTCAAATTATTGGAAAAATTGTTTGTTTGAATTGGTTGTTCCAATGCACATCCCTGGGGAGTAAGTTCATGGTTTTTGCGTTTAAATATTTGTGGTGGTTCACCGGCTGCAATTGGTTGTTCAAATATATCCTCACCATCTATTGAACCAAGTGGGCGGTGCTGCTGCTTCGGTTGCTCTTGATAATTCAGCGAGGAGGCTTCATTGGCTTCATTTTGCTTGGGTAATACATTTTGACCGTGATGATGGATATCCATGCGTTTGAATGCATTTTTCAAATCCCTCAATCCCATATTTTTTCAAGATCTTTTTGCTTATGTTGGAGACGCGATATGTAAGCCAAGGCCGATCTCTTGTTTTTTTGATAGTGTGTTTAAGTTTATCATTTCAACGGAATTTTTCCCGCATTTGGGGGTGAATCGGGTATCGAAACGCGCACTCCAATTCCTTTTGAAGAAACATAAAAATAAATTCCGTTTGCATTGACGGGATTATTCATTTCTTGAAGTATAAATTGAGTACAATATGGCCGTGATGAGGTTAATTGTAATGTTGACATAATCCTCAATAATCTGCTTATAATGAAATTACTTTCGCTTTTAAGCACTTTCAGTGTGGCACTTTGTGCTACTGACTTGCAAGAGAAATGGGGAAGTCTTTGGCAGTTTCAAGGAATAGCTACATTTGCACACTTGGACCACGTTCAATGTCTTATTGATCGTGACCAGATATTTGATGTTGGAATTATTGGTGTTCCATTTGACACTGCAGTTTCGTACAGACCTGGTGCTAGATTTGGCCCCAGGGCTATTAGAGATGCATCACAACGTCAGTACAGTTTGCGTGGATTCAACCATAGAGCAATGTTCAACCCCTACAAGTCTTGGGCTAGAGTTGTCGATTGTGGAGATGTTCCAGTAAGCCCAATGGATAACAGATTGGCATTTCAGCAAATGGACGAAGCTTTTGAAGAATTATTGTGGGTTGGAGACTCAGTTGACGATAACCAAGTTCCACCTAGATTCATAATTTTGGGAGGCGACCATTCTGTTTTGTTACCACATATTCGGGCCTTGAATAAGGTCTATGGCCCAGTAAACATATTGCATTTTGACGCTCATTTGGATACTTGGAAACCAGATAAATATCCATCATTTTGGCGCACTGAGGTCAGTGATGTGAACCATGGATCAATGTTGTGGAAAGCATACGAAGAAGGGTTAACCACAAAGAACAATGTGCATGCGGGTATTCGGACTAAACTATCCAGTATCGCTGATTATGAGGATGATGATGCACAAAACTGGTTGAGAATCGAGGCTGATGATATTTGGTTAAAAGGGGCAGATTATGTCTCTCAACAAATTTTGAAAAGAATTCCAAAAAATACACCAACTTATATTTCCGTTGATATAGACGTATTGGATCCAGGGTTTGCGTCAGGAACAGGCACAATGGAATCAGGTGGTTGGTTACCAAGGGAGTTGATTCATATTTTACGTCAAATTGATAGCTTAACTGTTGTGGGTGCTGACGTTGTTGAGGTTGCACCTGCATACGACTATGCTGAAGTGACTGCCACAAACGGAGCACAGATTGCTTTTGAGCTCTTGACCAGTATGGTAAAGAAAGGCCAACTTGACAGCAAATTGGTAAAAAGGCAAGCTTTTAGGAAAGTAGAGTAAAGCCAAGAGAAGAATTGATTAACACACTTTTAAGGCAGTCTTTTCCTGATGATCCGCTCGAGTGTTGCTCTGAGTGGTTATAAAAAGTTGCTACAAGAGTAGGGCCTGGGATTCGAAATTCTTTTGTTTGAAGCCAGATGCTTATTTAAAAGTTATAAAGAATATAGCCTGTAATGAATATAATGAGCGAATACATTTAATGTTTGCTCTATGTTTGAAGAACTTGCGAGAGGGAATATTTGGTCAAAACTTGCATACATTGCAAGGTACATTTGTAATGCTCTCTTATTTCTACCACAAACAGTTGGTTAAGAGACTTTCCAACCCTCAGTTAAATCCATACATCCCGAAAGAATTTGTTCTTTAGCACGGACCTCAGTACTACGCTTTGTTTGGAATTCAAACAAAGGAAATATCAATGGTACGATTATAGACATATCTTACACAAAATGCCGGTTGCGCAAAGAACAATTAGTGATTGGGCGTATAAGTTCTAGATCATAAACAGGACCCATTCTATGGAGTGCGTACAAATCTGACATTTTCCATTATTACCAATTGCCACTAATCAGCATTGTTGCACAATCTTCTTTCTTAAAAAAGATGGCCTTATTTTCTTCGTTTATTTTTTATTTTTTGATGTCTATCACCGAACCGGAAATAAAGTTAAAGTTAAAGTTAAAAGATACAAAAACAGAAAAAAGAAAAAAGAAAAAAGCCGCACCGAATTGACAGCCTTCCGAGATGGGAAAGTTTGCTATGGATATAAATGTGTGTACACAAATGGAATAAATATACTCCCTTTATTGTTCTTTAAAGCAACTCCTTTTTTTTTTTGATTCTTTATACATATATTTAAATTGAAGATAGTTTGTGCCAATTGATTAAAAAGACTTCAATTGACCCCACCCCCTATCGTTAAAAAGAAGACTAGTCTTACCGCCATTGAAGCGCTTTATTGAAGGGGTCTATTTTAACAAAGTTCAAAGTTCTACACAAAATATCAAAGCAAAAATGCTCCGTCTTCAATATTTGCCAATCGGTAGAAACAAATTTATAAACTCCTCATCTTTGAAAAGAGTTTCAAGAAATGTTTCAACAAATGTCCACACTCATACAGTGAAAACCCCAGTCGGGTTGGATGCAGCAATCCAGACCTTGAAACCAAAAACTACAAGATTGTCCACCGAAGGACCCACTGAATGTCCGCTTGATGGGTTCTCATTACTAAACTCGCCATTTTTCAACAAGGGTTCTGCCTTCACTAAAGAAGAAAGGGAAGCCTTCAAATTAGTCGGTCTTTTACCTACTCAAGTCAACACTTTGGAGGAGCAAGTTGATAGGGCCTACGCGCAATTCAAGATTCGGGTCGATGATATGGCCAAGAATTCGTTTATGGACTCCTTACGGTTGCAGAATAAAGTATTGTTTTTCGCCTTGGTTGAGAAACATATAAAGGAGATGTTGCCTATTATCTATACCCCAACAATCGGTGATGCAATTGAAGATTACTCTCATAGGTTTAGGAAACCGGAAGGGTGCTTCTTGGATATCAAGTCCCCTGAAACAATTGAGGAGAGATTGGCACCATTTGGAACCGAAAAGGATATTGACGTGGCGGTTATCACCGACGGATCAGCTATCTTGGGGATTGGAGAATGGTCAATTGCCGGAATCCTAATTACTATTGGTAAAGGTAGTATTATCACTGCAGCTGGCGGTATCGATCCAACCAGAGTGTTGTGCATAGGTATAGACGCCGGTACCAACAACAAGAGCCAATTAAATGATGAGTTGTATATGGGAAATAAGTTTCCACGAGTTCAAGGAAAACAATATTATGATTTCTTGGACAAGGTTGTTAAAGCTTTTAAAAAGAGGTTTCCCTCGTCGGTATTACATTTTGAAGATTTTGAAACAGCACCAGCTAGAACATTATTGAATACTTATCGTGACAAATTACCCTGTTTCAATGACGATATCCAAGGTACTGGATGTGTTGTTGTTGCCGCTTTGAAAGCTGCACTCAAGGCAACCGACCGTAAAATGGATGATAGCAAGATTTTGATTTATGGTGCCGGATCAGCTGGTATGGGAATTGCCACTCAAATAGCTTCGAATTTGAGAACTGATGGCTTTAGTGAGGAGGAAATACACTCTAAATTGTATCTAATGGATAGATACGGATTGATTACTGAATCGACTGAAGCTACGCCGGCACAACAGGTTTATGCTAAACAGGACAAGGATTGGCAAGATGTCGACAAGGCCAATTTGGTTGAAGTTGTCGAAAAAATTAAACCCACTGTCTTGATTGGCTGCTCAACACGTCCTAAAGCATTCACTGAAGAAGTGGTCAAGACGATGTACAAGTACAATTCCGACCCCATCATATTCCCTCTTTCTAACCCAACTAGACTCCATGAAGCAGTGCCTGAAGACTTGATGGAATGGACTGACAACAAAGCATTAATTGCCACGGGATCACCATTTGCCCCGGTTAACGGATACGCCATTTCTGAAAACAACAATTGCTTTGCTTTCCCCGGTATAGTTCTCGGTTCAGTCTTGTCACGTAGTTCCAAGATTAGTGACGAGATGATCTCGGCTGCTGTTGAACAATTGAGTATCTTGTCTCCCAAGATCCGTGATCCTCAAGGTGGGTTATTGCCGGATATAACTAAGATCAATGAAGTTAGTGCCAAAGTCGCCACTGCTGTTGTTTTGGAAAGTTTGAAACAAGGGTTGGCTAGAGTTGAAAGTGAGCATCGACCAAATGGACAATACGTCAATGTTCCTAGAGATTATGATGATTGTTTGGAATGGGTCAAGTCGCAAATGTGGTTGCCAGTTTATCGTCCATACGTTAAAGTCGAACATATTCCCCATGTTCACACCTATCAGTATTAGAGAACTAAGAAACTGCTTTGTTTAGTGGTTTTTATTATCATAGATTTTATATAATAAAGTGTTATGCTGTATAAAGTTGTGCATCTACAGTGGCTTCTCTTTATAACGTGTTGATACAAAAATCTATAACCAAAATAATAAAATAATCTATAATACAGCATATAGTCACTCATCTCATCTCATCTCAGCAGTCCCCTCGTCATTAAGCATAATACATTCTTGTTCTTCTCTTTTCCACCTTGTCATCACCTGAGCCGCCACCACGGTGCAAGTACTGCTTAGCATCAGCCTCACACATAATCAGATCGTTAACAACATAATAATCCTGTTCAATTTGTCCCTGACAACAACTGCATTTCAAACAATGCATATGCCACTTTTGGCCTAAATCATTTTCAATACACGAACCTTCAATTCCAACCCCACATGATTTACAAGTTGTTGAATTTAATAAATGATAATGTTGGAAGCAGTAGGGCTCATCATCCAATACATAACACTGGACCTGCTTATTAAAGTGAGTTGGGCATGATTGATATGAGCATTTGAAACATCCACGGTGCCATTGGCCCGACAATTCGCCAGTTTTAGAAAAAATCGATTTGAGTGAACCTCTAGCTGAAGGATCTATTGGCTGATTACATGATCGACATGGCCCCATACCTGGTTCATATTGAGCCGGTTTAGGTTTTGTGTGAGATGCATCTGGGTGCAGTGTAGTGTTTGGCATTTGTTCTTCAAATTGGTCCAACTCGGCAATGATTTTTGTGAACTCAGCCGAGTCTTTTCTCTCAGGAACACCATTTGGATGCGAGAAATTGTCCTCTACTTGCTTCATGTCCCTCCTAGTTGGCGAAACGTGTGAATGCGAAACCGACAAGGGCTGAATGGATTCAATTGAAGCAATCGACATGTCGTCACAATTGCTATCTTTAGTATTGTTGGAGCCAGAGCTATCTCGAGTTTTCTTCTCTTCATCGACATCTTGTACACTGAATTGGGGAATGGGAGGACGTGGTGCTGACATTGTTGATTGTTCAGATACAGACTTTTGAGGTGAGGAATAAGTTGGGTCTTCTTCAAGTTGATCAACATTTTCACTGCCATTCTTCAAGTTTTGCAAGTGTGTTTCCAATTCTTGTTCAATGCGTTTGTCTTCTTCACTGATTGACTCTTTTGATAATATTGAGCTAACCATTGACCCGCGATTATAGTCTCCTTGAGATTTATTCACTGGTTCAGTAGACAAAAATTGTTGATACTCTGGTGACTGTGCTTTTTGATGATGCAAATCATTCTCTTCGTCATCAGCCATGAGACGAACATTGAGAGAATTTTCAAGCTTGGCTGAGTTTACATCTGGAGACATATTTTGCAACTGAGCTGGATTGGCTGGTCCCGAGGATTGATGAGTTTGTAAATCTTGCTTGAACTCATCCAAAGCAGGCGACAACTTATCCTCTCTAATCTGGGAGTAAGTTGGTTGTCTAGGAATACCAGTTTGATAGCGTTGATTTGGTGGTACCGTCTGATGTGAGTTCATTGGTGATTGCTGTACCATTTGTTGCGGTTGAATTGGAAGCTGTGGTTGAAAATGTGGTTGTTGCTGTTGCGTTGGACTAACCATAGGAGGCGGTGCAGGTCTTCTTTGCAGACGTGGTGGGTATCCAGGAGATTGAGGATGTTGCTGGCTATTCATTTGCCAACTAGGTGGCCCAGGAGGGATGCCCGTCATTGATCTAGGCAAGCTTGGATTAGGTATATGTGGCTGGGCCATAGGGTGTGGCATACCACTCATTGATCTGGGCATACCAGGTTGGTACATCGCCGTTGGTGAATTCGCTTTATACATTGGTTGACCAGAATGAGGATGATGATGATATTGAGTTGGAGATGTAACTTTTCCTGCACCAGGCATTGGTGCCATACCATTCATTGGCTGCTGTTGTAGCTTGGGTGAAAAATTAGGACTCATTGGGTATGGGACAGCTTGATTTGAGGGTGGAGTAATGTTTCTGTTTGACTGTGATGGATATGATGGATTCATCGGTCCACTAGGTGGCCCATTCATCATCATTGGTGGACGTTTTCTCGTCTTTCTTGGATCGAATGGTTGTGGAGGACCTTGATGGTGGTACATTTGTGGAGGTACTGGACCATTTGCTGAACTTGGTGTTGGAATTTGGTACCCGTGTTGAGCATACTTGTCCTCATTAGTTGTAGCAGTTGGAGATGGACCATTTTCATTATTTGAATCAGTAGATTCGGAGACCTCTTCAATTACCTCTTGATGAGAAAGGCCGTTGTAGCCATTTGATCTATTTGATTGATGTGAATTAGATGAATGCTGTGATGCAACAGAATGGTCTGAATGGTGCGATACATTAGAATGATCTGAATGATGTGATGCAACAGAATGTTTTGAATGCTTTGAATGCAATGAATGCATTGATGAACTTGGGTGGTGGGATACAAATTGCTGCGAATTGTTTGAGTGTGCTCCAGCAGGTTCTTGCTCGTGAGTATTGTTGTTCAAGTCTAGTGTCAAGTTCTTCACATTCTTGTGTTGCTTGTTTGGACTTGTATGGTTTATGGTGTTGGTGTTGGTGTTGGTGTTATATTCTGCTTCCTCATTGTATCTCGCTGTCGTCACTGTTCTTCCAGACAGGTCGCGACTGTCATTGGAATTGTAGGAATCCTTTCTTCTATATTGTTGGTCTTGTTCAGGATATGCAGCTGATACGGAGGTGTTGGACTGTGATTGTTCATGGAATTGATAATGTTCAGGAGAAGTCCTGTTGCTTGTGGATGCTGAGCTATTGTTCCGACCGTACGATTGCATTGAATTGGATTTACTTGACTCCGAAGATGATTCGCCTGATTTCACCCCAGAGTCAGGTACTTGACCAACAAGAGGAAGACTTTCCTTTGTTGCTGTCTTATAGCTACCACTACCGTTGCTCCTGTTACCAAAAGAGTCGTTTGAGTGGTTTTTATGTCCCCAATGGTTTGAGTTTGAAATTGATCTGTTTGAACCTCTGTCGTCATTTTGAGATTGTTTATATCCCTTCTTATTAACATCGAACCCTGCTCTTTCGTAAACGCCTCTATATTTGTGTACAGGGTTGAATGGAGGGAATGCCGAGTCTATTCCTCTTGGCGATTGCTCCGATTCACGTATGAATGTAGGGAATGATCCCATCTTGGGTGATGGTTGGTGCATTGTGGAATCCAGTGGGTAAGAAAATAAAGAAAGCTAGATATATGCAGTTTGATGAAAATGATCGACTAGTTGTGAGTAAATGTCTGAATATGTGGTTTGGTCAAGTAATAGTAGGTTGGTTTAGTTTGTTGATCTGATAGTTTTAGACGATTCCAATTTGTTTTGAAAAAAATTAGTGTTGAATAAAAGAAAAATAAATAAAACAAAACAAACAAAAGGTAACAAAATATAATAAAATTTATTTAAAGTTGTCGTTGTGGTTGTTGTTTGTTGTTATTGCCAAAGTGTAAAGTAAGTAGTAGTAGTGGTGGTGGAGGGGGTAATAATACTGAATGAAAAGAGGGCTTTTTCTAAAAAGGTTATGAGTTAAATAAAAAATTTTTAATCAATTGAATGGGATGATTGTTGTTTGATATTGTTTGATAGTTTTTTTGGTGTATTGGTTAAACACAAATCGATGAAATTCTTTTTCTTACTCTTTATGACAAATTGTACGCCAAAGCAGGTAATACTGTTAAACCACAAAGAGGGAAAACTATCAAGCTTAAGCTTAAGCTGTGTGTATTATTGTTTGGGCTCTTTCGGTTTATTGTCATATGTATATGTATAGGATAGATTTAACTCTTTTTGGTGCATTCGGTACTGCATATAGCATAAACAATCTTGTTTTTCTCTTCACGTGTTTGTGTTGCATATACCCAAAGAGTGTAGCATAAAGTATATAATCTGACAACCGCTACCATGTCCACAACTTCCTTTCAAAACATAACTGAAACTGCAAAAGGGATCTACGTTAAAGATTAAACAACAGCACTTTAAAAGAAGACAGTATAATACAGAGGTTACGGGTATCTGCCAGTATTTCACGTTCTTTTACAATCGTATTATTCATTTATACTTACAATTCGTCTATCTCAGTCGAACAAAGTCACTGTGCAGACTAACTTCTATGTACAGTAACAGATAACTGCATTAGATAACTGCATTGGCTATACTATCTGTATTGTTATGTCTTCAAAATTTCACTTTGCATCTGACGTGTTTTATAAAAGCATAACTGTACTACTTTTTTTACCATTTGTTTATACTACTACGTGCTACTACGCGTTTAACACTAAACAAAAACAAATTCAATTTCCCCCTTCAATTAAATTCATATGGTAGCGGTAAAATTTCTTTGCTTTGTTACAAGACATACCTTTATGCGACATTGAAAATTCACGACACTATTCACAAGGAGCAGTTACACTTTCTCTTTTGAGCTGCACAGTACTTTAGCCTCAATCTCAATTTCACTCTGACCCATCCCCATTGCAATGGAAAGAGTATATACGGCTCTATCCCTATCGCTTATCACAAACAAGAGACTTGCCATATGCTGTGATAATACAACAGACTCAATAAATCACTTTGTTAGAGATATTCTACAACCAGGGGGGTTTGATGACTGGCAATATACAGTGATTGATTTACTTGAGCACAAGAGTATCAAAGATATCCTACACCATTCAACAATTGAACAGAATGGTGGACTTCAATTCAAAAGTGTTATCATATGGCAAAACCTACAACATTTAGACGAAATACGACAGAAGGAATTGTACAAACTAATTTTAGAAATTGACCACTACAACAAAAACTCATCCAAATGTAATAGACTACCGGCTACTATCAAAGCAGAAGGGAGCATGTTCAATATAGCTAAACCTCAGTTGTTTACCATCATCCTATTTTTAGAATATGGCCGATTCAACGACAAAATGTATCCTTATTTGAAGGAAATGTTTTGGTCAAGTGTAACATCGCCACTTATCAATGAATACAGCGAGCAAGTACATTTAATGCCTAACTATCAATCAACAATAGTTAAATTAAGGTCAAAAATAGATACAGTATACATGAGTCCTAATATCAAAAGTTACATCTACTCATTGCTAGTATTCATCAGATGCCACCGGTTGGCATCTTTGGCACCAAAGCTGGTGCGTGTACCAACTGCAACAGTTAACTACATACAGGAATATTGCAAATCATTGGTGCTTTGGAGACGACAGTTGCAACTTAGTCGAACCAGTATGGCTGATACAGCAGTATCCAACGACGAAAACGAATTAGAGAAAACAGCCACTGCAGCTGTAGACTTGGAGCTAGAAGAGGAGACACACTTGTTTGTGACACCCGAGTATGTCAAAATCGCAATGAGAAATATCGGCTACTGGCTAGTCGATTGGGAGACTAATCGGAAATTTGCAAACACCGAGGACTTTAGATTGGACAAAAGTGCTGCCAACACGGCCGAGAATGAAAAGGTTTTAGACAATAAGAAATTGGAAATTTCAATGCTAACGGGTGATTGGTATGGAAGTGAGTATTACTGTGCCAATGAACTTCTCAAAGGTTACAAGGCTGTGAGGGATTATGACAGTCCAACGGGGATGTCAAACAGAATAGTAGATGATGCTATGGAGTCAGTGAGACCTCCATTATAGTGTATATAGAAAAAGCGAAATAAGATCAACAGTCCGTGGGTGAAGCAAAGTAGCTGAGTATCATAGAGTAAGATCGGTTATAAAAGGGCTAATTGTCATAAAATTTTAATGACATAAAAAGAATTGAAACGTCATGAAATCTCTCTCCTAATTATTCTCTTTTCTTATGAGAACAACGAAAAACCAACGACGACAAAAAAAAATAAAAGGCGAATGAACAAACAAAAATAATCAACGAGCGAAAAAGTCAACCAATAAAGTACAAACGACTTTTAAAAGGCAGCAACATATCACTTACAAAGAAAGAACAATAGATTTGAATAGTTTTATCGCAAATTGAATAAATAAAGTATAAGTGAACTTAGTGATACAAGCTAATAAGAAAAATCGAGAAATCAACATCTCCCCATTGTTCTATTAATAACAGTTTGCTTTTTCCAATGTCCGATATTCCAATTGATTTTACCGAACTCACCCAACTAACCCAATTGGGTATTTCTCCATCGTCGTTGGACTTCAAATCAACCACCTTGGAGTCGGATCATTATATATGTATTCGTGAATCGGGTCCACTGGGCAACACGGTTGCTATTGTCGATTTGAAAAACAACAATGAAGTCACGAGAAAGAACATGTCAGCAGATAATGCCATTATGCATCCCCAAGAGTTTGTCATTAGTTTGAGGGCAAATGGAACTACATTGCAGATTTTCAACTTGGGGTCTAAACAGAGGTTGAAGGCCTATACTATGAATGAACCAGTCATATTTTGGAAATGGCTTGACAATCAACATCTTGGTTTGGTGACACAATCCCTGATTTACTTTTGGAATGTGTTTGATGGGACCAATGACGGGCCAATCAAGTTGACTGACAGGCATCACACATTGAATAATGCTCAGATCATCAATTTTGTTGCCGAGCCAGATTTGAATTGGTTTGCCGTTACTGGTATTGCTCAAGAAGATGGGAGAATTGCTGGTCACATTCAGTTATATTCAAGGTCAAGAAACGTTTCTCAACCAATTGAAGGTCACGTTTGTAAATTTGCTTCGTTAACCCTAAGCGGAGCTGTTCAACCAACCAAGGTGTTTTGTGTTGGTAACAAGAATGCACAGGGGCAAGGAAACATGCATATTATTGAAATTGACCATGTTGATGGAAACCCACCATTTCAAAAGAAGGTCGTTGACATTTTTTTCCCACCTGATGCAAGTAACGATTTCCCAATAAGTTTACAAGCTTCGGACAAGTATGGAATAGTTTACATTTTGACAAAGTATGGTTTCATCCACTTGTATGATATGGAGTCTGGGTCCAACTTGTTTGTCAACAGAATTACTGCTGATCCAGTATTTACCGCAGCCAGCTACAACAATGGAACTGGATTATTGACTATCAATAAGACTGGCCAAGTATTGAGTGTTGAAGTCAGTAAGGACAAGATTATCCCGTACGTTTTGGAGAAATTGGCCAATGTACCTTTGGCAATCTCTTTAGCTGGACGTGGTGGATTCCCTGGTGCTGAAAATTTGCTTAACCAACAGTTCCAAGCATACTTGAACCAGGGGGACTATACCAATGCCGCTAAAGTAGCTGCTTCTTCCGAACAGTTGCGTACACAAGACACCATCAACAAGTTGAAGCATATTACCCCTCAACCAGGTCAAATCTCACCCATATTACAATACTTTTCAACTTTGTTGGACAGGGGTACTTTAAACAAATTTGAATCTATTGAATTGGCCAAGCCTGTATTGCAACAAGATCGTAAACCTTTGTTTGAGAAATGGTTAAAGGAAGATAAGTTGACTTCATCTGAAGAGTTGGGTGACATTGTCAAATCTTATGGAGATGCTGCATTGGCTTTGGCGGTGTACATCAGAGCCAATGTCAATATCAAGGTGGTTTCGTGCTTAGCTGAATTGGGCCAGTTTGACAAGATTTTGCCATACTGTCAAAAAGTTGGCTACAACCCGGACTACACCAACTTGATCCAAAACTTGGTTAGAGTCAACCCAGATAAGGCTAGTGAGTTTGCCACTTCGTTATTGTCTAGTGACACACCACTAAACGTTGAACAAATTGCTGATTTATTCTTTTCTCAAAACTATATTCAACAAGGAACTGCTTTCTTATTGGATGCATTAAAGAATGATTCTCCAGCTGAAGGTCATTTGCAAACGAAAGTTTTGGAAATCAATTTGTTGCATGCGCCACAAGTAGCCGATGCGATCTTGGGAAATCAGATGTTTAGCCATTATGACAAACCAACCATTGGTAAATTGTGTGAAAAATCTGGTTTGTATCAAAGAGCCTTGGAGCATTATGACGATTTGAAAGATATCAAGAGGGTTATTATCCACACCAGCGCCTTGCCAAATGATTGGTTGGTTTCATACTTTGGTCAATTGAATGTTGATCAATCTATTGCTTGTTTGAAGGAATTGTTTAGCCATGACTTGGCACAAAACTTGCAAGTGATTATCCAAGTTGCCACAAAGTACTCTGACTTGATTGGTGCCAAGAAGTTGATTAAATTGTTTGAAGAATACAAGTGTACCGAGGGGTTGTACTACTACTTGAGCTCCATCGTCAACTTGACTCAAGACCCAGACGTTGTTTTCAAATACATTCAAGCTGCTGCTAAAATTGGACAAACTAAGGAGATTGAAAGAGTTGTTAGGGATAACAATGTTTACAATGGTGAAAAAGTGAAAAACTTTTTGAAAGAAGCCAATTTGGAAGATCAATTGCCCTTGGTAATTGTATGTGATAGATTTGGATTTGTTCATGATTTGATTTTGTACTTGTACAAAAACAAGCATTTTAAATTCATTGAAGTCTATGTTCAATCCGTTAACCCCGATAACACGCCACAAGTCATTGCTGGATTATTGGATGTTGACTGTGATGAATCGATAATCAAGAACTTGTTGATGTCAGTATTGGGCAGAGTCCCAATTAAACCATTAGTTGAAGAAGTTGAAAAGAGAAACAGATTGAAGATTTTGTTGCCATACTTGGAAAAGACTTTAGAGGGTGGCTCTAATGATCAAGAGGTTTACAACGCTTTGGCAAAGATTTACATTGATTCAAACAACTCACCAGAAAAGTTTTTGCAAGAAAACAACAATTATGATACTTTAACTGTTGGTAAATACTGTGAAAAGAGAGATCCATATTTGGCTTACATTTGTTATGCCAAGGGAGGCAATGATGATGCATTGATTGAAGTCACCAACGAAAACAAGATGTACAAATACCAAGCAAGATACTTGTTGCAGAAATCTGATCTTGATTTGTGGAACAAGGTTCTTTCATCCGACAATGTTCACAGAAGACAGTTGATTGATCAAGTTATCTCCACTGGTATCCCAGAATTGGATGATCCTGAACCAATTTCAATCACCGTCAAGGCTTTTATGGAAAATGAATTACCCGAAGAGTTGATGGAATTATTGGAAAAGATTATTTTGGAACCATCTCCATTTAGCGACAATGCCTCGTTGCAAGGATTGATGATTTTGACTGCTGTTAAAGCTGATTCATCCAAGGTATCCGGCTACGTTGAAAAGCTCGATAAATTTGATCCACTTGAAATTGCACCTTTGTGTATCGACAATGGTCTTAACGAAGAAGCTTTTGAAGCCTATGACAAGTTTGAATTGAGATCCGAAGCCATGAAAGTATTGATTGAGGATATTGTATCCTTGGACAGAGCTGAACAATATGCTGAAAAGTATGACACGCCAGAATTGTGGTACCAACTCGGTACTGCACAATTGGATGGATTGCGTATCCCCGATGCCATTGACTCCTATGTCAAATCTAAGAATCCGGAAAACTATGCTCAAGTGATTGAGATTGCTGAACACGCGGGTAAAGAAGAAGAGTTGTTGCCATTTTTGGAAATGGCAAGAGAGACTTTGAGAGAACCAGTTATTGATGGTGCATTTATCAATGTTTATGCCTCATTGGACAGATTGAGCGATATGGAAAACTTTGTCTCAGGAACCAATGTTGCCGATTTGGAAGCCATTGGTGACAAGCTATTTGAGGCCAAGAACTACAAGGCAGCCAAGATTTTGTATAGCAATGTGTCCAAATATTCCAAACTTGCTACTACTTTGGTTTACCTTGGTGATTATCAAGCTGCTGTTGACTGTGCCAGGAAAGCATCCAATACCGAAGTTTGGAAACAAGTTAACAATGCTTGTATTGAAAACAAGGAATTTAGATTGGCCCAAATTTGTGGTTTGAATTTGATCATTGATGCTGAGGAGTTGCCTGAATTGGTCAAGACTTATGAATACAATGGGTACTTTACTGAATTGATTGCGTTGTTTGAAAGTGGATTAGGTTTGGAAAGAGCCCACAAAGGTATGTTTACCGAGTTGGCTATCCTTTACTCCAAGTACAGTCCTGAGAGAGTTATGGAACATTTGAAGTTGTTTTGGTCAAGAATCAATATTCCTAAAGCCATCACTGCCTGCGAAGAAGCTCATTTGTACCCTGAATTGATTTTTCTTTATTGTCATTACGAAGAATGGGATAATGCTGCTTTAACCATGATTGACAAATCGGAAGTTGCATTTGAACACTCGTCATTCAAGGAAATTATTGTCAAGGCTCCCAACTTGGAGATTTACTACAAGGCAATTCAATTTTACCTTAATGAACAACCATCATTGCTTGTTGACTTGTTGCTGGTTTTGTCGCCAAGGTTAGACTTGCCTAGAGTTGTTAGAATGTTTGTCAAGAGCGACAATCTTCCCTTGATCAAGCCCTTCTTGGTGTCTGTGTTGGAGAAGAACAATAGAGTTGTGAATGATGCATACCATTCATTATTGATAGAAGAACAAGACCACAAGGCTTTGAGGGATGCTATTCAGTCTTATGATAGGTTTGATCATATTGATTTGGCTGAAAGATTGGAAAACCACTCACTTGTCTATTTTAGACAAATTTCGGCATTGCTCTTTGCCAAGAACAACAAGTTTAACAAGTCGATTTCCATTTTGAAAAAGGATGGTGATTGGGTCAACTTGTTGAAGGTTGCTTCTGGTTCAAACCAAAAAGTTGTTCATGAAGTACTAGACTACTTTGTTTCCACCGGTAATTACGAAGCTTTGGTGGCATTGTTGTATACATGTTATAACCATATTGATTCTACCTATGTTGCTGAAGTTGCATTTGAATACCAATTGGGTAACTTTGTTGCGCCATACAAGATTTACAAGGATTTTACTAGGGAACAAATGTTGAATGATTTGTTAAAAAGGCTTCCAAATAAGGAGGAAGAGACCGAGGAGAATGAGAATCCAAGATTTATGCTTACTTATTAGTTATGGTTTTTTTTTATTAGTTGTTGTTTGTACAGTTTTGAATATAAAAAATTTTGTTGTTTTGAAGATTATTAGTCTGTTTGATCAACGTGCTCTACTAATTATACTATCTCCTTTGACCTTTAAAGTTCATCATGGTAATCTTTTCAACCTTCTTTATCCTCTTTACACTAGCATAAAGCAACACCGCAAGAGCAATACTAGATACCACAATCACAAATTCAAACCCTCCGTCAGACTCTTCTATGAAGTTTTCCAAATTCATTCCATACAATGCCGCAAGATACAACGCCACCCCCATAGACAACAACCCAGTTGAAAACTTCAATCCCAACAACATCAATTCATTTCGATTTGAATCCAAAACAATATTAATAATCTCTTCGGTGGTTTTAATTTGTGATCGCAAGTTTTCCACCGTTTGAACAATTTCATCAGCCGTTTTGTAATACGATTCCAACAACATTTCAATCTCAGGATGGTTGGTTCCCGATCTGGGGTCGGTCAAGTACATATCATTCAATTCATCGTCCCTCTCTAGTAAATCTTCTAGTAGGTCTCGTATCAAGGTTGCCTTTTGTTGAAACTGGGCTAGTTTCTTTGACTGGATGAGTAGATACCGCAACTTGTACCGTTCGATGCTTTCATCGAGTCCTGATAGTACATTTGTTAGTATCGTCTTATGAACCTTCATTTCTGTCGTTAAATTGGATATTACGTGGATCAAGATGGCTTCGAGGGCACGAAACTCGTAAAACTCCGTCTCTTGGTGAGTTGATGATATGTTTTCTTTGAGTTTATTTTCCATTAGTTTGAGGAGTTGCAGTTGTGAATGGCTTTCACTCTTGATTGAATAAGTCGACGAATACGAGTCGAACAAAGTCACTTGATCCTTTTGGATAAGAGCACGAATATTGAGCAAGTTAAGCATGATGCAATTCTTTCGAGTAACTAAACTGGGGACAAGTTCGATATTATGCATGGCGGAAGATGGTGATTTGGCCCCCAACCCCAGAGGAGTAGCTGAATGTTTCGATAGCTTTCTAAAATCACGCGACACCAAATTGTATTGTCTCATAAACTGTGATTTCGGGACATCTTTCCCATGGTGTGTCATGTCTCCATGAGAGTTGAAGATTGTGCATTTTATTAGTTCATTCTCTTGTGATTTCGATGATGATAGGGTCTTGTAGATGAATAAATCTTCAAATGAGTCCCTTGGTTTGCTTCTATATTTAGGTACATTTTTGGTAGACGACGACACATTTCTGGAATGTCGTAGTAGGGGGAAAACTGGTTTGGTGATTATCCTCTGTATCATGCTTGGCATGTTTTGAAGCATCCTTGTTTTTATAAATGCAGCTCTTTCGGGTTTTAATTTTATTTTCTTTTTCTCTTCATGAGGTTACGATAAACGTGTTGATTTTCAAATGAGAGTTACTTCAAATGACGAGATAGAGGTATACGAAGAAGTTGGAAGAGGTGGGTTCGGTGTAGTTTACCGTGGCATAATCAAATCTAATCTTGAGGAAGTTGCAATCAAACAAATCGACCTAGAGCAGGACACAACTGACTTGATTGAAATCAACAAGGAAATACAAATTCTTAGCGAGTGCCGATCACCGCAAATAACATCCTACTACGGTTCATTCGTCAAGAATTACAAGTTATGGGTCATCATGGAGTACGTTGATGGAGGGTCGATATTTGATTTGTTGAGCCCGGGCAATATCTCCGACGAGGCGACCATTGCATATGTCGTGAAGGAGGTTCTATTGGCGTTAAAATACCTACATAACCAGGGCAAGATTCATCGCGATTTGAAAAGTCAAAACATATTGGTCAATAAGAAAGGCGAAATCAAATTGACTGACTTTGGCGTTAGTACGCAGTTGAGTTCAAGTTTTTCCAAGCGAAACACTACGGTGGGCACTCCTTATTGGATGGCACCAGAAGTCATATTGAATTCGGAGTCAGGCCATGGTTTTAAAGCTGATATTTGGTCATTGGGCTGCTGTGCTTATGAAATGTTGACGGGGAAACCACCGTTGCAAAACCATATTGCTCCAATGAGAGCGTTGAGGTTAATATCGCAATGCCAAAAAGATGGTGATTTCGCCAAACTTATAGAGTTGGAACTGTTGGATGCATCACAGAGCTTTAGGGATTTCCTAGGTGTTTGCTTTATTGAAAATTCAAAAGCCAGATACGATGCCAACAAATTGTTGAAACACGAGTTTGTTAATCGAAATATTGACAATGGTTCGAAACGAATTAGAAAGTTAATTACTAGGAAACAATTGTGGATTCAGCAGAATGCAAGCTTCAAACCACGATCATTTTACGTTGAGACTCAGATGCGTGATAATCAAGATAAATGGAGTGACAAGGGTGAAGGAAATTCCAAAGACACCGAAGTGCAATTTGATATTAGTTCCATCAGTCTTAGTGATCATGATAACGATACTCTTCGTGGTGGCCTGGTGCAGAAAGACCCTCTTGCTGAAACCAAGTCTCATTTTGGAAAAGTACATGCAAAGGCTATGAGTAAGATTGAATCAAAGTACGGATTACTGAATGATCAGTTGAAATCATTTAACCGTCTTGAAGATGAAATGACGGTGCTTATTACAGAGACAAATGAAAAAATAGTTCTTTTCCAGTACTTAAAGTATCTATACAGGGAGTTATCCAAAGAGAAGAATAAACAATTGGGGAAGCAAATTCTACCTTCAACCGCACAACGCGAGGAACCAACACCAAGCACAACGGCATCAACAACTTCTTTAAAAAGTCAAAATCAATTCAACAAGTTCGATGAAATTGAACTGCGTCTTATGGATTCATGTATAAGGAAAATGAAGGCACGACACGGCCGGCATTAGCTCTTTTTTTTTTCTTTTGCTACTTTATCTTTTCCAATTTTCATTTAGTTCAAATACATTGGCAACCCCATCAAGCCCTCCAGTTACTAGCAATTTCCCGTCATTAAACGTATCGATACTCAATACTGCGTGAACCGTGTCATTGCCCTGGTAATTCCATACCAATTCCTTCAGTTTAATATTCCAGCACAAAACTCCATTTACATCACTTCCACTAACTATAAGATTTCGTCCTTGATAAATTATAAATCTCAGTTCGCAATTGTATTTTTCACAAATGGGACTCTGTTTGGGACCAATAAATGTCTTTACTACTTTATTTTGCATGTAATCCCATAACCTAATCAGCCCATCTAAGCTTGTGCTCAAGATGTATTTGCCATTAGGTGACCTCTCAACATTCGCCACTGGAAAGTTTTGTAAATCGGCAGTTGAAAGCGAACTCGTAGCCGTACCATGTGAAGTGCTCGTAGTTAGGGTCTTTAAACATTGATATGTTTCCAAATCAAACAATCGAATCAATCCGTCGTATGAAGCACTGATGATGATTGAATTATCTGGTGTTAAAGTCACACTCGATATAGGGTCGGAGTGCGCTGCTAACGTAGTCAAAATCTTTCCCGATATAACGTCCCATATAGTTATGGTTTCATCGGCAGACCCACTAATTAGCAAGTTACCCTTGGAATTAAATTGCATCGTGGTTATATGATACGTATGTTTTTTGAAAATTTTAATACATTTTGATGATGACGAACTGTTAATGGACCAAAGTCGTATAGTAAGATCATCTGAACAGGACGCAAGAACTGACGAGTTAATTGGTGAAAACTTGATATCGGAAATACCCTTTGTATGTCCTAGTAACTCGCCAATTGGCTCCCCTTGTGTAGTGTAGATTTTGATTTTATTCTGGGTTGCCAATGCCATTATAGAACCGTCGGGAGATATTCGAATTGATGTAATGGCATTGGACTCCCTTATCTTTGTCTTTGAGATGTAAAGTTCATCATTTTCTGGATCTAGTGCTATACCCATTGCATATTTTCTAGCCTCTGACTCTAGGTAACTTTTGCTTACAAAAAAAAAATTCTTTGAGATTTCGTTTTATCTCGGAAACAAAAAATCTCAGGCCCGCAAGCAAAAAGATCTAATCAAACAATATCACCATACTCTATCCACTTTCCTTTACTCACAACCTACATTGTTCCTAGAGCACAATGGAGAATCATTCAAATAACTTATTCAGGTTCAGTCTTGGCAACCTCAGATTACCCAAATCCGCCAAATTGAGAGCTTTTGGAATCTATTTGGCAGGAGGGTTGTTTGCAATTGGATTTTGGTCTTTAATAGATTCGGCCATATACTCCAAGACGGTGAATGCATCAGATGTACATGTAACATTCATTGATTGGCTACCATTTATTTGCTCCTCATTGGGTATGTTGATTGTCAATTCAATTGAAAAGAATAATTTGTTGAACAACGAACAAGGTGGCGGCGGCATGTTTGATGAGGGTGCTAATTACGTTTGGGCAGCTAGAACGATTTTATTCTTGGGATTCAGTTTGTTAGCAGGTGGACTTGCTGGTAGTTTTATGGTGTTCATCTTGAAGTACTTGATGAAGCATTACTCTTTCCCAACGTTGGGCATGGGGGTATCCAATATTGTTTGCAATGGCTGTGTAATGTTGAGTTGTATTGTGTTGTGGTTATCGCAAAATATCGAAGACGAATATAGCTACAGTTTAGCTTTATAAGCACAGAATGAGAAAAATACACTGTTATTGGTCGTTGTGACCTTTATATATATACTAAACTCTATAAAATCGAAAGCTAAAGAAAAATTTGGTAAAGTAAAATCCCTAAACTAAACGGGGTTCAATTGTAAGAACTGAACGTTGCAGGTGTGTGGTAATGCTAAAAAATACTGAGGGTGAAACTCGGACTGTTCTTATGTTATCATACGAGTCCAAGTTCACCCTTGTATGGTCCCAATAACTCCAACTCATAATCACTAAAATTGAATAAATCCAACATAATTGGCTCAGAGGTGCCCCTCGGATACACTTTGAAATCCCTACTCTTTAATTCATTGAAAAATGGTTGAACTAATACTTTTCTTGGACTGGCTCTTTGCTCAGGGTCATACACCAATATTTTCATCAAAAGATCAATAGCATCGGGCGGTGAGTTACTAAAAATCTGCCTAAATCGTTCTTCAACCGTGCAACTAAACAACTTTGTCGTATACATATTACCCCTGTACTGTGGATTGCTCTTAAAGAAGAATGTGTTTGGTGGTGGGCCCAATAGCTTTGCGATTTCTTTCAACTGCGTCTCTGGAGTATGTCCTTGGAAAATGGGTTTGCCAAGAAACATCTCAGCAATAACACACCCCAACCCCCAGATATCTATTTTCGTCGTATATAACGAACACCCAACAATTAATTCTGGAGCTCGATAGTACCTTGAACAAATGTAACTCACCGAAGGTTGGTTAGGCTCTAATTTCTTTGCTGAACCAAAATCACAAATCTTTAACCGAATTGTGGATGGATCAACAAGTATATTTGATGGCTTAATATCTCTATGACTCACACCAAGTCCATGTAAGTACAACATCGCTCTCGCTAATTGGAATGTGTATGCTTTCATATGCGGATAGGGTATAGTATATTTTGATTGACGATAAAATTTAATTTCCGATTGTAATGTTGATGGTAAGCATTCCATTACTAAGTTCTGATACACTTTATCATCTGCTGAACTTCTCTTGTCAAAGAAGAATCTCAAGCTCACGATATTTGGATGATGTACAACGCGCAATATCTCCAATTCTCTTGATTTATATTCAGTTTGCGCCGGTACGCGTTTAATTGCAAATGGTCCCAACCACTCGTCCTTGTGCTTCCCATTGGTTGATTGGTTGGAATTGGAGTCAGATTGAGTTCCATTTGCTTGTTGGGATGTATTGTCTGCATACCTCAATACAGCCTCAACGACGGTTCCGAAAGCCCCCTCACCAATTTTCTTGTACTCCCTTATAGTCATTCTACTTGAGGTTGAGGTTTTGTTGTTTACAACCTGTGGTAACGTGTACTCCTTAAGTACTCCTCCTGTCGGTTGTGCCATTGTGTTGATGCGTATATATTAAATTGAACTGCGTTGCGTTGGCTGAAAGCAAAAGTATGGGTTTGCGTGTGTCAAAAGGCTGTGTGTGCGTGTGTGTATCCAGAGTGTTTGTTGTTATCTGCTTGAGATTTGCTCTTCTGTGATAATGTGATGTTAGCAACTCCTCTGATCTAGTGAAGTTCTAAGAAGAATTAATCCAATAGCAAATGGTATATGAACTTAAAAAGCAATTGGTATTGAGCTGTATGGCTATGGCTTTGATTGATTAAACGGTTATAACAAAGATTAAATGTGTCAGAGTTTTTACTATATGCGTTGATTTTTTTTTGTTGTTAATTGGATATACAACGCACACGCCAAACAAAAAGTGTATACTATTACTGATTTGGTGTTTGTATTGTTTTATCTTTTACACGTGACTTACACAAAATATTAAGTTTTGCAGAAACACAGTCAAAGAAGTGGAGGTAGGGAAGAGAAGACCAGCCAGATATAGAAACAAAGTAAGTGAAAGGGAGCAAGTTGCATTGATTGGAATCATCTGCTCTGGTTCAATTAGAAAAATGTTTTACTAAGGCGTCACTCGTTTTGCACTTTTATATCATTTTCATGCAAAATGCTTCACAATACTTGCATTTATTTGTTATGCTATAAAAGTTGCAGTTAGACGGCTTCTTGAATTTATCTCAAATATAAATCAAGTATAGTGTAGATCCCTGATTTGAAAGCCTAACATCTCCTACCAAGCGAATTCAAGAATAATGGGAATCAGAGGCATCAAAATATTTATATGGAAGAATGGGTGCAAGACTAGTGAAGAAAAGAAAAGGCGACTTTAGGGTGGAGCTGGTAAAGCTTAACTGCTTCCTTATGCACCTCACTAGCAAAAACACTATTTCAAATAGGACGTGTTATTTGTTTCCTCGATTGTTGCAAAACTATTTCTAAATACATCTGGTAGCACGTCATTTAACAATTTTTCTTTTCGATTTGATCCTTTCAATCGACCAAAACAACTTTAACACAGTGCAATAATACCAAACCACAATGTTTAGACAATGTTTGAGTGGACTTTGCAGACAACCAAGAACCGGTTTGAAGGTAACTCAACTGCTAGTATCTCCCATTAGGACGATACACAATGCCTCCATATTAAGCCAAACACAACCCATCGCGACAACACCAGAACAGGCCACTGTCAAAGAAACACCATTGTCGGAACTCAGCAGAGTCATCGAAGAAAAAACTGATGATCCAACAAACCAGAATGCTGCTACAACCCCCTCTTCCAAACAGCAAGCAAAGGTAAATGAGAAAATAGTGTATTGGAAACTTTACTCGACATTCAATAGACACAATACTAGGTGTACGTTGGTTGCCGTTGTCGAGGACTTGAACTTTATGGAAAATAATCCACAGTTGTCTTATAATGAGAAAGTGCTCTACTATTTGCAATTACCACACAAGGTCAAATATTCGGTTACAGCCGGTCAACTAGGATTTAGAAAGTCCCAAAGACAAGAATATGAAGCAGGGTTCCAAGTAGCGGCCAAGATGTTTAAGACAATTCAGGAGAGAAACTATATCGGACCTAATGATAAGATTGAATTGATTTTGAAGAATTTCGGAAAGGGAAGAGAAGCTTTCCAAGCTGCATTGCTAGGTAAGGAAGGATCCTACTTGAAAAACAATATTGTGAGAATAAGCGATTCAACCGTGATTAGATTTGGAGGTAACAGACCAAAGAAGTTACGTCGTTTGTAAGGGGAAAAGTGGGCATCTCTAACTTTGCTAAAATGCTGTGGGACTGGAACAAGGTTGTATATGTGCATTTCTCTATCTACTTGTATATAAGACTAGGTAACTAATACCATCAGAGATGATAGATGTGATATAAGCTTTGTATTGACTGCTTTCGCAACCTGGAAAGGTAAGTGTATATAGCCCTAAAATGTATTTAATTCACGTGCACATTTTGTTAATTTTACACTACAAAGGGAGAAAAAATTGGTAGCACACATTCATTCCACCCATAGTAAAATCCCACCACACACAAAAAAGGAGAAGCATGTGTGAGAAACGACAAGCCAAAAAAAAAAGGAAGAGAATTTGATAGACTGAAATTTTTTGCAAAGACCTGTTTAAACCTTTCAATCAATTCATATACATATATTTATCAGCAATGGGTTGTATGTTGAACATTCATATTTAAAGATAATGGACTGAGAAGGAGATAAATAAGGGATCGAGAATATTTTCAGAGAGGGGCATGCCATCGATGATGTACCTTTGAAGAACTATTGAGTAAAACAATATGAGAGATGGATGCATGATGAACTGTCGACATTAGAAGCAGAGAATAGAGGAAGTGCTGTATACTCGTAGACACCATGTCGTTTAGGGATATTCATCATTCATTTTACTTATTACGGGCTCCCTTTGATTTGCTCCACCATTTCAGCACCAACTACACATGAACAAATTACTAACTATTCTTTTCTAGCAACTACTAAAGGAGCTATCACCGCCAAGAAGGCTGCTTTGAAAGGTATCAACGGTAAGAAGGCCGTCAAAGTAAGAACTTCCACCACTTTCAGATTACCAAAAACCTTGAAATTGGCCAGACAACCAAAATACCAAAGAAAATCCGTACCACACTACAACAGATTGGATGCTTACAAGATTGTCGTCTCCCCAATCGCCACTGAAACCGCCATGAAGAAGGTTGAAGATTCAAACACTTTGGTTTTCCAAGTTGACATCAAAGCCAACAAGCACCAAATCAAGAAGGCTGTTAAAGAATTATATGACGTTGATGTTGATTACGTACACACCTTGATCAGACCAAATGGAACCAAGAAGGCTTACTTGAGATTGACTGCTGATCACGATGCTTTGGATATCGCTAACAAGATTGGTTACATCTAATTGTCTATTGAATTTAATTAATCTGTATATTAAACAATAAACGAGAAATAAGGAACGGGTGAGTAGAATACAGTGGTTTAGTTTCTAGGCAACTAATTAACTTAGTAGATCAAGCTAACTCCTCTAGTTTTGACTCTATATGCCAAGTTTTCAATTTTATACCGCGATTGAGAATTTTCGTCTTGCGTTTCAACAGTATATTCTTTACGTCGTTTTGACACAACAACTTGGCAAATTGCTTCTTCACTCTTTGCAAGTCGTTGGGGTGAAGTTCTTCAACAGACTGTATACCGAGGAACCGACATAGCTCGTAGTGCAGAAATTCGGCAGCTACATAGTTGCCATTAGAATCGTTTAGATGAAGTTTAAAAGATGAAAATTCCATACTTTGTCTGGCCAAGGGTTTAATCACCAAGGGAACCTCGGGCACCATGGTAATGCTATTCACAACATCGATAACATAAGTTGTCAAGTCGTTATGACTTGTGTCACTTTTGCATGTATTTTTGAGGTGGGTGACGGTTGCAAATTGACATACTGTAGTTGATTTATGCGTGGCCAACACCCCATCTGGGGCATTATCATCATCTATATCTTGCGATATAGAATAACTGTCAGCTACTGTGTGCGTCGGTGCTGTTGCAAAACCCTCAACATCAAAGTCCTCGTCAGAGTAGGCCTCGTCGTCATCCACCGCTGGAACTTGCGACTCGACATTCATCATGACTGAATCTTTCTTGTTCTGTACGCTTGGTGGGTTCAGAATAAAGCTAACGTCGTTAATGCTTGAAATAGGTGATGAACCACCTGAGTTGTTCAAAGTCTTGTCCTCATCCGTATCTTCATTAGGCGTCTGACTCTGTAGAAACGTTGGATTTTGAGAAATATTATCAATATCTTCATCCAGGACACCAAAAGTTTTCACAAATTCTTTCAATCCATATTGCTGATCGAGTTTTTTAAAGTATTCTCGACTCACACACGCCTTCAATCTGTCAATAAAGTTTATAAATTCTTGTTCGATCCCCAACATTTCGCGAGCTAAATTCTTCTTGTAGACAATTCGACAACTGTTGCCCCAACCTTCATAGTTTTTGTTGTTGTATTTATAAAGATCAAAGTTGATTCGAGCTATGGCGATATCTCTATCTAACTCTTGGAATATCTTCAAATACGAATCGAAATTATGTTTCAATTTGACGGTGAATAGCTCATTTTTACTAAAGGCTTTATTCTCGAGTCTGCATTGAGGTAAATTTCCAATATAAGCAGTTTCATTGGCCTTAACACACGTCCTTTGTTTGATTTCCGTGAGATCACTAAGTAGTATAGTGCCCGAGCTACTGGTTGGTAAGTTGTGGAATATAATAACAGGGATATCGTACCGGTGTCTCGCGTTAGGAAGCGTCTTGACGTCAGGAAGTTCAGACAACGGATCTGTTTGATAAAATCCGGGTACAGTTGTGCCTTCTTTGGTAGGAAACTCTTGCTTCTTTTTCATTTCTCTTTGCTTGTCTGGTCTGGTCTGGTCTGAAAATTGGGGTGGTTAGTTTTAAAATCAATCGCGTGTGTAAATATGTGTCTATTTTAACGCGCCTTTTAATAAGGTACCATTTTTTGATACCTTGTCATTCACAGTTTTGCAAGAATTTAGTTAGCTTATATGGCAGATCTAATGAAATCAGTCGTACCTTATCCTCTGCCAAAGCCATGCCCGACAATCAATATAATGGGGGGTGTATCGAGTTTGATATTGGAAACTACCACCAATGTACTGCATATAACCATTAAAGACTTTCGCATCTCCATTTCGATTCAGTTAACCTTCTCTTTATCAAGAATCTAACAGAGTTTAGAAGACAAGACGCGATGAAAAGTGAGTGAATCCATTTCGAGATAATTGAGAATAAACTACTAACTGTATTCAGAAAAAGTACTCAGGGATACCAGGGATCAAAGATCCGTTACACCACAGCAACCATCCACTTCTAGCGATTTCTTAGAAGAAGGCTCCATAGATGAGGAAAGTGGAGATAGATGGCTTGGTTCAGATATTGCGAAAGCATTGAGATTTTATCAAAAAGCCTATGAAGCTTATACAAAGTCCATCGAACTAGACCCGAGTGCTGAAAACCGGGATGCATATTACAATGCCTCGCGAATACTTTTACAAGTTTACATTTTAAATAAATCATCTGATGGGTTGGTTTTGGAAAATTTGACCAATATTGACGAAATATTCGGTGCTAATTCAATTGTCCAGGACTCGAGTCTGATTTTAAGCAAGCACTTGAAAGCGTTGGAGATTAACAATGGCAACACGGATTTGCTCTACAACACGGCTACAGTTTATGTCGAGATATTGGAATCAGATATCAGTAAAGAGGAAAATGTCCCACTTGATCAGTTGGTTGCAATTTATGACTCAGGACTGAAGTTATTGACCCAGTTAATACCACAACAGGTAAATACATTAGAAACTTTTGTCCGTGACTTGACGGAGTCCAATACTACTGAGTCAAAAGCAGCAGCACCGACAAGTGTAAGCTTGTCAAACACAGAACAGGAACAAGAAGAATTTGATTACGATGAAGTAACTCAACCAGTTGATGTTTTTGAGAGCATCCAATTATCGTACCGATTAGTGCAAGCATTGTACGAGAACATTCCACTGAACAATGACATTGCCACCATTAATCAACTTGTTACACCTTTTGTTGCGTTATCAGATAAAGTTTCGAATGAATTAGTTGCGAAATACTGCGAGAATTCTGTGTCCAAGAATGAAATGTTACAAAATATTAGTCCTTTGCAGGTGAATGAATTAAAGATAGCCAAGACTAGTATCATCAGTTTGTCATTGACGGACGTTTTTCAGATAATTAACGCTTGGGATACGTTCTTTACTAATGACGTCACAGACGAAATACCCGAGAAATACTTGAGCTGCGTCGATGTCATTCAAACTGTTTTGGAAAGGAGCGATATAACTCTAAATTCTGTTAACAACTCCGCCAATGTCCAAGATAAAGAGTCGTATTGGAGGATTTTAACTCAACAAAACAGCATTTTAAAAAGGGCTCAAGGGTTGACACAGGACGGTTTGAACGCAAAGAAGAAGTTGCCACTGGGGATTGAGCAGGGTATTGGCTCGACAATTATTCAGCTATGCAATATTATGATTGCTAGAGCAGATTTAAACTTGCAATTGACAATGATTAAAGATTTTGCACCTAGTGTCAAGAACCAAGCTGCATTACTTCAAAATAGTCGTACCTTACTAAAGTCATGCATGAACATTGCAAATACGTCTGGTGGATTACGGGAACGGGCAATTGAGAAACTAGATAGAGAAAAGAAATTGAGTGAAGCTGTGTTCCGGTTGTGTTTGATAGAGGGAAAGACATCGTTGCAGGAGCTTGATCAAATCATGACCCGCCCGAGATGGTTGCGGGAGTATAAGGAAATAAAGAAATTAGAGCTCTACAACGGGTATTTGAATCAAATTCCACTTTGATGACACTTGACCCAAAGTAGGTCATTTTAAATTAAAACCAACACTTGTATAAAATCTATATAAACTCTTCTGGAATATCAGTGAAATTATTACTCCAATAGTAGTTCTCTGCATACACTCCACTTCCATTCACCGGTTCAGCAGGGGCACACCGACTAGCTTTATTGAAAATAGCACTATCTATGTACTGTAGACTTATCGATGGGTTGCGGGAATTGTTTACTATTATTTGTATGATGTTTATCTTGAATAGGTGTAGTATCCATAGCATAATCTTCATTTTGTATGTATTGAATAGATAGTAGTTTGAGTTAAAGCAGGGGATACTGTAGTCTGCAAAATTATGTGGCTTGTATCTGATATCCGGTGTGGTTATCTCAAATTAAAATGGTGGGGGGCGTGCGCTACTCCTAGAAACAAAAAACGTGTTTCATGATCATGCATGTCGTGATATTATAAAATACGACATTGTATTTCAGTACACTCTTTCTATATACAAGAAGTTCTATTCCGTCTATTTGCTTAATAACTTATCGAACGCCGGGATTAATGATTGGGCCATGGCAAACGAAAAGACCAACTTTGGACCTGTAGTCAACAATTTAGGAGTCAAACCCTTAAAAAATGCGGTAAGACCTTCATTTTTGAACATATTCTTCAAAATGGTGAATCCCTTTTCTGGATTATCAAAGTTTCTGTTTTGGATTCTAGTCTTGATGACATCCAATGGGGCACTAACAATCAATGAAGCACTAGCACCAAAAATCGATGTAATAAAATTTTGAGTCCAAGTGGCCTGACTGTAATCCTTCAAGCCGAAAATGTATTCTTTAGCGAATGAGTTACCTCCAAACAAGGCAAAAGACCCTGGGGCATTTCTGGCCATGGTCCATCCCCAACCTCTGTACAATCCTAAACCTTCATCTTGCAAGATTTTGAGAAAACCTCTGCCTTTAAAGGACTCCGGGTTTGTTTGACGCTTGATTTTCAAGACATCCAATGGCAACAAAACAACTTCACCAATACCAATCAACGAACCAGCAGTAGCACTCATCAAAGCCTTACCAGTTTTTGGCCCAAAAGCCGAGTCAAAATTGTCCTTGAAGTTTCTTGTCAAGAATTCATTGGCAAAAGGCTGACCACCGTATTTATACACTCTTTGTAAAATCTTGTAGCAAGCAGCATACCCTAAGCCCGGAAATAAAGTAAAAAGTCTTTTGACTAAAGGCTGAGACGCAGCATCCTTGAATATTACCGAGTTCAATTGGTGCAATGAAGTGACTTTGCCGTGGTTTGACATCAATCTCTTGGAGATAGTGTCCACCGGGTGGAAAACACCAATTTCAGCAATACCAGCAGTAGCTGATCCCAAGACTCTGGCAATACCTGATTGCTTCTTGTCTGAAGACGAGTGAGCGGTTGGAGACATCGTGTTGTTTTACTGTGGGATAAAGTAACTGTCTTCTTATCTATAGAGAAAATTTTTTTTTCTTTTTTTCCATTTACAGTGTCAAAAGTTTTTGAAATTGACTCACACCGCGGTTAATTTTAATGTAGAGGACTCACATCTTCGGTTGCCAGTTTGGGAACTTTCATTACGATGAAGTTACGATAAAGTTCCAGTGGAAACTGCTTAGCTTGCATATTCACATAGATTATTATGAATGAGTGGAAATTTAGCGCTTTCGCTAAGAATTTGCTTTTCATATTATTACTATCGCTGACACTTACATTAGAGAAAGCCTAGGATGCATATGAAAGCAAACCTCAAACAACTTTCCAAAAGGCTCGAAGTGCTATTTACAATGATAACCTACTCTTAAAAGGCTGATCTATTCCATGTTCATTCAGTAAAACGTCTTTCACAAGAGAGAACAAAAAAACATTAAAAAAAAAAAATTGCAACAGTTTCCCATTCTCATCAGTGAAACATCTACATTCACCCAATCCAATCTGAATCAGTCGCGTCATCAACCAACATAGTTATGACCGATGCCATTGCAGAGTTTGAGCTGAAGCTATCAGAGCTAACGATAAATAACGGATTAGTCATTAGTCAGTTGACTCAATTGGCCAAGCAACATCCCGAAGTGGCGGACCAGATCATCGATTTGATTACAGCTAGGATTTACAGAGTCATACCGGAACAAAAGTTGTACACATTATACGTATTGGACGATATATGTAAGGTAGTGGGTAATCCTTACAACATTCTTGTGGGCGATGATATTTACGATATCTTTATTCACATTTTCCAGTTAAACAATGATTTTGTACGAGGGAAGTTGGTCAAGATGTACGATCTTTGGAAGACGGTGCCTCTCAAGAACACAGGTGAGCCGGTTTATCCAGAGGAGCAGTTGAATAAAATTGGCCAGTTTTTGAAAAAAGCGGGCTACCCTCGCGAACAATCAGTGAAGCTGGTGGATCTACCACCCAAGCCCACAACCTCTCTACAACAGTCCTTGATAAACGATATTGACAAGCTCATCCCCTTTTTTGAGAACCAATTACGAACAAATAGCCAGGACCAAAAGGCAACAGACAGGTTCAAAGCATTGAATAGCTTGAAAGCAATGTTGACTAGACAGGAAATGAAAGCTGCTGAATTAGAGGCAATTAAATCGCACATCGTCAACATCCAATCACAAGCAACACCAGTCACACCAGCTACCACTCCTCGAGCAACAACACCATTTGCACCAACGAACCCCGCTTTTCAAGTATTTAATAATTTGATACTATCCGGATTAGTCAAGAAAGAACAAGAACCAATACAGGGGTCAAAACCAGTTTATACACTAGTGTTTCCAGAAACAAAATATTCCTTGGATCAGCAACAAGCAGAGGCAACTTTGGAAGATTTGTTACTTCAAAGCAGCTCAATCCAACGTTCAGAATATGACAAACTAAAGTTTGTCGAGTTGATGAGCATTGCCAAAAGGACATCCGGTGGAGATTTACAGCACTTTATCAACAGCAATAAATTGAATTCTGCTGCTCTCAATCTATTGTATGAGGCTAAACCTTCAAAGTGTTCCATCTGTGGGAAAAGGTTTACGACTGATCCTGAAGGTGCAAACAACAAACGCTTGCACTTGGACTGGCATTTTAGAATGAACAAGAAATTGACTGTAAAAGGTGGAAATATACAGTCAAGGGATTGGTATATTGATGACTACGAGTGGGTCAAGTTGGACGAGAACAGAGTCGGTGAACAAGAATCTAATAGTGTCACCGACCAGAGTATCGATATTCCAACTACTACAGAGATCCAGTATGCCATTGTACCTGAAAACGACACAAATATGAACAATCGCTGCTTAATCTGTCGCGAGCAGGTCAAAGCAAAATATAATGACGAGATCGGTGAGTGGGTTTGGTATGATTGCATAAAACCACCAGGCGAGAAAAACCAACGAAGGATTGTACATGTGGCATGTTTCAATGATAAAAAGAGGTCAGCCGACTCAGATTTGAATCCCAATGTTAAAAGGGAGAAAACGTATTGACAACTATGTACTTGAATTGTAAAAATTCCTATTTTTTTATGTTTGTAGTTTCTAAATGAATGACTTATTGACCCAAACATTTCAAAATATCGCTCCAAACCTTTGCTGGTTTTTGAGAAGCATCGATTCCTTGCCAGATACCAGTTTTCTTGTAGTATTCAACAATTGGTTCAGTTTGTTGATGGTAAGTGACCAATCTCTTTTTCAAAGCTTCCTCGTTATCGTCAGATCTTTGAATCAAAGGTTCTCCAGTGACGTCATCAGTCAACTCCTTCTTTGGAGGGTTAAAGATCTTGTGGTATGATCTTCCACTGGCTGGGTGAACCAATCTACCGGTGATTCTGGCAACTAACAATTCGTCATCGATTTTCAATTCAATGGCATTCTCCAATGGTGTCTTTCTTTCCTTCAACATAGTATCCAACTTCTCGGCTTGTGGGATAGTTCTTGGGAAACCGTCCAAAATGAAACCTTTAGCACAAGTCTTGTTGGTTTCCAATTCAGATTTGATCATGTTGACCATGATTTCATCATTGACCAATCCACCTTGGTCCATAATCTTTTTTGCTTCGAGTCCCAATGGAGTTCCTTGCTTGACTTGTGATCTCAACATATCACCAGTAGCCAAGTGGCAAGCACAGAATTTGTCCTTTAGATCGACAGATTGGGTACCTTTTCCTGAACCGGGAGCACCAATCAAGACCAATCTCAATTGTTTGGCCAAATCGGGTGATGATGAAGGAGTGGTTACACCAACTTTTTTCTCCAATTGTTGGATTCTTTCTTGCAATTTAGAAACGGTATTTTTCAAATCTTCGACTGACATGTTGGCGGTAATGGGGAAAACGGAATTTGTAGGTGACGTTCGAGATTTTTCACGATATGGTTTTTTTTGATGTTTTTTTTTTTTCACCCAACATTTTTAACAACTTTGTGTAATTTAATGCAATTCATTTAATTGGCTCTTGCAATATCGCTTCGTAAGGGTTTATGTAATTGGGAAATATGGTCTAGCGAGGGTTTGCTCATATTTGACATATGCCTCATAGGATATCTTGACTGATTGAGAGTTTAAAAGAGTTGGGATAGGTGTATAGTGTACAGATTGTATCCATTTACAGTCTATTTACTCTATAGAAGCCGGAAACTGTTGGTGCTCAGATTTGATAAAAAACCCTACATAATTGTAATACGCGCACTTCTTGTCTCCG